TTTCAGCTTAGACATCTAGAAAACCGAAGATGTAAAATGAGAGATCAACTGGGGTCTGAAGAGACGCCAGAGAAGCGAGAGTGTCTCTGACTGTCTGGCGTCTCTTCAGATTGCCTCGTGTCTCTATTAGGTCTTCAAATTGAGCTTTACTTTTTCAGAAGGAAATGAACAGAGGTGAGAGAGCTACTGTGGCCTGAAGAGACGTCAGAGATGCGAGAGGGTCCCTGCCTGTCTGGCGTCTCTTCAGATTGCCTTGTTTCTCTATTAGGTCTTCGAATTGGGCTTCACTTTTCAGAAGTAATCGAAATGAACGGAAGTGAGGGATCATTGCGACCAGGAGAGACGGAGAAGCGAGAGGGTCTCTGACTGTCTGACATCTCCTCAGATTGCTTGTGTCTCTATTAGGTCTTCGAATTGGGCTTTACTTTTCAGAAGTAATCGAAATGAACGGAAGTGAGGGATCATTGCGACCAGGAGAGACGGAGAAGCGAGAGGGTCTCTGACTGTCTGACATCTCCTCAGATTGCTTGTGTCTCTATTAGGTCTTCGAATTGATCTTTACTTTTCAGAAGAAATCGAAATAAACGGAAGTGAGAGATCAATGCGACCAGGAGAGACGTCAGAGAAGCGAGAGTGTCTCTGACTGTCTGGCCTCTCTTCAGGCCGCCGTTGATCTCTCGCTTTTACTCGTTCTCCTTAATTCAATGTCTTCTTTGCATGGAATGACTCAAACTTTTGCGGCTTTAAAGCCGCGCGCAAGTCGCTTCAAGTCGGGTGCGCCATGCAAAAAGTACAAACTCACAAAATATTTCGACGATGACGTGAACAAAAATCGCAGTTGCCCAACAAGCCAAAATGACGTTTTTCAAGCTTTTCCTGGGCTCGAATTATATTTAAAAAGAAGAAATGGAAAAAAACCCTGTTAAGTAAGAAAGACGATCCCGATGGAAGCAGAATGTGTACCGTTGAAGGGCCAAAACCAGCGTTAGATAGGAAATCAGGCTTAAAAATAACGAAGATAACATGTAAATCAATAGTGGTAAAGTATAAACCAGAGCAGATATGACGATTCGGAAAGTGCTTTCCTTGGCCCACGACAAATAGTTTTCCTCAAAAGTTTGATAATTTAAAATATTTCTTCTGACTAGTTCATTCGTCTCTATCTTGAAATTTTCATTTCAGAGCTTTTCGTTCCAAATTTGTGCATAAATTCGTACGAAATTCTGTTTATTTTTTTAAATTTTGATTACGCGCCAAGAAACGGTGTACACAAAGTTGCTTACCGTAATCTTAAATTCTAGCCAAATATTTCAAAACTCTTCCTAATCATAAAATTACATGACCGGGAGAGTTTAAGAACGAAAAATTAGAAAAGAAAGTTGGAAAAATAATTTTGTCCATGGAGCAACTTTGCTGCGAAGTTCACTTTTTTTGACGAGATTTTTTACGGTTTCGAATCAAGTTTTCTTTAAAAGTAGAAGTTTCTGTGGAATTTTAGGTGGACCGTTTGATAAAATGATAAAATCGAAAAAAAAAAGTGAGGTCGATATTAAAAAAATTATTTTTTACTGAACCTCTAGCTGAAAAAAACTCCCCTTTTTGAAGCATTTTTTTCTTCGCCAATCACTTCTAAACCATTTCAAATTCAATCTCAAACCTTTTCCCTATAAACAAAGCAGACATATAAAAATGGAAGCGTGATACAAACGCACATAAGAAGACTCAAGTAGAAAAATTGACGAAAAATCGGGAAATAAATCGTCTGAACCATTTTTATTATTTTTTTTAGTTTCATAATTCACCTGAGAGTCGGTACTGTAGAAGAAGAAGTAGGCGTAAATGTAGAATGGATAAAAAATAAAAGGTACAAGAATAAAAACAATAATGTAGGGACTTCTTACAAAGGCTATCAAAGCGGTCAGAGAGGCGAAAACTTCCATTTAAAAAAATCAAAGAACTTGTGTAGTAAGCAAAATTCGACTTCAACACGAGTTTTGGTATCACCTGCGCACGCCCTTTCCGTGGCCTTATTTTATAATCCAAAAAAATTCTTTTATACGTCATCGAGGCTTATTCATTGTGGAAAGTGTGCTCTACGGACAATTTTAAGGGTGCTTTCTTCTCAATGTCAGCATTTTCAACCTGAGAAACGTCAGAGTGGTCATTATAGGGGTTAGGGGAAAAACAGCCCTCTTCAGGGTATACAAAAGAGGTCCCTATAGGGGTTTAATGTCTGACTCCCAAGCCTTTGAAGTTCAAGTGGGCAATATAGGGGCCATAACCGACAAATGCTCCCCTCTAGGGGCCATTTTTTCGAGACTTAGTGGCCACTACAGAGGGGGAGGAGGTAGGCTAAGTGGTCCTTAGAGGGGAATCGCCAAGGGTCTCAGGGTTGCCCCTATAGGGACCACTCAGCGTTCATGGGCTATAAATAAAACGGGAAAAAAACAATTTCGAAACTCGACTCCATTCCTGACCCCCGCCCCCAATCCTTTCTGCCCCCAATCATTTCTGCGCCCCCATATTTGGGTTAGGTTAAATGGTTCCTAGAGAGAAACCTTCGAATATCTTTTAAATTTGTCCCTATAGTAAACCCTCTGTGGCTCCTAGGGTACCAGGATAGAAAAATCATGCCCTTTCAACTCGACCCCCTCCCCCAAACTTTTTTTCTAATTTTTTTGTAGATCCACATCTTCAGTCACAGCCTTTTTCCCAATCTTTGACTCCGGAAAAAATTTCAAACTAATCAAGTTTTGTAGTGGAACAGGTGCTTTTAAAATTGCAAGCTCCCAAAAATCCTTCCGAAGCCATTTTCTGCCGTCATGGAGCTTCTCGTGGAAGGCGGAAAAACGAGGATCGTGTTAATTTCTGTCATAATTATCTATCCAGTATATTTTACCGTCTTTTTTCTGAGCTATCGTCGGGATTCGAAGGTTTTCTTTTGCATAATTCACTTGGAATGGATTTTTTTTTCAGAAAATGCACTTTCCAATATTTCAGAATTTTTTCGTTCTGTTCCTATTTTATTTGACTTTTTTTGTGATTCCAATGGTGCTGCTTGTAATTCATTTGTTTAAAGAAAGGAAGGTATCAGTTTTTCTCAAGTTTTTGATATCAAAGTTCATTTTGAACTTGATCGGACAAAATCCAGGGCATCATACTTTTCCGGCCAACTGTCTTCAAAGGAATTTTGCTATCTGTAAACTATTTTTTCTTTTTCTCACCAATTCTAGTTATCGTTATGAATCAACTGACACTTCTTCTGGCCCTACAGAGGATGTCTTTTTTATTCCTTCCCGAGTATCTGCCTTATTTCAGAAAGTGAGTTTCGGTCGCGGTTGCGGTGCATTTTTACTTGAGGATGGTTGGTCAACTAAAAAATGGCCCCGGAGCTGCCCCCGAGCTTAAACATTTAAGTTTAACTACTTTCAATTATTTTTCCTAGATGTATTAGTTTAAAAAAAGCCGGCCATGATCCTTCTGCTGAAAAAAACCGTACCCAACACACTTCTCGGCGAATTTCGCTCCGAGACTCGCTTTTTTCCTTATTGGAGGTTATAGACGATTCACGGCTAGCTTGGGACGCAAAAAGGCGTGGCCTGTCTGCGCTCTCCACCAACCAGGGCACTATCTCGTCTCTTTTCGTGGCAGGACTCTTTTTCCGATGGCTCAAGCCAGCCGTGAATCAGCTATATCGAAAATCAGACCAAGAATCAAAAGGCCGCTATAAGGACCACTTGAGCTTCAGAAACTCCGGGGTTAGGTCCTAAGCTTGTATTAGGATCCCTCAACCTTCTAGGGAGCACTATTTCATCTCCTGATCACAGTGTTCCAAAAGAGACGGCGGCAAGCCAAAAAAAAGGTCGTCGCAATGGGGCGAAAACGCGAGTTTTTTCTAACGCAACGCGGTGCGGCGCGTGTCGCCCCCACAAAATTTAATTCACTTTTAATACGGTTTTTTCTCTTTTTCTTGCATATTTTATCATTCTTTCGTATTTTTTCACATCGTATGTGTTCTTAAAACGTGTTTATCGCGTTTTCCAGAGATTTGAAGTGATTTTCGATTGTTCTCGTCACAGAAATTTGCATTAAAATGACATTTTTGATGACAACTTATTTCGCATAAGATATTTCGTTTGTTTTTTTGTTTAAGAATTTTCAAATGGACTTTCTTAAAAGAAACGCTGTGAGATTTTTCTCAAAATGTTTTTTTCGAGGCAGTATTCGACGAATTTATTCTTGAAAATGTCATTTTGGGTGACAACTTTATTCGCACAAGCTATTATGTATCTGTTTTTTTGTTTTTAAAACGTTCAAATGGTATTTCTTAAGAGAAGTGATTTGAGCTTTTTCTCAATTTTTCCCTTTGGAAGTTCGATTTGACGAGTTTTTCCTAAAAAAACGGTATTTTTGGGAGATATTTTTGTTTTGCAAAAAAACTTTTTTTCGTCTCTTTTTTTCATTTAAATTTGTTCGTTATAATTTAATACACATTAAAAAAATCTTTTAAAAAAACTTGCGAGAACCTAGGAAAAAAACATTATTTAATGGTCTTTTTTTCCAACCACTAAATCCACAAAACTTGACTCTCATCCCCGCGCCCCTATTGCAATAAACCGTGCCGCAGTTGCAGTCAGCCACGCCTACTGACCACAGCTGCCGCCCGTTTGGGAACACTGTGTGATATAAGTGACGAATATCAAAAAATTCAGAAAAAATCTCCAACGATGGATCGCCACCGTATGGCTCATAGCGACTAGCCGTTTGATTTTTCAGATTCGTTGTTTGTTTTTTTTTTCCCCAAACAAAAAAAAGTATGAATTTCGCAGCGAACTGTGGTTTGGACGCTGTAACCAGCCAAGAAGCCTGTTCCCACGGCGGCTCCTGCGCGACTTTCCGTCAAACTTTGCTATTTTGGGTCAGAACTTCTGATTTTCGGAACTAATTTAGTTTAGACTTTCTTATTTTTTGACAACTGCTCGACAATCTTGGCCCTGAGCATGTACGCCGTCCTCTACCTACGCATGAAGAAAAGCCAGGAAGTCGAAAATTCCGTGGTTTATTCGGCCAAACTGCTCATGTTCCAACTATTCCCGGTCTATTCCATCAATATCGTAGGTTCGATTCCCGTCGAGGGCGACCATTTTTTTGCAGATAAACCTTCTGAGAATCTGCATCACTTTGAGCATATGTAAAGGGGGCTCTTTGGCGACACACACTCCGTTTTATATGAAAGTGTCAACGTCTTTGTTATATTTCGCCTTGATGCCGATTTCCTACTTGATCGACCGGGAAAAAGTCAGAGTGATCCAGAAAATTTTCTGCTGTCGTGAGGGTGGTCTTGGACGGATCTCGTCTATTATTTGAAGTTTTATTCAATAAATATTAATTGTAAAATGAATAAACTGATGATGATGATGAATACATTTATTTCTGGAGAAAAGGGCAAAAAAATGGTGAATAATGGTGGAAACTGCGCTTGAAGGATAATGTTGGTGGAAAATGCGCTCCAAGGCAGGCTTGTGCGAGGGCCGGCCCGTCGCCCTCCCGGCCCCCCCGACCATTTCGTAAGCCCGGCCTTAGCGGGCCTCAAGAAAAAAATGGCCCGCCCGGCCCAAAACGCGCAATTTTTTTCTAGCCGAAGATCAAGTTTTTTTACGACAAAAAAATAGGTTTTTGCTCATTTTTTTCACTCAAATTTTAACAAAAACCATGATTTCAAAAAGTAAAAAGTAACATTTCATTGAAAAATTTTTTTAAATAAAGTTTTAAATTTTTTTGAAGCCCAGCCCGGCCCGAGCCCACGCGGGCTTTTTTTCCTGAAAAATAAGGCCCAAAGTCCGGGCCGCCCGGCCTGACGCACAAGCCTGGTGGAAAGTGTGCTCCACGGATAATATTGGTGGAAAGTGCACTCCAAGGATAATATTGGTGGAAAGTGCGCTCCAAGGATAATATTGGAGAAAAGTGCGCTCTAAGGATAAAATTGGTGGAAAGTGCGCTCCAAGGAGAATATACGGCGGCAAATGTGCTCGGAAATTTCTGAGCGATTCTAGGGATCACTAAAGGGGTTCGAACTGCTAAAGTGGTCACTAGAAATGCTCTGATGTCCGGTTCGCGTTACCAACGTCTGAAGTAAGGCAAGCCGGACGCGACTCGGAAGTTTCTAAGCGATTCTAGGGATCACTTTAGCGGCTTCTGGACTCTTAAGTGATTACTAAGCGTTTCCCAAGCCTGAGGTCATTTTTCGTGACGTGAAACAGGTGCCCTTCGGGAAATTTTTAGGTATTCCTGGGGTCATAAGAACACAAAAATCAATAACTGACACTAATTTTCGAGCTCCGTATGAGTCGGATTTGGTCGGGTGGGAAGAATTGTTTCATAATAAAATGGGATTTCTCAACAAGGAACGATAAGGGGATCGAGTAGATCAGAAATACGAAAGAGGCGTCGTAGGTCAGCCGAACTTCGACATCATACAGAGAAGGGTGAGAACAGAAGGTCGTGTAGAGGAGTTGTTGAAAGGCGTGGAGCTGAAAAAGATCCTTCAAGAAAAATCAGAAGACCTCACCGATTTTGCAATCGCCACCGGGGCGAGTTGAATGATGAGGAGCTTTTCCTCGAGCTTCACCTTCGGATCTAATTTTTTCGACTTATTGACATGCCAATAGAGAACTCCGAAGAAGAGGACACAAATCGAAGGAAGGCATTCTTCCGTGATGAAAGTTGCCTGAATAATAATCAAGACTTGGAGGGCTTGTGGCCATTTTGCACCCTTTTTGCACCCTTTTTTGAAAGTTTTCAGCCAGCCAAAATGACAGGCTCAATAAGGCCGCAAAAAGGAACCATTTCAGCGGCCATTTTGCTCCCTTTTTGCACCCTTTTTCGAGACTTCTTAGCCCACTAATAAAGAAAGGCTCAATAAAGGCCGCAAAACGGAACCCTTTTAGCAGCCATTTCGTGCCCGTTTTCCACACTTCCAATTTTTCCAGTGACCAATAGTGTTCAAAAACGGACGGCGACCTCGTGTTTCCCGCCAAAAAGCCGCGTCGCATACGCAACGCATCACTTTTTCAAATTCAGGAGGATCTACATGTTATTGAGAACTTTGAACTCACCCAGAAGACGTGGTTCACGAAACTTGTGTAACAGTCGATCAAAATGGGACAAACTTCGTTTTCTGTGATCACCACGACGTAGCCGCAGGTTCCTGAATGTCTTTTTTTCTCATTTTCCACTTGAGACCTTAAAAGTGTCCTGGATTTATTGACAGGACAATTTTTAGGGTCTCGTTGTTCAATTTCTTCTTTTTTTTGGACTATACACTATTCGCCGCGACTCGAAACAGTCTGACTTGTCTGCGCCCTCTTTTCTCTCGACATCTCTCTGAGGTTCACGTGCTGTTTCCATGTTTCTCTGACCTGAGGGAACAGAGTGACGCAGACACGCGAAAACTGTCGCGCCGGACGGACTGTACAGTTTGTTCAATCGAGACGATTCTAAACTGTCTAACTTGTCTGCGCCCTCTTTTCCCTCACCAATGAGGTTATAGAAACAAGGAAATAGCACATGTGTACGAGAGAGCCGTGGAGAGAGAGGAGCAGAAAAATCAAAGAGCGGTTTGGCCGATAAAATGAATTAAAATTTGCGCCCTACCGCTTGCGACTTTTCATCCCTTCTACAGGATGCCGCCGCGCGCAAGTAGCTTTTAGTCGGTCGCTTTGAAAAAGTGAATGAACTTTAAAAGTTCGAAAATCTTTGAAACAAACTTGAAAACTCGAAGTAGAACACGATAGCCATTGATAGAACCCAGGACCAGGCTAGATGGATTTTTATTCTGTAACCAGCTTTTATTTTTTCCGAGGGCTTCCCAAAAAGTGGAACTGCCTGCTTTCTCTGCGACCTCTCAAGTTGGAATGCTATTTCTAATTTTATGACCTCGTCTAAAGGCTGTTTTTCGCTTCTCTGCGCCCTCCTTATCTCTCGACGTCTCTCACATGTTTACTTGCTGTTTCCATGTTTATCTGACCTCGCCGGTGAGGGAACAGAGAGACGCAGACACGCGGAAACTGTCTATACGAGGGAGAAGAGAGCGCAGACAAGTCAGACAGTCCTCTCCTACTTTTCCAAAGAAGCCTTGAAGGGTCCATCAAAAACGAAGGCATATCGTTGGAGTACGGTAATCGTCAAAGTAGCCGTTGTAATTTTGGAACAGGTAATCCGAATCAACTCGCAGAATTGAACAAGAATTGCATCAACCTGAAATCCCCTTAAAATCTAAAGAAAAACCGAGAAAAATGCCCGACTCTTATATCTTTGACGTAGCAATAAACGCTGCTGAAAGCTTCGACAGTGTAGGAAATCACCAAAATACATAATATTGCGCAGAAATTGAAGAAAATCGGATGGTGGGCCTTCTAAAAACTTTAAAGAAGCGCAAAATTCAACAGAAAATTACCTGAGGTTCACTTTTTACAAAAGTTATGAAGCTTCTGATATAAATGACGAAAATCGGGATCAATGCCAGAAATAAAATGTAAAACGAGAATAAAAGGTAGACCAGGGTCATTTTGAAATGCGTTTTCGAACTTCATATGCCTTTCAAGAAAAAACACCTGTCGGAAAAATTTTACTTCTGCTTTTTTTGGTCTCTGGTTCCTCAGAACAAGAGGAAAATCGACTTTTCAAGAAAGTTTTTTTTTGTTGAAGAAACTTTATAACCTTCTTGGGAATCGCAGAGTGGACCCTATAGGGGTAGGGAGAAAAAAAATAGCCCCTAAAGGTAGGGACCGCAGACGAATTTTCAAAAAATTTTTTTCAGCATTGAGCTTTGTATGGTTCGATAGCTGTTTCGATTCAAAACTCAGAACCGTTTAGTTTTTCAAAAAAGATTGAGGATGAAAAAAGTTATGACGGAAAATGTGGCGCGCCGCGCACCATTTTTTTAGTACTGAAATTTTGGTATTATCCATTTTTGACATTTTTCTCGATTTTCCTTCTAGAACAAGTTTTGATACTGGTCTATTATGATGTAAAAAAAATCATAATAGAGTGCTAAAATGATGCTAATCAGCTAGTTTGCCGAAAAAGTCTGTATTTTGCAGAAAACAAAAAACTGGCGCTTGCGGGCATCGAACTCGCGACCTCAAAATGAAAAATCGGAGCGCACGCGCTGCGCCAAGCTGTTAGGTCCAGCGCGGGGAGCTTCCATCCGCCTTACCCTTGAGCCGTTTAAATAGCACAGATTGCCTATTTCAAAAAGAAAAATTTGAAGTAATTTAGCTATTTTTATCAGAATATGTTCGCAAATCTTTACTCAAACTTTTCGTGGAAATTCACTTCGAAAAAACTGTTTTTTTAGTGCTTTTTGCCTCGTTTAACGATCGCTGCATTAAAACGGCCCCCGTAAAATTTTTTTGGCAAAGACGAATTTTTTTATTTTTATTCTTTTTAATTGAAAGATTTTTTTACTAATAAATGTATATAATCGTTTGAAAAAAACCTGCGTTCGATCGCTTTCTGTGTGATAAACGCCGCTAATTTTTATTCTCTAGTTTCAAGAGCATTTTTGCGTATTAAACAACTTTTTTTCAAGCAAAGATGCTGTAGAGAAATATTTAAGTAAGCTCATGATCTAAATTTTTGAAAAAAACGAAAAACTCGATTATATTCGCTTATTAACGATATTTTTGATTTATGACTTTCGGCGCTCCCTAAATTTTTTTGGCAAAGACGAATTTTTTTATTTTTATTGTTTTAAAATTACCGTTACTTGAATCAAAAATCATTATTTAAAAAAAGAAAGAGTGCGTTCGACCTAAAAAAACACTTGAAAAAGCAAAAAAACGATAAAAAAATTTTTTTAGTTCCATTCACGTTTTTTTGTACGACATTCCGCGCGAACGCATCAAAAAAAACGTGAAATATTTTTTTAAACGAAAGAGGAAGCTTTTTCTGTACATGTGTGTCAAATTTTTATTCGCCAGTTCCACATATTTTACAACTACAACAAAAATGAAAGTTGAAAACCAAAAAGCCACTTTTTTTCTATCGCGAAAAAGGGGCGTGGCTTTGCGGTCCCTACCTAAAGGGATCGAAAAAGGGGTCCCCTATAGGGGTCAAATCAAGGTGTTCCCTATAGGGAAGGGAATTTTTCAATTTTTTTCAAAAAAAGGTTGTTATTTTTTCTCTTCGCATAGAGTTTATAAAAAATAATCGACTAGCATGTCTCCTATAGGGACCACTTTTGCAAGCTTTAGTAGCCCCTATAGAGGTTGTAAAGTGCTCCCTAGATGAGACCTTGAGGCGCCCCTATAGGGACCACTCTGGAGTTCCTAACTATCTCAAAAAGTTCATTTGTTTCAAACTCCATACTTCAAAAATCAGCTCGATATCAATATTTATTCTTTCCAGGTTCAAAAATCCTTAAGCGATCACGCTAATATTAATATTGCGAATAAAGCGAATATGATCAGGCGGGAAAAATTGTTTCATAACGAAGTTGGAATGGTCGACGATGAAGAAAAGAGGGATCGAGTAGATTAAAAACACAAAAGAGGCGTTATAAGCGATCCGAACTTCGACGTCATCCAAGAAATAGTAAGAGCAGAAGGCCGTGTAGAGAAGTTGTTGGAAGGCGTGGAGCTGGAAAATTGAAAATGAAGGGAATTTTTGGGGACATCCCTAAGTTTGGCCATAACATTTTCTGATTTATCCGAAGAAGATCCTGAAAATCTCAGTTAAAAACTTCATCCGATTTTGAGCGTTTTGAGCCGAGATATGGATTTTTGAAGACTGACTAAACGGACTATAACATCAAAAAATTGATATTTCCAAACTCTTGTGGGTTTTCGAGGGTTCTGAACAACTTTATATAGAATCAGAGCCTGTGAAAACTTCAAAAAACATTATTTTCTGAGCATCTTGAGCCGAGATATGATTTTTGAAGAAGGAATATATAGACTAAAATACCGAAATTTCGACATTTGAAAAATCGTGTGGGTTTTTGAAGGTACCACACGTATTTAGATAAAGTGGACGACGTTTTTTGAGCGTTTTGAACCGAGATATGAAATTTTGAAGCTTACAAGGGCTCATTTAGAAGGGCTAATTTGACTCAAAAAGGGAAAAATCGATATTGTCACATTCCTGAGAGCTCTTAAGGTAACCAGATAGTTTTATATGAAATCGGACCTTGTGAAAACGTTAAAAAATTTTATTTTACCCAATTCTGAACATTTTGAGCCGAGATATGAGTTTTTGAAGAATGACTATCCAATGACGAAATTGTCAGTTTCCTAAGGTTCTTAAGAGTTCCAGATGGTTCTATATGGAACACCAAGAGTAGTTCTAGTCAAGTTTCAGAAAATTCTCAACCCTTAAGTGAAATGACATTCTTTTTCAAATTCAACACCTTCTCGATTTGAGATACACTGACTTCTCTGCGCTCTCCTCTCCCTCGACGAGAGAGAAGAGAGCGCAGACGGGTCAGACCTTCCAAAAATGTTTCTCACCGATTTGGCCAAAGCCACCGGCGCCAGTTGAAAAATCAGCAGCTTTTCCTTGAGCTTCAACTGCGGACTCAGCTCCTTCGAATGATTGACGTGCCAGAAAAGGATCCCGAAAAAGAACACGCAAATCGACGGAAGACATTCTTCCGCCACGAAAGTTGCCTTCAAGAAATTTGGGTAAATTTTATGATTTTTTGATGATAATAACCCAAAAGATTTGATTCATTATATCCTTGTTACATTCCCTCAAAAATGGGCATGTTCCTTCGCCGGTGGCCAAAAGAATGAAGCCGCAGGCTCCTGGAAATTTTGTCTTTACAATGGAACTGTTTTTACCCCCCGGTTGAACTTTTTACGAAACTACGCAGGGATGTACTTTAAGGTATGCTGATTTCAAATCAAGAATAAAAATTCTTGACTTTTGCTTCGTAGTCGAGTTTTGACGGCTCAAAGTTTGCATGTGAAATGAGTGGAACGCAGCAAGAAGGAATGTGTCTCGCGCACGGACCCTCATTTCCAGTTGGCCGGTTAGTGCAGTGGCTAGCGTGTCAGCACGCGGAGGCTGTGGTCAGGGTTCGAATCCTTTTAACGAAATCTATTTTTGCTTTTTTTTTCCCCGGAAGAAATCTATGAAAACTGTTGGAATTTTAACAAAAACTTGTTCTCAAAACATAAGAGATCTCGATTTCGGTAGTTACAACAAGATCTTTCGAATATTTCTGGGTTTTCGCTTCTACAGAGTGTTCTCGTGAGACGAAAAGATTTGTAACTTTGAAATTTTCTTTTTTTTGTGATGAAGTGACCAAAACCGATATGCAAAGTACTAGAGAACAGAAAATTCATACGTTTTCTACGACTTCGGCAAAAAAAGTGTTTCCAGGAAGAGATCTACTATGTAGAAGCCGTCATAATTCGACTACGAGGCAAAAAGTCGAGAAATTTTTATTCTTGATTTGAAATCAGCATACCTTGAAATACATCCTTGCGAAGTTTCGTCAAAAAGTTCAACCGGGGGGTAAAAACAGTTCTCTTGTTAGTTTGATTCGGGTCGTTTGGGAGCTGTTTCAGCTTGGGACGCTAAGGGAGCGTGTCCTGTCTGCGCTCTCCACGAGCCAGGCGCTATCTCATGCATTATCGTGTCCGGACCCTTTTTTCGACGGCTCAAGCCAACTTGACAGTTTTCGCGTGTCTGCGTCTCTCTGTTCCCTCATCGGCGAGGTCCGAGAAGCCCGAAAACAGCGCGTCAACAAGAGAGAGAGTCGTCTAGAGACAAGGAGGGCGCAGAGAAGTCCCGTCCCTCTAACTATAGCTGATTCACGGCAAGCTTGGGACTGTAAGGGGGCGTGGCCTGTCTGCACTCTCCACCAACCAGGACGCTGTCTCGTCTCTTTTCGTGTCAGGACCCTTTTTTCGACGACTCAAGCCAGCCGTGAATCAGCTACAGTACCGCTCAAAAGTCTATTAAGTTTTGGTTTTTTGGGGATAAATTTTTTTTGAAGTGCGATATCGATTCAAATTTTTTTTCATAGTTTTCTGAGAGAGACATACGTGTTCTGGCAAAATTTCGAGTTGCTAGCTCAAAGAATAATAATTTTTTTCGAGAAAAAAACGAATTTTCGAAAAAAATCGAATTTTTTTGCTATTTTCAATTAAAAAAATCATAGCTCAACAAAAAAAAATTTTTTTATCAACACAAAACATTGTTAAAACAATATTCGGGACCTAGTACTTGGTTGCGAAGCCCCTGGCGTCAATCACTGCCTGGCATCTTCTCTGCATAGAATTGAGCAAAGTGTCGATGGTAGACATGGGGATCTGATTCCATTCAGACAGCAGTTGAGCAAACTTCTCGTTGCAATTCTTGGCTCTTTTGTTGGCACAACGTCGCTCCAACTCTTCCCAGAGATGTTCGATCGGGTTCAGGTCCGGAGATTGACTTGGCCACCCCATGACATTGACCCGACGGCTCTTGAACCAGTCCTGAGTTTCAAAACCATACGAATTACTTGTCAATTTTCTCACCTTGACGAACAGTGAAGTGTGCTTGGGATCGTTATCCTGTTGATAAACACTCCCACGGCCCATGGCTCTCAAGTGCGGCAACATCTGGTTCTGGAGAATGTCTTTGTAGACGTGCTTGTCCATGATGCCGTTCACGCGATGAAGCGGTCCGATGCCACTTCCAGAGAAGGCGCCCCACACCATGCAAGAACCTCCACCATGTTTCACGGTGGGTAATTGGTATTTCGGATGATATCTGGACCCAATTGGTCTACGAACCCACTGAATTCCGTCACTCCCGAAGAGGAGGAACTTGCTTTCGTCGGACCACAGAATCTTGTTCCAGTCTTGACGGGTCCAGTTGAGATGCTCTTTCGCCCACTTCACCCTGCCGGCTCGATTCTTTTCAGAAATCAGCGGTTTCTTCACTGGACGTCTTCCCATGATTCCAGCAGCATTCAGACGTCGTTTCACGGTCGAGACGGATGGCGGAGATGGCGAATTCAAGAAAACTTCCCGTCTGATCGCAGGGGCGATGAGTCTTGGATTGGTTCTAGACGTCTTCAAAATGTTCCTATCGTCATTACGATCAGTGACACGTGGTCTTCCAGTGCGTTGGCTGTTAGTAGAGCCATCTTGAGCTTTCTGACGCTTTAGGAACTGAGAAATGCCCGCCTCTGTCACGCCGAACATTCCTGCCAACGTCATCATGGTCAGTCCATTTTGACGACCCACAACGATGGCTCTTTTGTCGTTATCAGTCAAATTCTTATTTCCAAAGGTTCTTCCCATGTCTGAAAACATGAAAAAAAATCATATGGCAACATTATTAATTTTAAAAAATTTAATAAAAATAAATAAAAATAAAAGCATAAAAAACAAAAAAAATGGAATTCAATAAAAAATGCCTAAAACGCGTCACAGTCATTGCGGACATGTCTTTGTATACCGTATATGTTTCAAAGTATATTTTTACATTATCCCTGAAAGTTATATATAAATCGGATAAGTACTCGCTGAGATATCCCCAAAAAACCAAAACTTAATATACTTTTGAGCGGTACTGTATGTACACGGAAAATTTTGAATTTTTCCGTACCCCAAAATTCGAAATAAATCACGATTCCAATGGCCGCGATCCAGGACAACAACATGAGAATTTTGAGTCGGTATCTGAAAACTTTCCCTTTTCTTGTCATTTTTCGAGATTCTCGACTTTTCTAGGTAGTTCAGAAGGCTCCAGCGCAGAACAAAAGCGTATCTTTGAAGTACGGTCATCGTCAAAATTGCAGTGATGACTTTGGAACAAATCACGCGACTCAACTCGAAAATTTCGATAGGATGTTCTCGGAACTGAAGGATTTTTTTAATTCATAAAAATTTTGGGACAAAATCTTTCCTTGGTACTGTTGAGGAAGCAAAACATGTTGCTGAAGGCCTGGATACTGTAGGTAATTATCAATAAGGTCGATATGATACATAGGTTTTTGTAGAAGGGGAACTGGGGCTTCTGAAAATATGATACTTTTTTTGAGCCATTCCACGTGCGACCAAATTCTTTTATTTATGATTTGGATCTAGAAAAGTCTATGAACCAGAATCTGGGCTTTTACTCTTATTTCAATATCTTAACTGTTCAGAAATATTTTTTTAACAAAAAAATAATATAAGTTCCTTCTATAGGAACTCCAGAGTGGTCCCTATAGGGGGCAAGCTAAGGGCCCTTGGAGAATCCTCTTTAGGGACCACTTTAGCGACCCCTATAGGGTCCAATTGAGTTTTAGAGGTAAGGGGGTAGACTCTAAACCCCTATAGGGGCCACTAAAGCTAACAAAAGTGGTCCCTTTAGGGGTCACGTTAGTCGATAATTGTTATGAACTCTAAGCGAATAAGCATTTTCATGGGAAAATTGAAGGAATAAATGAAATTGAGAGACCCCTATAGGGTCCACTTGAGCTGCTTTAAAGGCTAAGGGGTCAGACTTTAAACCCCTATAGGGACCACCTTAGTTTCAACCCTATAGGGACCAGTTTTTCAATCCCTATATAGTCCACTCTAAAAATCCCTAAGTCCGCGAAAAATCGAAAACTCACCAAAAATCGAGTTTTCGCAAACAATGAGTAGGCTCTCACATACAAGAAAAAGACCGGAGTCAATCCAAAAAATAAAAAATAAAATAAAATGGAAAGATAAATAGCGACCATTTTGAAATTAAGCTCGAAGTTGATATGAATAAAACACCTGCCTCGGAAATTTTGAAAAACCGGAAACCCCTAGCCTTTATTCTGGGAGAGCCCAATAAGGTAATTGAGCCATTTTTGGGGGGAAAACTTAACTTGAAAGGTCCAATTTATGGCCATAAAAGGCTGGATGGAGAAAAGTTGCGAGTAACTTTTTATGGGCCATCAAAAGTCTTTTAATTTCGTTTATTGGGCCGTTTTTTACTGAAAAATTTCATTTTTGCGATTTTATTTGATGAATATGATAATCTTTCATATTTTTACCCGTTTTGTTCTTTTTTATAAGATAAAATTCGGAAGATTTCCGCCCTTTTGGACTTTTGGACAAGCCAAAAATATCCAAACTTTGCTTTTTCTCCTCTTATTTTCAACTAGAAAACGGTATGATTGAAGTTAAAAAAAAAAGACCAACCTTTAATCAAATTGAAGCTTTTTTCAAAGCTTCAAGGTCAAATTGGAACCCCGGTAGTTCGAGAATTCTCGAAAAAATGTCGATTTTTAAGACAAAATGCGAGTTTTTTTTTCTCGAAATTCCGATTTCGAAACCTCCTGAAACACCCCATAAAACTATTTAAAGACAGCAGTTCATTCAAACAGCGGCTAATCGGCTTGATTTGAACCGTCGGCCTGACTTGACGGACGGCAGATGTTTGTGAAGAAGGCCAAGTTTTGGGCCGATTGGTACGGTGGAGCGCGTAAAGTGGCACATGAGGAGGCAGATGTTGGCAGGTGGCCTCCCACCGCACTTGGTCCAGCTCCAACTTTCCGCTTTTCTAATTACGTCGGAATGTTGTCGGAAGTGCATCGATTAACACATATTTTTTTCAGAAAAAAATCTTCCTGCAATAACGAATAAAATGGAATATTCAAGTTCAAAAAAACATTTTTTTAAAGTGTTATTTTTTTCAGCTAGAACTATTTTTATGTCCAAAACTTTCTCGAAACAACGAAAAAAATCGATAATTTGAATTATTTTTTTCAGAGAAAAAAATGGTGAAAACTAACTGGAGAAACGTTTCCAGTGTTAAGTTAAGATTTAAAAAGCTCTTGCTCCTTCAAAAAAAACCTAAGAAAGCTTTCAAAAAGACTAAAATCTTTCGTAAAATGAGAAATAGCCCAAGAATCGCAAATAAATTTAAATAATAGAAAGAGCCAGAAAAAAAGGGGTTTTTACAATAAAAAAACTGGAGCTAAAACTGAACAAGATTTATAAAAATAAAGTTATATTTCATATTGAGCGCTGAGAAATCAAACCTATTCATAAAATTTACAACAAAAATAGTGAAAAATTTATGCCAAAATTAAAAATTAAAAATACAGACGCCCAAAAAGATTGCATCGCGCTCCAAGGAGAAGGAGCCAATTCAAAATTTTTTTAAATTCGCTTTTTTTCTTTTTTCTTTTTCGTTTTATTCATCAGAATTGTTTGGGGATATTATTGTAGTACCAATAGTTCGTAATTTATGTTATAATATTGCGGAATAGTGGTTATTTCATTTAATTTTTCTTTTTTTCAGCGATAAATAGATATTTATATTCGATAGACGTATCGTAACGAATTTCTCATTCCTTTTTCGGAAATTTGATTTTTTCAATCGGTGGAATTCTATTTTACGTCGGGTATTCTTCCTTAGTCTATGTTTTTTACAGGAAAAATCGAAATAAGGTTTTTCGACGGAATGGACGAATGCGAGGAAGTAAATGAAACAGGTTTTTTTCGTTTTAAATATACAATACTGTAAAAACCGTTCTTTTTAACAATCTCATCCACAAAATATCCTTCTTTATTATTTTTTTCAGATGTAAAAAAACGTTAAAAAAACAACAGTTGTTACATCAAAAAAACCTTTTTCAAAGCCCTCCAAATGGCCGAAAAAAATATTAAATATTTGCATGTCTCTCATATAAAATATATTCTTCTTCCCGTTATTTTTAAATATTAAAACGTTCAAATAAATTTTTTTCTTACTTAAAAAAATCCATCCGAAAACCCCCAAATCCAGCAAAAAATAACAAAATGTCACACGTCTCCCCCAAACAACAAAACGAGCCATGAGAGAGCTCTTGTGGGCAGGTAATTAAGGTTTCTTTATCGCGCGAGATAAAGATCTTTTCGCGCCCCTGTACATTCGATACACACGACTGTGTGATCCCCGGGTCGAGAGCCGATTAATTGGACACACCTTTTCGGGTTACGGTAGCCAATTTTGGTGTAGTTGTCGTTTTTTTGGGATAGGAAAAGTGACTGGAGTAATTTGCCTCATTTTCCGATGAATTTCTTGAACTTTCTTGTGAAAGAAGCAGTAGGAGATTTTTACGACGATTTTAAGACTTCTGGTCGCATTTGGAATGGCTCAAAGCGTTGCGGTCGCGCTGGAGCTCAATTGAACTTTGAAAAAGCTCATTTTTCGTTTATTTTTCAACTTTCTTCTTGTAAAAGTGGCACATGTGTCTTCTGCAGCGATTTTAAAACTTCTGGTCGCATTTGGAATGGCTCAAAGCGTTCCTGTTGCGGTGTGGTTCAATTGAACTGGAAAAAAAAAGACGAAATCGTGAAAATTGAATTTTTTTTTCAGAACTTTTACACACGTTTTATCACCCATTAGCATTTCAAAACATTCGAAAATCGCTATAGAAAAGTCTGAATCTCTCAATTTTGCACACTATTTCGTTGATCGTCTCAAGACCATCTTGTAGAAGTCTTGATGGTCTTTAAGCCAGAAAAGCATGATTATATTCATTCAAACACGATTTTGCTGAACATTTTAAGACGATTTTCTCAAAATCACTGTGCTCCTTCAATATTGCCCCAAAGGGGTTTTATCCTCGAATTTTTTCAAACTTTTTTTTTCTCCACTACCTAATCCAGTTGGAAGACCCTGAGAAAAGCTGCATATTAATAACGGCAAGCGGCGCCCCGCTTCATCCTTAAGTAGCACTTCTGGGCCGCACCTGGCCTCTCGTCCATTAACTGTACCTCTTTTCCTGAAACGTCGCCTAATGAATGAAAGAAACTAGGAAGGTGGAAAATGACCCGAGAGGTCACTTTAGTGAATTTTCAGCTTTTAGGAAAAACTCCCTGCGGTTGAAAAGTTCCTGAAGATTGGCCTTAAGACTTCTCGAAGTACCAGAAGAAGATCTCGCAAGTTTTCGAACTGCGAATATTTCTAGTTTTTGAGAAAATGGTCTTGAAGTCCGAAAAAATGTCCGAATCTGTTAAAAACGGCATTCCTAATGGGGTGAGTGAGGCGTCAAAGTTTCTAAATTTACAAAAAAAAAAGTAAGTGCGCGCTTCGGATAAAAGGGCTGTGACGTCACAGCTTTCTATCGTTGCAAATCAAACTGAGTATTCAACGGCATGACGAATACATTTGGCTGCGTACTTGAGATTTCAAATTTCGCGCCAAAATTTTTTTGACGTTTCCCCACCCCATGTGGGAACGCCGTGTAAAATGGACCATTTTGCAACTTTGAACCTTGATTTATAGAACATTAGGAAGTTTTGCAGGTTGGGACTTTTAGGACTTTTTTCTGGTAGATCAATGGATGTTCTGGCTAACTTTCAGGATGTTTATAATTAAATGACCTCCCTTGTGAGACGAAAAATCGAAATTTTCCCAAAAAAGGGTCTTGAAGGGACTAGTGAAATAGTATGGGAACTTAAGAGGTCATCAGATTCTTGACATGATCTTTCTGAAAAAAATATTAAAATTTGGTGGAGATTTATAGATTTTTTAATTCAGTCTGACGTCAAAAAAATCGTAGAATTTTTCGAAGTCATTTTTGGATAATTTTTTAGCTAGTTTTTTTCGTGGGAATCGCCGGATTTTTTTAAAATTTTCTTGAAAAATCATAACCATTGAAAAAAAAATTTTTTTGCTTATTATAGGGATTTTTAAGCTTTGGAAAGACCATTCTATACGAAAAAAATCTTGAATTTCTTTCATAAAATCGAAAAAAATTTTTTTGTCAACCGTAGTGAATTTTTGAGCTTTTTAAAAGACCTTCTCATACGAAAAAAATCGAAATTTTCTTCTCATAAAATCGCCTAATATTACGTGATCTATGTATTAACCTGATTAGGTAGCTGAAAAAAATCATAACCTTTGAGAAAAAAATTTTTTGCCTGTTTTAGGCACTTTTTTTGCTTTGAAAAAGTCTTTTTTTAAGGAAAAAAATCTGAATTTTCTTTCAATAAAAAAATTCTAATATTACGTGATCTATGTATCGTCCTGACTAGGTTACGGAAAAAAATCATGGCCCATGAAAAAAAAATTTTTTTGCATTTTATAATGACTTTTTAGCTTTGAAAAGACCATTTTATAGGAATAATCAAGATTTTCTTAATATAAAATCGTTTACTATTACGTGATCTATGTATCGTCGTGATTAGGTAACTGAAAAAATCATAACCTATGAGAAAAAAAATTTTTTTTGCCTGTTTTAGGCACTTTTTTGCTTTGAAAAGTCTTTTTTAAGAAAAAATCTGAATTTTCTTTCAATAAAAAATTCTAATGTTACGTAAGCTATGTGTTATTCTGATTAGGTAACGGAAAAAAATAACTTTACAAAAAAATTTTTTTGAAAAAATTTTTTTGCCCGTTGTAGTGACTTTTTTTGCTTTGAAAAGACCATTTTGTAGGAAAAATCGAAATTTCCTCTTTAAAAAATCGCGAAATTCTACGTCTATGTATTGCCCTGATTAGGTAATTGAAAACACCATAATTAGCGTGGAAAAAAAAAATGTTTCCGTCAATTTTAGTGACTTTTTAGCTTTGAAAAAAGCCTTTTCATGCGAAAAATCGAGATTTTCTGTCCGTAAAATCGACGTTTATTACGTAAGCTATGTATTACCCTGATTAGGTAACGGAAAAAATCAAGACCCATGAAAAAAAAAATTTTGTTTTTGCTCATTTTAGGATATTTTTTTAGCTTTGAAAAAAACATTTTTTTAAGGCAAAATCAAGATTTTTTTGAGAAAGAAAAAATTTTTTTGCTTTTTTTAGTAAATATTTAGCTTTGAAAAGACCTTCTTATACGAAAAAAATCGAGATTTCCTTTTTTTATAAAATCACGTAATTTTACGTGATCTATGTATCGCCCTGATTGAGTAATTGGAAACAACATAATTAGCGTGGAAAAAAACGTTTTCAGCCCATTAATCCAGGCGCCGCTTACACGGGCCAATGTTAGCTTGTAATTACCGGTCCCCGCGTTTCATTAAGGTCATTGTTGCGAATTTTGAGCCTCTAAGATCCCTTGGAAAAAATGGGAAAATCTTCCGAAAAAGCTGATTATTTTCCCCATCTCTCCCTTCATAATTACACGACCGCCGAAAAAACACGGGATTCGCGTGTCGAGTTTAAGAAGTTGATCCCGGAGGAGGATTCCAATTAAAACTCGGCCCTTTGTTTTGACATCCGGGGGAAAAAAAAATGGAAAAGAGACGTTTGGCCACTGAAAGATGGCCTGCAACTAATTCGCTTATGAATATTCACGGTCATTTCGCCGTGGAGCAAACTTGACGTTTTCCCGAGCCTCTGGAGACATTTGAATATTGAATAAAGCTCATTTTTCGTTCATTATTCCTTTTTTTTCACATGTGTCCTCTGCAACGATTTTAAAACTTCTGGTCGCATTTGGAATGGCTCAGGGCGTTGCGGTCGCCCTCCAGTTTTATTAAACTGAAACAGACAAAAACGTGACATTTGAAATTTTTTTTCAGAACTTTTACACACTCCATTCAAAACATCCGAAAATTGCTGTAGAAAAGTCTGAGTCTCTCAAGTTTGTACACTATTTCGCTGGGCCTCTGGAGACATTAAATAAGCGGAATTTGAATTTTGAGAAAGTTCTTTTAACCGCTTTTGTGGTCCTAATTGAACTTTTGGAGACATTTACCCTAAAAAAAAGCATTTTTAATAAAGTGACGAGTCGAAAAAGGGTGGAAAAAGGCTCCAAAAAGGTTCCTGTTTTGCTGCCTTTTTGCGCCATTTCAACGGCTATTGTGCACCATTTTTGCTGCCTCTTCCTTTTCCCCCATTTCTTGAGAATCCCAGAAAAAGTGGAAGGCTTGAAAAAGGGACCCTTTTTGCGGCCTTTTTGCGGCCTTTCTGCAGCCTTTTTGCAGCCTTTTTGCGACCTTTTCTGAGCCTCTCCCTTTATCGGCGATTATCCAACAGGGATGACGTTTTTGGCCACTTTAGGGGTCACCCAGAACTCGAAATTTGTTCTTTTTTCATTAAAAACACATTTTTTGAGTTTTGGTATCTCAAAAGGTCCCATAAACCATCAAGTTTTCTACGGAAATGATAAATTTTAGGCAAAAAAAATCTGGAAAACTTGAAATTTCTCTCATTTCCAGTGATAAAAAGGTGATTTTTCAAAGGAATCCTAAAAAACCTCTCTATTGGTCTCTTTACTTTTACTGAAAAGCCTAGAAAAACCTTGGATTTTTTTAAACCTGAAGAAATTTTTCTAAATAAACTTGCAATTTTTCTTTATTTTTCAACTTCAGGACAAGGATGAACTATAAAAACTTGACTTTTTTTCCCGAAAAATCCAAAAAGGTACTTTATTTTTCAACCTTAGGACAAGGATGAACTATAAAAAAACTTGACTTTTTTCCCGAAAAAAATCCTAAAAAAATTTTTCTTTTTCAACCTCAGAACAAGGATGAACTATAAAAAAACTTTGATTTCTCCCGAAATTCCTAAAAAAAAATTTTTTTCAACCTCAGGACAAGGATGGACTATAAAAACTTGGCTTTTTCCCGAAAATCCAAAAAAAAGTACTTTATTTTCAACCTCAGGACAAGGATGAACTATAAAAACTTGGCTTTTTCCCGAAAATCCTAGAAAAAATGTTTTTTATTATCAACCTCCGGACAAGGATGAACTATAAAAAAACTTGACCTTTTTTCAAAAAATCCAAAAAAAAAGTACTTTATTTTCAACCTTAGGACAAGGATGAACTATAAAAACTTGGCTTTTTCCCAAAATTTCTGATGAATCCTTGCATTTTTCACAGTTCAGGACAAGGATGAACTATAAAAACCTTCGATTTGTCCCAAAATTCCCAAAGAAACCTTCCATTTTTCCCAGTTTCAACCATGAAAACCATTGCCTTTTTCCAACAAACAAATGTTCCCAATAACCTTGAGGCCGATGACAAAAAGCTTCTCCATTCAGGTTCCAGGAAAAAAGAAAGGAGGATCGCGAAAAGGCCAATTAGCGAGGAGCTTGACGAAAAATGTGTGCTCCTCGGTCAGTTCCTCGGCGAACGACGACGCTTCAAAAGGAAGCCGCAATGGCATCCGACGCCAGGTCCGATTGATAGTTTCTCGTCGGCTCCTTCGAAATTGGCCCTTGTCGAGAGGAAAACGTTAGAGAAACGAGCCTTTTTCTAGGTTCTCTAGTAGGAGTAGGCTATGGTAGATTAGATTTTTCTAAGGTTTATGAATCATGAAGTCCTCTTACAAAAGTTGCGGTGCACCCCGCTTCGAACCCTAGGCGCACCCCCAAGTGTAACCAAGCGTGTACCCCCCTTCAAATGCCTATAAAGGCACTTATTCCGTACTCGATTTCGAAGAGGTTTGTTTCCCAATATCACCATTTTCTACAGTATCCTCCTAGGCTGTTACGGTAGCTCAAAAAAACCTTTTTTAGTTCCGACCGCTTCAGGGGTGCACGTCATCCAGCGCGGGGTGCACTCAACGAAAATTTCACTTTTTTCAGGGGTCCACTGTGGGTGCACCCTCGTTTTTTGGCAGAGCAAAAAAAGTTGCGTTGCACCTCTCTTCGAGCCCTAGGCGCACAATTTTTAGAGTCCACTATAGGGTATTGACGTTTTAGTGGCCACTATAGTAGTCAAATTAGTCGCCACTTAAGGGGTTGAAAATAAGTGGCAACTCTAGAGGTCTGAATGCTACTACTTGACCACTAAACATTTTAAAGGCCACTTTAGGGGTCAATGGGTCAACATAACTGGTCCAATCTGTTTGTTAAAAAATTATCAGAGTGACTGGAAGGAATACTGGATGAAAACTACTGAAGTTACTACTAAAACGGAGAATAGTGGCCACTATAGAGGTGGGTTTAGAGGCCACAGAAAATTTTTCCCAGAAGTCGCATCCTCATCGGTTTTTCCTGGTCTATGAGCTTGTTTGGAAGGATTAAATTCAAGTTTCAAAGATTTTTATCCTGGTAGGAGCTCAGAATTGAATAATTATAGAAGTCTGCTTCACGAAAAGCAGCATAAACCTCAAAAATTTCGAGGCTTTTCCTAGGTTCTTTATTTGGAGTAGGCTATGGCGGATGGGATTTTTGCGAGGCTTTTTAAAATATGAAGTCGCATTTTCATTGATTTTTTTCTTGTTCTCTGAGGTTTAAAGATGTTTTTGAAAATTTTTAATTTGAAGTTCTATAGATTTTTGGCTGCCTAGGAGCTCAGAAATGATTTTTATAGGACCCTCCTCTACTAAAAACAGCTTTGTAGTATGAAATAACCTCAAAAATCAAAAAATTGGCAAAAAGGCAAGCTCTTGTGAGTTTCTAGGCTCTAGGAGGTTCAGAAGTGGATGAAAATGATTTTTTTAAATTTTTTTCTGGATCGAAAATGATCTCAATGTTCTAGAAACGAGCTTTTTTTACCATCGAATGGTTGTGAAAAAAATGAGAATTTCCTGGTTTCTGAACTATTTTTTTATAGTTTTTAAAGCGCTGAAATCGTTTCTAGAACATGAAAAATAATGTGTAGAACTAACTTTCAAACTTGGGAAATTTTTAAAATTCGACTTTTCCCGCCAAAAGTCATTTTCCCTGTAGTTTTGAAACCTCAACGCTTCAATTTAGCATATTTTCCTGAAAGAAGGTTTTTTGCACCTTTAGAAGCTTTAAAAATTTTACAGGTGATTTTCGGACTCCTTCAAGTTTTATTTTCCATATCTAACTTCTCATCAGATTCCTTGCACAGCAGCTTCTCTAGTGTCTCCTCTGCAAGTCGAGATCCAATTTAAAGTTGGGGATTAAAGTTGGAAACGACAGCGGCGAGAGTTCAAGGTGCAAATCCCCGGGAGACGTTTCTCCCGATTACTTCTGTCTTGCTTCCCAGCTCATCAAGTGTCGCCGTGCACCGATTTTAAGCTTTGTGTTAATGAGTTTGAAGCCTTCCGTCTTCTCTTTCACTTTCAAGTTTTGCCTTGAAGTGATCAGAAGCTGGACTTTCTCGGAAATGTGGGCTCATTATTTTCTTTTTCTATTGCCTTTTTATAAGATTTTTTGAAGATTGTGTCGTTGAATTTTGTATCTTCTGATTCTAAATAAAGTAGGATTTTGAGGCTTCTGTGACCTCATCGGCTCGTAATTATTTTTCTTCTTTTTGATCCTTCTCAAATATTCAGTCGTTAAATGCTGTTTTTTCTTTTGATCTGCTTCTACTTGAACGGTGTGGCATGGGAACAGTTTTTCAAGCTTAAAGGTAGGATTTCGAAGATTTTGGGCCCAATATCCAGCTGAAAGTTTATTGAGGAGTTAGGGTCGTCAAATGTTGTATCTTCAGTTTCTAAATGTATCAGAGGAGTTTTGAGATTCGATTTCAAGGCTTCTGTGTCAGAATTCTTTTATTTGATTGCTGAAAAACCCAGATTTGTGCTCTGGGCCAGTCGGGCTGGCCATAGTGTTGCAACGTGGTCGCGAAGATGTCGAAAATTTGCCACTTTTCGAATTTCGAAATTTTCAGAGTGTGAATGGAGGAGGGGGGTGAGTGATCGGGACTGTCTTATTTGAAAAAAATTATGTGATGTAAATTATGAAATAAGATAAAAAAAAAGTTCGCGATTGCCACGATTGTGGGTCGATTAGGCCATCAACCTCGCCCCAACGCACAGCACTAAAACAATTCTTCTAGCAAAGTTTGTAAAAATGTATACATTGATCGGATCGAGCTTTTTCTAACCATGGGTAAGAGGTGGTGAGGGCTAGAAGCCTTTTTGAACATTTTCCCAATAAACATTGCCTATTTGAAAAATTTGAGTTGAAAGTTTCTAGAATTTTTTTCTGAATTTTCATCTGCTGATCATTTTCGGACTTCTGGGCTCTATTTTTTTGGGGGATGTTAAGAAAGTTCAAGTTTTTGTTTTTAGAAAGAATATGGTGCTTCTTTGTTTTTCAGGGATCAAGAAATCCCCATATGCGTACGGACTATTGTCAGCTTTTTCTTCATAACTTCAGAATGAATCTTCAGAAAGGAAGAGAACTTCCCGGGCCCCTCTTAATCTCATCAAAGACCTGAGAAAAAAGTCCTAACGAGAGGTCAAGCGGGCCACGATTTACCGTATAAAGAAGCCGTAAAGAGGGGCGGCAAGGGCCCGGGATCAAACGATCCAGCCGGCCGATCCTCATGTAATGCCCCGTCTCGACAATGAGCCAGGTGGCGCCCCGACGTCATCTCCTCCAGCTCAGGCAAACTCGTAAAAAAACTGGCTACAAAAGGAAAGGAAAGGAGCCTCTCAATGGAAGCCATTATTGGCTTTGGGTTTTTACGGCCTCGGATCACCTCAAATCTTATTACTTTGAATGGAAAACTAATCTCCGACGCCTTTTCTTCGGCCATGTTTTACGAGAGCAAAGTTAATTTGGTTCTGGGCTACGGTAGCGGGAAGTACATTTTTTGAAGAGTTTTTCAGCTTCTGAGAAGGATTTTATCAGCTAGGAAGTCATGGAGGTCTTCATTTTTCTGTGGTAATTGCTGGTCGAAATTTCTGGGAAAGGGCGCCCTGTGGCTTCAAGTAAGATCTCAAGAGGCTCAAGAAGTTATCCTGCTAGTTTGGAATATATAAAACCAACCACAAAGGAAAATAATCTACCATGGGCAATGTCGGAAAGGATGGAAAAAGGCTCCAAAAATGTTCCTGTTTTGGTGCCTTTCTGCTGCCTTTTTGCTGCCTTTTTGATGCCTTTTTGCGACCTTTTTGCTGCCTTTTTGCTACCTTTTTGCTGCCTTTTTGCTGCCTATTCCTTTTTCCGCCATTTCTTGAACCTTTGAAATCCCAGAAAAAATGAGAGGCTCGATAAAGGGACCCTTTTCGGGGCCTTTTTGCAGCCTTTTTGCTACCTTTTGCAGCCTTTTTGCTATCTTTTTGTTGCCTTTTTCCTGCCTGTTTGCACCATTTTTGCTGCCTCTTCCTCTCTCCCACATTTCTCGAGCTTCAAGATCCCAGAAAAATGGAAGAGAAGGTAAAATGTACCGCATAGCCATTGTTCAAACAAAGGCTACGGTACCTCATGACACTACTGACAGACCCTCCTTTGAAGAAACCAAACTTTCAAAAAGGTCCAGAACAGTTTGAAAGGACAAAGAAAGCCTCATGAAACTGCAGTAAATGAATCCATCAAACTGCAACCCTGTAATCGCCTCCGAGCGACAAGGACAAAGGCACGTGCACATGGCAACAGCCGGCGACCGCCATCCAACTGTTAGCCCATTTTCCTCTGACATACCTCAATCTCAAGAAGACAAACCGATTGTCTCATTTGAAGATTGAGAAGAACCGCTGTGACTTGAAATGTTCATAGAAAACGGTTCTTTTGATATGAGTTTCTGAGATGTTTTTCAAGGCTTGAAAGGCGGGAATCACTATGAGGTGAAGGAACGTGAAAAATTCAAGGTTTTCGAATTTTTTTCAAAGGGAAGCTTAAGATCCTTCTGACATACCTCAACCTTTTAAAAGACAGACGTTTTGTCCTTTCAAAAAATTTTAAAGGCAGGAACCGCTGTGGGCTTGGAAAGTTCATAGAAAACGGTTCTTTTTGAATTTTTCTAAGTATACTCTTTCTGAGACCATGAAAGGAAGAATAGCTTTGAAAAAAAATAGGTTGAATTTTTTTTAGCCTTGGAGCGTACAAGATGAGCTTTTTTGGCCTTTTCTGAACATTTTGATTTTTTCCGTGAACTTTTGCCCTAGCTTTATGGATCCCAAAACCTTGATTTTTGGTGTCTTTCAAAGAGCGTTTTGAGAACAGGAAAAAGTAGTCCGCAAAAATCTGAATAAGGCTCAATTTTCCAGGCAAGTACGCTCCGATGATACTTATGACCAAAAGGAAAATGATTCGGTTTAAGGTCTTTTTTTTATCGAAAATTAGCAATAGAGCGCATTATCTTAATCATTTCAAAGCGATACTTTTTTTCATTTAAATTAGCCTTGGAGCGCAAACTACGCTTACAGTATTCTAGAAGCTTCCTTAAATTAGCCTTGGAGCGCAGACTACGCTTACAGTATCCCTGAAGCTTCCTTAAATTAGCCTTGGAGCGCAAACTACGCTTACAGTACTCTAGAAGCTTCCTTAAGTTAGCCTTGGAGCGTAAACTACGCCTACAGTACTCTAGAAGCTTCCTTAAGTTAGCCTTGGAGCGCAAAATTCGCCTACAGTACTCTAGAACTGCTTGAAATTAGTTTTGGAGCGCAAACTACGCTTACAGTACTCTAGAAGTTACCCTTAGAGCGTAAAAGATCTATTTTTTTTATCTGTCTCCCCCACGAAACATTTTTCCATGTTCCAATGCACGCCAGACGCTTAAGAAGACGTCAACAAGGGTCGGAAACCCAAGAAGGAACATCGCCGAGCCCATAAGAAGTACTAGTATGGGGCTCTTTGACTGGAAAAGGGGGGAGGGCGGCGAGAAAGACGTTTGGAAGAAGTTGGTGTTGGATTACAAAGTTCTAGTGGCGGCCCCCAACGAGTCAAATGCCTTTTAAAAGCTTTTCGCAAGCCAACACTTACACAAACACACAAAAGTCTTTCTCCGAAGTCAATTGGTTCTTATTTCATCAAGTTGGGCGTTTCTGGGATTACATATGGTAGGATTTTTTTTGAAATATATCGTTTTTTTGGTCCAGAAGAGTGCTTTTTGGAGTAAATTTGAGGTTGGAGGATTTTTTCTAGCTTTGATAGGGTCCAAAAAAGCTCAAAGATTTTCAAAATAAATGGAAAAAGCCGATTTTTGAAATTTTCCAGAACTTTAACTACTTCAAAAAAAAAAAAAAATCTAGCTTCTTCATAAATGAACTATTCCATTTTTTTCTTCGATTTTGATCGGATTTCAAACTTTTCCATAGCCAAAAAAACCTCACAACGACCCGATATCTAGCGAATAATCTGGTGAGATATCTTGCCCCGCCCCTTTTTGTAGCGATTTTTCCAGAGGAAAAAGCTAAAAGTTCGTTGAAATGAGGTCAGGCCGAACCTACACGCCTTTGAAAAGCCTCTGAAGTCGTTTTTGGTTGGACTTTTTTTCAATTTTATATTTTTTTGATTTTTTTAATAATAAAATTGATAGTTCAATCATATCAAGCTTTCATAGTCCGTGAATCTGTTTTGGATTGAATTTTCTGAATTTCTATCATTTTGAGCCTTTCTAGATCCAAATTTTTGACTTTCTTTTATTTTAAGCCTCTCTAGATCCAGAATTTGCTGAAAAATGCAAAATCCAGTAAAATATGTGAATAAGAAACTCCTGAAAACGCTATGAATAGACTATTTTCACGGTTTACCAATTTGTGCAATTTTTGAGCTTCTTAAAAGTCTAACTATTTCAGAACCATGAATTTCAGCGAAAAATCTGCAAAAAAATCTTTTTCTAGCAACTTTTTTTGAGACGGGAACGCCTAAATTTATGCCCAAAATATCATCTTTAAGTAGATTATTCACAATTTCAAGCCCATTTTTGCGTTTTTCCAGCTTTTCCCTCCTTCAAAGCCAAATTACTCCAAAACGATTCGAAATTCAGCGAAAAATCTGCGGAAAACGTGTAGAAATGGACAGATCAAACTTGAGTAGACTATTTTAATTTCATGCCCATTTTTGGCACGTTTTCAGCTTTTCATACCCTTTTAAGGCATGTTTAGCTTTTTCCCATCCTCCATAGCCAAATTACTCCAAAATGATTCGAAATTCAGCGAAAAATCCGCGGAAAAAGTGTCGAAATAGGATGGGATGGGGGAGCCACGATTGTCGACGTTTTGTCCGTGCATATACTTAACCCTCTCCGTTCATTGGGCTCCATTAACTCAATGTTATCTCAACCTTTCTCCTCTCAATATTCTCCTCTGTCTCCGGCGTTTCTCTATCCACTCACACGCCCCTTTGTTTCCATTTTTCGACACACACATATAGAACTAATCGCCCGATCGTCGCTAATTCACACACATTGAAGAGAAATTGAGAAATTGTACAGAGGTCCTCCTTCTTTTTTGAGTTTATTGAGCTTTTGGCTCCTCGTTTTGGGCGTGACATGGGATCTTTATCAGTAAGAAAATAGCTACGATGGGATCAGTTCTAAGCTTTTTCATTCAAAATTCAAAAGCTGTAACTTCAAGTTTACTTGTAACAGAATCCTATGGAAACTTGGCTTTTTCTAGATTTTTTTTTGAAAATGTAAGGAGATAAAAGCTTAGACAGGGCTCTAAAGCTTTTTTATTCAAATTTTAAAAACCTGGAATTTTTTTCAAAGAACAACCTTCCTTCACGATTTTGAACTACTGCGACGCTTTTAGCCATTCCCCATGCAACCACGGAGTTTCTAGTCATGGAAAATAAACTGTTTCTCTAGCTAGAGATTTGGGCCACGAATTCATTTGAAAATTGAAGGAATCGCGTTTTGAAGTTATTTTTCCTATATAATTACGGAAGCCGTAAGGCAGCCGCAACGCAACCGCAATGCAACCAGAACTCGAGTGAAAAGCGACCGCAACGCAGCCGCAACGCAACCGCAAAGCGATCGCATCGCAACCGCAACGAAATCGCAACGGAATCGCAACGCAACCGCAATGCAACCGCAAAACGATCGCAACGCAACCGCAACGCAACCGATAAAGCGACCGCAATGAGACCGCAACGTAACCGCAACGCGACCGCAACGCGATCGCACAGCGACCGCAACGTAACCGCAACGTAACCGCAATGCAACCGAAACGCAACCGCAACGTAGCCGCAAGGCGACCGCAACTTTTTCAGCCCATACAGATACATTCACGGGATTTCTAATTTTGTAAAATGAACTTTTCTAAAGAATAAGACAGTTTTCTCTTCAAAAAGCCGCAACGCTTCTAGCCATTCCCCATGCGACCACGGATTTTCTAGCCACCAACCTTAAAAAATCCAAGATGTCTCGAAATGCCTCGATAATTGCAAATCACTGCCCATCCTTCATCTGGTAAGCGACAGCGATAAACTAAAAATTTGCCCCCCTTTCGAAATCGCAAATTGATGATGCGTCCAGATTTTGTGTGTGAGAGATCTGACGAATGGCTTCTCCGGAAATGAATATTCGGAAGAAGGAGAAAAATCGCGAAACAGCTGGATTGTCGCCCATAGTTTTGGCATTCATCTTCTTCATTTTTCTTGGCAGCCCCCCGCCCCCCTTGGAATGGTGTGTCGCATGTGCATTTGCTTATTGGAATGGGTAATTGAACGGGCGGCACAAATGAATGACACGCCTATGTGTCCATATATACTCCAAGTGCCAATACTTACTCATAAGTCTTCCTTTCTTTTATTTTCCCGGCCCGATTTCAGAACTTTTTTGGGTTCCTTGAAGTGAAATCTAAATTTTTGAAAGTGTGCGAGCGTACTGGCGGAGCGTCGTTTAGGAATTGTGCCGAAAAGGACCCTTTACAGGCCCCCAAAGGTTTCCATTAGGTGTTCCTAAACGGCTGGCAACGGTTTCTTTTTTACTGCCTTTTTCCGCCCTTTCATCGGCCTTTATCCACGCTTTTTGGACCCTTTTTGCACCATTTTTGGACCCTTTTTGGACCCTTTTGAGAAACACGAAGTTTTTTAAATTGACAACCTTCACCAAGGACTGTGTATGAACCTAAATGTGCTACAGTAATAAAATCGGAAATCATCAATGGCCGAGCCTCTCAGTACCCTTTTTGCACCCTTTTTAGTCCACCAAGAAAGAAAGGCTCGATAAAGGCCCCAAAACGGAATTCTTTTAGGACCCTTTTTGCACCCTTTCTTCACCCTTTTTTCACCCTTTTTAGCCCACCAAGAAAGAAAGGCTCACTAAAGGCCGCAAAATGGAACCCTTTCAGCGGCCATTTTGCACCCGTTTTCGCACTTCCGACTTTGGCAATGTTTATGTACTGACTAAGCCTACGATCAAAGTGAAGCTAGACTATACAATTTATATAACCCACTTGAATCTGAAAACAAACCTAATTTTTCTCCGACCTTTTCCCCCTTCTCTGTAGCTTTTTTAACAACATACCAATGAGCAAAACTCAAGAAATCCAATTCTCGAGAACCCATTACAAGTTTCCAGCCTCCTTCCCAAGTAAACGTATCGAGTTTCCACTTGAAAAAGACACAAAAAAAGAAAAGCTCCCTGGATACCGTAGACCAAGTGAGGAGTGGCCTGGAGCGAACTTGCAACCAGATACTCGGCCGGCGACGAAATAGCGATGCGCAGAGAAGTGAGGGCTGCTCGGCAGCTCTCCGCCCAATCGTCGGCCGAGCAAACTTTCCCCCACCAAGTTTTTCCTCCCTAGTTTGGCATGGGTTACTGTAAGCTGGCGCTAGGAGGATGGGGGTCAGAAAGCCGTGGAAGTTTTGAGGTAGTTATAGGTTTGCAGAAGATCTTGTTTTACCTTGCAAGGTGGGAAGCTTTTCAAGCTTTTTTCAAACGTTGATTGTCATTGGAGCACAAGAGACATTTGTAAATCGGCTTTTATTTCACAATAATCAACATTTATGTTTTTATAAGGGCCAGACTTTTATAATGATGTCTTGAATCTGATCCAGGGACCCACTGAGAAAAAAATTGGAGAATTTTAAAAGTTCTGGGTTTTTTTTTTTGAAGTTCTGTAGATGTTCAGTTTTGATGTGGAACCGAAATAGTGTGAATTTTTGGTTGGAGATGTTCAAATTGGATGAAAACGTAAAACGAGCTTCTGAAACGTTCAGCTTTGAGATGGAACCGGAACAATCATCATTGAAAGTCGGGTTAGCTTCAAATTGGCTAGAAGTTCATGTACGTCTTCAGAAGACGTTCAGCTTCGATATAGATTCGAAACAGTCATAATTTGAAATTGGAAATGTTCAAGTTGTGAAGAAGTTCTCGGACATCTTCAGAAGACGTTCAGCTCCGACATAGAGCCCAAACGATTCTCATTAATAATTGGAGAAGTTTAAACTGTAGAGGCATTCACAAAAACCTTCAGAAGACGTTCAGCTTCCGGAACAGTCATCATGAAAAGTTGGAGAGGTTCAAGTTGTGGAGAAATTCTCAGAAAACTTTAGAAGACGTTCAGCTTTGATATAGGACCGAAAAAATCATCATTGAAAGTCGTGGTAGTTTCAAATTGTGAAGGCATTCACAGGAAACTCCAGGAGATGTTCAACTTCAGAAAGAATCGAAGTTATATCATTCGAAGGTCCAGACGCCGTCAAACCACCAACCAATACCACAACATTTTTAGAAAGTTCACGGGCATCTTCAGAAGACGTTCAGCTTCGATATAGATTCGGAACAGTCATAATTTGAAATTGGAGATGTTCAAGTTGTGAAGAAGTTTATAGAGAACTCCAGAAGACGTTCAACTTCAGAAATAATCGAAGTGATATCCGTTGAAGGTCCAGAAGCCGTCAAACCACCAACCAATACCAAAAATTTTTTCGAAAAACTTCAGAAGACGTTCAAGTTTCTTTCCTTTAATCTTCGGGGTCACGTCTCCACCTTGGCGTGTGCGCGTGTGCCCGCCAAAACATCTGTCTGTCTCATTTCGCCGGCCGCGCCATGTTCGGGTTTTTCGGGAAGATAAATCTCAACGAGTCGTGCGCCGGCTGCGGATTTCCTACTACACCAACCATTTTCGACACACTCGACTTTGAAATTTCGAGGCAAACATTTGACGGCGGCGACGGCGGCGCCGGATGGCGTGCTGAATCTGTCTGCCTGGGTCCGAAATTTGAATGAAAGTGAGACTCGAGAGTCCTTTCAGCGCAATTTTCTGGCTGTTGTCGTTGGCTCTTCTCAGAATGACTTGTGACCCAGTGGAGGTTGGTTTTGAGGCATACCTTTGGTTAGAAAGGTTAGTAGGTCTGCAGAAGTTTGGGGTCCCAAGGTATACCTTTTGGTTAGATGTTAGTAGGTCTGCAGAAGTTTGTGGTCCCAAAGTTGGGATGCATACCAAAGATTTTGGGTCTCAAATGCAGGTAGAATGTCTTCAGATTGATTAGTAGGTCTTCAGAAGTTTGTGGTACCAAAGTTTGAATTTTCAGCGAAGTTTCGAGGTCCCAAAAGCAGGAAGAACATTTTCAGGTAGATCAGTAGGTACTCAGAAGTTTGTGGTCTCAAGGTATATCTTTTTGTCAGATCTTTTAATAGATAACCAGGAGTTTGTGGTTCCATAGTTTGGATATATACGAAGGTTTGAGGTCCCAAATGCAGGTAGAATGTCTTCAGATTGGTTAGCAGGTCTTCAGAAGGTTGTAGTCCCAAAGTTGGGATGTATACCGAATATTTTATGTCTCGAAAACAGGAAGAACGTCTTCAGATAGGTAGATCAGTAGGTCTTCACAAGTTGTTGGTCCCAGAGTTTGGATATATACCAAAGATTTGAGATTTCAGAAGCGCCGAGAACTTCTTCAGAACGGTATTTAGAGTCAGTAAGAGCTGTGATTTCTTCAGAAGCTTCTTCAGGACTTTCTGATCTTAACCGGAACTTGAACCTCTCTGAAAAAAGTCCGAAAATGCTGTCAAATCTTAAAACCCTCAAAAAAAAGTTTCATTTTTTTTCTCTGGAGACCAGACCACAGTGAAAGCTTCAACTTCTTGATTCCTAAACCCAAGTTTTGGGTCTTTTGAAGTACTGGGAAGGAAATAAAGCTTAGAAGTTATCCCAAAAGCCGTTTCCGGAATTTCTATCTGAAACAATTCCTGAGGAGTTCCGGTACCGAAAAATCTCATAAAAGTTGGCTCCCGACAGGTCTTCAGATTACTTCATTCTAGTACTCAAAAATAGGATGAATGATTTTTTCTTTTTGAACTTGTCTATTCCTCCACGACTCAAATGATGTATAACTGTATAATGTACTTTCTCAAATTCTAGATCCAAGTGAACTCGTTAAGGTTCACGCTGATCTGTCAATAAATTATTATTATTAACTAACAGTAGAGCTGAAAAAATGATCCTAAGAGGTTCCGGTGCCAAAAAAAAAGAAAAAAAAAGCCCGGGAAAGTTGGCTCCCGACAGGTCATACGTCTTCCACCTGTCCCCGCCATGAGCGCAGGTGCCAACTTTAACTGTAAATGGGTAAAGATGGGAGGAGGGTGACCTCCTCCTCATTCTCCAAAAAATCGGGCAGCTGTCCCCCCGCTCATGCTCTCAAGTCTTGTCATAACCTTCACTTTCCTTGAGCCTCAAGTCGTCTTGCCTTTATTGGGTTTTTCGAAGAATTTGAACGAGTTTGGAAAAACCATTTTTGAGCTTTTTTTTTTTGGTCGAAATTTTTGGTTCTGAGACCGTTTCTGAGAATTGTAAGTTTCAGGAGTAGGAGAAAAAAAATTTTTTTCTGTCATTTTTTTTTTGCACTTTTTAAGGTTATCAAAGTAACAGTGAATCCTCTTTTTTGAAAAAAAAATTTTGAGGATTCCTTCAAATTTTCGTACTATGAGAATGGTTCCGAAAATTACAAGGTTCTTGGGAATTGAAAAAAAAAATTTCTGACGATTTTTTGAATTTTTTGATGTCAAATTTCGAAAAAAAACGACTTTTTGAGAATTCAGTTTTCAAATTTTCTGGTTTCAGGACCTTTTTGAAGGACTATAAGGTTCTTCGACATTGAAAAAAAAAGGTTTCTGACGATTTTTTGAATTTTTCAAGGTTATTGAAGCGAAATCGAGAAAAAACTGCTTTTTTCAAAGTTTCTGAATACTTTATTGTATTGAAAAATCATCTCCTGGTCGATTTTTTTCCGGGTTTTAAGACCTTATCAAGGATTTTTGAGGTGTAGAATTGAAAAACATGTTTCTGAAGATTTTTTTGATTTTTTTCAAGGTTATTGAAGCGAAATCGAGAAGAAAAAGGCTTTTTTTCAAAGTTTCTGAAGACTTTATTGTATTGAAAAAAATGAACTCCTGGTCAAATTTTTTTCAGGTTCTAAGACCTTTTTCAAGAGTTTTTAAGGTGTAGAATTGAACAAAAAAATGTTTCTGACGTTATTATGAATTTTTTTAAGGGTATTGAATTAAAATCGAGAAAAAAAAGCTGTTATTAAATTTTCCGATGGATTGATTGTATTGAAAAAATGAACTTCTAGTCAAATTTTCCGGGTTTCAAGACCTTATCAAGGGTTTTAAGGTGTAGAAATTGAAAAAAAGATTTCTGACGGCTTTTTTGATTTTTTGAGGTTGAAGCATTGATCCAGAATTTGAGGGAAAAGTATATTTTTCACAGTTTCCGAAGATAGAACTTCAAAAAATCCTCAAACCAGACTTTTTGGGTATTTCTCATTTTATCGCGAGAATTTCGAGCACAGCTGTTATTCTTTTTCGGGCCGACTCGAAAAATCGCCATTTTCAACTTGTTCTTCTGATTTTTATTCTCGCGTTTATTAGGGCCCACTTCGCGGATCGCCGATTTTTCGCCTTTTCTACGTCTTTTCGTTGATTTTTCTTTCTGAACTCATTTTTTGAATTTAAAAGAGAGGTATTCTCTTGGGAAAATGTAAAAATTCACCTGTTGAATTTTTTTCGAAATCCTCCTGTTCCGCTAGAGAAATTTTGGTTTCTAAAATTCATCGTAACTTGAAAAAAAAAAGATTTTTTCGATGATTTTGATATGGAAACGGTCCTTGGTCAAAAATGCATTTCTTGTGATTTTTTTCTTTTTGAAAAATCCTGATTCAAGAACAATTTCGATTCGTAAAGTATTTTTCAATTTTACACTGTAAAAGTAGGGACCGCAGACGAATTTTCAAAAAATTTTTTTCAGCATTGAGCTTTGTATGGTTCGATAGCTGTTTCGATTCAAAACTCAGAACCGTTTAGTTTTTCAAAAAAGATTGAGGATGAAAAAAGTTATGACGGAAAATGTGGCGCGCCGCGCACCATTTTTTTAGTACTGAAATTTTGGTATTATCCATTTTTGACATTTTTTTCTCGATTTTTTTCTTCTAGAACAAGTTTTTGATACTGGTCTATTATGATGTAAAAAAATCATAATAGAGTGCTAAAATGATGCTAATCAGCTAGTTTGCCGAAAAAAAGTCTGTATTTTTGCAGAAAACAAAAAAACTGGCGCTTGCGGGCATCGAACTCGCGACCTCAAAATGAAAAAAATCGGAGCGCACGCGCTGCGCCAAGCTGTTAGGTCCAGCGCGGGGAGCTTCCATCCGCCTTACCCTTTGAGCCGTTTAAATAGCACAGATTGCCTATTTCAAAAAAATAAAAAAATTTGAAGTAATTTAGCTATTTTTTTATCAGAATATGTTCGCAAATCTTTACTCAAACTTTTCGTGGAAATTCACTTCGAAAAAAACTGTTTTTTTAGTGCTTTTTTTGCCTCGTTTAACGATCGCTGCATTAAAACGGCCCCGTAAATTTTTTTGGCAAAGACGAATTTTTTTATTTTATTCTTTTTAATTGAAAGATTTTTTTACTAATAAATGTATATAATCGTTTGAAAAAAACCTGCGTTCGATCGCTTTCTGTGTGATAAACGCCGCTAATTTTTATTCTCTAGTTTCAAGAGCATTTTTTTGCGTATTAAACAACTTTTTTTCAAGCAAAGATGCTGTAGAGAAATATTTAAGTAAGCTCATGATCTAAATTTTTGAAAAAAACGAAAACTCGATTATATTCGCTTATTAACGATATTTTTGATTTATGACTTTCGGCGCTCCTTAAAAATTTTTTTGGCAAAGACGAGTTTTTTTATTTTATTGTTTTAAAATTACCGTTACTTGAATCAAAAATCATTATTTAAAAAAAGAAAGAGTGCGTTCGACCTGAAAAACACATGAAAAAAAGCAAAAAAACGACAAAAATTTTTTTAGTTCCATTCACGTTTTTTTGTACGACATTCCGCGCGAACGCATCAAAAAAGCGTGAAATATTTTTTAAACGAAAGAGGAAGCTTTTTTGTACATGTGTGCCAAAATTTATTATCCAGTTCCACATATTTTGCAACTACAGCAAAATGAAAGTTGAAAACCAAAAAAAAGCCACTTTTTCTATCGCGAAAAGGGGCGTGGCTTTGCGGTCCCTATGTAAAAGTTGATTCGAATGCTTCGAAACCAGAAGAATTTCTTGAGTTTTTCGGCTTTTTTTATTGGATTTTTGTTTGAAGTGAGTATAGATCTGTATTTTTCAAGATTTTTTTACCTAATTATTTTTTTGAACAATCTATGAAGCTCCTAAAAGTTGCTAGAATGATTTTTCAAACTTTTGAAATCTGCAAATTGTAGAAATTTGAAGTGAGTATAGACCACTTTCCACTGAAAAATAGCTCATTTCGATACTTTTTAAAATAAATTTTCCTTAAATTCTTTGAAAATAGCTATGAATGAAGCTGCTATAAATTGACTAGAAGCTTTTTAAAACTTTTAAAATTGCAAATTGTAGAAATTTAGAGAAACCATAGAGCAAATACACTGCAAAGTTGGTCATTTCAATACCTTTGAAGGATTTTAAAAAGAATCCAGAGTGGTCCCTATAGGGGTAAAATCAAGGTGGACCCTATAGGGGTTCAAGGTCTAACCCCTTAGTCTCTAAAGCTCAAGTGGTCCCTATAGGGGTCATCCAATTTCATTCAAAAAACGCTCATTTATTCATTTTTTTTTCCATTTTTTCCATGCTTCTTCGCCTAAATTTTACTACCATGTCCCCTATAGGGGCCACTAGATGGAACAACCTATAAAGATCATTTTTGAAAGCTTAAGTGACCCCTATAGGGGTTGGCAAAGTGATCCCTAAAGGGGCCCCTAAGAAGTTCTGCCACAGTTTCTCAAAAAACCCTATGAATGAAGCTGCCATGAATCAACCATGGAGCCAAAATTGCTACTTGTCGTCCTTCCTCGAAAAATGCGCCCAAAAAAGGCAATAGCCGAGTTGGGGGAGGCAGAGCCGACGGAGAGCTACCAGCGAAGCTCCGCCCACTTTCCGTGGCCGCCACCGGTGCCCCGCCTTTACTCGTTATTTGCTCCTGCCGCCACCATTTTTGGTCCACCACTTTTCTTGTACCTTTCTCCTGATGTAACTTTACTTTTGAGCTCGATTTTGAGTTTTGCAATTTTTCGACATTTTCTATCGACTTTTGAGCGAAATTTGAAGCTTTTTGAACTTTTTTTCGTCTTGAAAGAGGTTTTTATGAGGTTTTCCGAGTTTCTTGTACCTTTTTATACCTTTTTAAAGATTTTTAAGAGTCCATTTTTGAAGATTTTTGAACTTCATTTTGAAAAGTTTGGAAAATTCGATCATTTTTTGATGCTTTTTTTGAGGTGAAAAATTGGGAAATTTGAGCTTCTTTCATGCCAAATCCTGTTTAAAAAAAGAAAAAAATAACAATTTTTCCAAGTTTTTTTATAGACCTTTTTTTCACACTGTCCAGTTTGAAAAAAACAAAAAAATTAAAAACTTAGATCCATTTATAATCATTTTTCTCATGCTTTTTAGCTCTATTACAAGAAATTTCATCTCATTTTTTTCCATTTGAAAAATGATAATCAAAAAAATATTATAATTAACTTCCTGGTCAACTTTCCATGTAGAGACAAGTCTACGTTATTTTCATATTTTGCACTTTTCACCGATTAATTCCGTTTTGCTGTTTCAGTTGCGTTAGTGCTTCTATTTATCACGCTTCCAAGTTTTTCTTTCGAAAATTTTCCGATTACTCCTTAAGATCCGCATTTTTAGAATGGCTGAGCTGTTCTCGGGTGCGCCGATAGGCAATTATGACGCCAGCTATCTGATTTCCCTTGTCAGGTGAGGTTTTTAAAGTGAGAGCACTTTTTTTGTCTTTTTTGATGAGTTTTAATGCTCTTCATACCATTGGAATCCGAAAATTCGTTTTTTTTGAAGGAATATAACTTCTATTCATTTTAAATCAGTAACTTGGCCAGGTTAATGTAGGTTTCAGCGTGGTAATAATAAGAAATGAATTAATTTTCACTCGTTGCTTTTTTTAGAATGCCCAAAATGATTCTTTTTCATGACCAAGAACTGGAAAGTACTTCAAAATGGCTTTTTTTCAATCAGAACTTGTAATTTTTGATTTAATTAACATTTTTCTGGAAAATGGCTAGGTGAGCATATTAATTGGTGTACTTGGAGAAGGCTCGAAAAATGACGAATTCCTGGATTTTTGAGAAAAAGACGTCCAAAATGTCCTATTCCACTAGTTACTCACAATTTTCTTTGATTTTGAAGGTTTTTCGAGAATTTTCCTGGTTCAGACTCTGAAAATCTTCATTGGGAAGTTTCTGACCATTTTTTAAGGACATTTTGAAGTTAAAAGCACATTTTTTTCCCTTTTAAGGAGTCAAAGGGTTTTCAGATTGAGACTCCAACAGTACTTGAAAGAAATTACAGAAGATTTCAGGATTTAGAGTCCCTTATAAGGAATGAAACAGTTAAAAAAGGCTCAAGAGAGAGGTTCGAAGCAATTTTTTTTACGAAATTAAAATATTGGCAGCTTCATCTAACACATAAAACAGTATATGGATTTTTAGAAAGTTCAAAAAAATTTTTTTATTTGATTTTTCTTGTAAGGGATGAGAAATTTCGAAACCGTTATCTAGTAGATCAGACAATATTCGAACAAATTTAAAAAAATTTTTCCGGTCTACAAGTGCTTTCCGGGTGTGGAATGAAGGTGATGGAAAAGGACTTTTCAGACTACTTTCAAAAAAATTTTTTTGACCGCAAAAAAAATTTCTTCCTTGTTAGTTATTTTTAGTAAATCAGACCGTTTTGGAACAGTTTTTTTAGACAATTTTAGAGTTCAAAGCATACGCCGGCTGAAGAGTTTTACTGTCCGAACTACTAGATAACGGTTTCCCATCTCTTGCAAGGAAGTTAAATATTTCCGAAAGTTCATATTCACTTCCCCCAAACCCCCCCTAACTTTCAAATTTTTTTCGCGCTCAAAAAAAGCTGGGGTGTGATCCAGCCGATGTATGACTTGAAGTATAACCCCCCCTTCCCCCGGAGAAGTGTGGCTGTCGGACTTAAAGTATAACTAACCTCGAAGAAAACAAGAAAAAATGGTTCAGCTCGGTGGCGACGTCGCGTCAGAAGACGTCGAGCCCGTCGGACGACACCTTGCCCGTCGAATCGCACACGGACGGCTCCTGCACGCCGGACGACGCCTCCTCGGTTGCGTCAGCGTCTTCAGATGGCGCGCCGCCGGCCAAACGTCGCCGAAAGCCCGACGGTAGGTCCGAAAACATCTGTCCCCTTCTGTCGTGTCCTCGCGCCGGCTTCATCAAACGGCCCTTTCTTTTGTTCTCTCACTCCTTTTACGGTTGCGCAACTTTGTCTTGAGAAGCTCCTTGATGGGGATTTTTGAATTTTGAGCTTTTTTTTGTTCTTCTAGAGCTTTTCCACTCCTTCTACTGGTTCCAGGGGGGTTGTAACATTTTTTGTACTGACAAGAGAGGTCTTAGGGCTTGGGATTTCCCCGGAACTTGGCCAGAACGCTCTTGGATGTGCCAGAAGTACATTCTGAAAGTTTCAACTTCTAGTTTTTGAGAAAACGCCTCAAAATCCATTAAAAGGGCTGTTTTTAGACTTCAAGCTCTTGTTTCTCTAAAACTAGAAAGTTCTGCAGATTGAGACTTTCAGAATCTTCTTCTGGTACGTCAAGAAGTGTTCTGACCAATTTTCAGGAAAAAAAAAGTAAAGTGACCTTCCCTGTGAGGCTCCTTTCACATTAGAAAAAAGACCTTTCATGATTTTTTGATTTTTTACCCACTTCTAACTTAATTTTGAAACATTTCAAGCCCTTAAGGCTTTAAAAATGTTTTCAGATGATAGCGATAACGGATGGGGAACGAGTTTTGATCCCAAAGGTTTTAATTAAGACTTTGTCTTGAAACGTATCTTGGACTTTTTTCAGAAATTTACCATTTTGGTCAAATTTTCAGCGTTTTTGTTGAGATTTTGAGCATTTCCATTTAAAAATCATGTTCTAGGGTAAACAAAACCTACAGAAAGTTTCAAGGGTAAAAATAATTTTCGACGAGTTTTTTGGGCCCCCACAAAGCTTATCTCATCGTAACCATCAAACTTGCCATTTTTTCCGAAAAACTTCACCTCGTCACGCTCAATACCTTATTTGGCAGCAGGAAGATAAAGGTATAAAAAAAAGGCAGTGAGAAGGCTGAAAAATGTCCTTGGCGCGACGTGTTCGCTCAATTATCCCTGTTGACTTTCCCGTTTTTTTTTCTCATTTTCTTTATTTTTTCCGGCGCGTCATTGTCACCGTAAACTATTGACCGTTGGGTTTACGGTAACCTGGAGGAAGTTTTGAAGGAATTTTAGAGGTACAGGAATTTTTTAAGGTGGGAAAAGACCTTGAAAAGGGCACCTATAGTGACTTTTTGACCTCTGTGGCCCTAGAGTGACCTCTTGGATTTTTTAAGCTGCAGTATTTTTGCTTCAAAGGCCCAAAATATTGAGAATAGGATTGAAATTTTCTGAAAATAATTTTATAACAAAAATGAGAATTTGATATCTGCTTTCAACGGTAGATTTATAAGGCTAAAAAATGCTTCGACATCACTAAAATGACCACTCCAACCTCTCAGCCCCTATAGTGACTCCTCTCCTTCTCAGAAGAGTAGGCCGAAAGGCGAGAAGAAGAAGCTCTTTTTGGCCCATCAAGTGGCGCCGAAAAAGGGTCGACAGATGGTACAGACGAAGGGACGCATCTTCTTCCATCTTCGTCAAGTTTTCCGCTTCTCTAGGTCGTTTTTTGCTCCCCTCTTTCTTGGTTCTTCGAGCTTAATTAGGAAGTCGGAGCTTGAGAAGGTTTTCCGGTAGATCTGTAGATTCTGGGGTTTTTTTTCGCGTTGACTAGTTGACTGCTCGATGCGTCGCGGCTGCGCTGCGGTTGAAGTTGCAACCGACCTTAAAGCGACTTGGGCAGAAGCCCCAGCGTAGCCGCAAGCCCTTGAGCCATTCAAAATTTGCTTGGGACATCGTTTCTCTTTTGCTTGGGACTTGCTCAAAATCCGCAAGCTTTTTGGCCGCTGTAAATGCGACCTGAAAATGATCTAAACGGGCTTTTTTCATTGTTCGCCTTAGGACTTTTTTGTTTGCTTGGGACATCGTTTCTCTTTTGCTGGGACTTGCGAAAAATTCGCAAGCTCTTGAGCCGTTCTGAATTCGGCCTGAGAATGATCCAATCGGGCTTTTTCGACTTTTTGGCTTGGGACTTTTTTTTTTTGCTTGGGACATCGTCTCTTTTGCTTGGGAGTCGCTCAAAGTTTGCAAGCTCTGGAGCCATTCAAAATGCGACTCGAAAATTATCTAATAGGGAACTTTTTATTTGTTTTTTTTTGCTTGGGACTTTTTTTGCTTAGGACTTTTTTGCTTGGGACTTCTTTTTTTTGAGCTTCTTTGCCATTTTTTTTGTCAAAAATCAAGCGTTTTGGTCATTTTTTAAGTTGACCTGGAAATGATCTGAACGAGCTTTTTTCATTTTTTTTTTTTGCTTGGGACTTTGTTTTTCTTGAGCTTTTTTTATGAGGCCTATTGTACTTTCCTACACAACTCTAGACCATTCTATTGACTTTAGTTAGTAAGTCAAAGCGGTCAAGCGGTAGAATAATAGTGTATTGACTTATGGTCATCGTATATTTGTACGATTTTGATGAGATTCCCCCTCTTATATTTGTTCACCCGGCACACCGGCGACTCGTGCCGGTTCGTCCAGGATAGTTTGTCCCTCCGGAAAGATTTCCAGTGGATAAAACTGAGGGTTAGGTTGGAAGGAGTTATTAAAGGAGCATAGGGAAGTTTGATATGGGTCTTAAAGCGATTTTGAACATCTTTCAGAGAAATTGGGGGATTTATAAGGAAAAATTGGCTTTTTTGAAAATTTGGAAATGATAAATTCATAATATAAAGGTTTCACAAGAAAAGTCCCCTGTGAAATTTTGCACTTTCGAAAAAAAGTCCGCCGAAAGGGGATGAAATTGCGAAATTTGTACACTTACTCATTGGCTTCTCCGTTGCAGTTTTGTTGGAAATTTTGCGATTTTGTTGTCTTTTTTGGCTTCAAGTGTACATAGGTAACTTTTCCGAGACTTTTTTGATTTTTTGGACCAAAAATGGATGAAGCTAGATTTTTTTTCATTGAAGGCTTTTTTGGGAGGATTTCTGCGCTCCAACGCAAAAATTGCTTAAAACTATTCTTTTTTCATTGATATTCACTCATGGCGTTTTTATTGTGGCTCTCTATAGCTAGTTACAATATCAAAAAGTGGAAAAAAATTTTTTTCAAGGTTGTTTTTACAGCATTTTTTTGCGCTCCACGGCTAAATATGGCTCTACTTATCAAAAATGACCCATAGCTAATTTTTAAAGAATCGTGCAAGTTTTTTTCTAATTTTTTTCATAATTTTTTGAAACTTCCCGATTTGAAAAAAGTGTTCCCCGTGTTGCTTGGAGACGTTGGGCTTTTCCATATTTTTCAGTTTCACAAGTTTTTTTTTTGTTTTACACTTTTCTGTGTCAATTTATCACGCTGAGTAGAAAAAAACATTTCTCAAAGTTTTACGTAAAACTCGACCTTTTTTCTGCTAGTATACGATGATGAAGAGAGCCGTTAATTTTCAATAGATTTTCGAGAAAAGACGCCAATTTGCAGTTGCTTCAAGTGTGTTTAGGAAGCAAAGGACTTTTAGTTTGTAGGAATGAAAAGGGAAGGAAGAAGTTGGGATGGATGTAGGGCTTTTTGTTTCGGTATTTCTGCGCCCTATTGATAATTTTGCGATGTGATGGCTATACATTAGCTCTGAATCAGTAGTATATGAAAATATTGCGATTTTTAAGTTCAGTGGCTATTTTCCAGTGGTTTTTGCGCTCCAAGGACAATTTCCATAGTAACGTTGTTCATTCTGAAGAATATAGATTTTGTAAATTTATTTTTGGGAATTTTATGACCTAGGCTTTTTTAAACGGTGTAATTCGCTCTGTTCACAATTTTTCTGTGGGCTGGAAAAAATTTGAATTCTCGGCTATTTTTACAAAGCTTGTGCGCTCCAATGATAATTAGCTTATTTTCAGCCTGATTTTTCGAAAAAGACACTCCGTGAGTAAATCCAAGGGGATATAAAATAGTGGCGATTTTTCACAAAGCTTGTGCGCTCCATGGACAATTTCTCAGTTAGTTCAACAAAATCATACCAAAATTGATATGTTGGCCATTTTTCTCGGAGTTTGTGCGCTCTATGGATAATTTATTAATGAGCTGAACGAAATTATACTTTTTTCCATCTATTGGCCATTTTTCACGAATTTTGTGCGCCCCAATGATAATTGGCTATTTTTCGGCCTAATTTTTCAAAAATAAACACTCCCGGATTAAATCCAAGGGGATATAAACTAATGGCCATTTTCACAAAGTTTGTGCGCTCCATGGACAAATTCAAGAAAATTGGCTTATTTTCTGCCTGAAATGTCAGAAAAAGACCCTAATTTTGAGAAAACTTGGAAACAATTTCTTGGCTTATCGCTCTTATTCCAAAAATGCCAGCCAATGAAGGACAGTACAACCGTCGCCGTGTCACTTCGTGTTAACTTGCAAATTGCGGCTATTTTGTTCTTCAGAGGCAAATTCGCACCAGAAAACCAACATTTGCTCATAATTTCAAACTGGGATCTGACAAAATGTTTTCTTACTGTAAGAACTTTGGTCGAAAGAGAGAGAAAATCGGCGAAAATGACCGTTTTTTTCGCTTTTTGATGTCGGCTGACCTTCTGAGCGGCCTTTTGGGAAATTTTTTTGGCTTGGGATGTTTTGGAAGGCATTTTTCAGCTTCAAAACCACGTTGGAATCAGAGAAAAGTCAACTTTTTAGCTTTAAAAAAAGCAGATTTGGGTGGGGATTGTGATTTTGACAAATATAAGTTTCTGGTTAAGTTGAGAGCTTCTGGTCGCATTTGGAATGGCTCAAAAGGCTTCTTGAATGAAATCAAGTGATCTTGGGTACCTTATAAAATGAAATCTTTCAAAAAAATTATCCAGAATCTAGATTTTTACTATGAAAAAGGGATGTTTAGAGGAATTTGTAATGAATTTTTGAGATTTTTAGTTGATTTTTTTCAATTTTTTTAAGATTGAAATAGAATTTTTTTAAGATTTCGGGCAAAAATTTAGATTTCTGGTCAAGTTGAGAGCTTCTGGTCGCATTTGGAATGGCTCAGGGGGTTTTTCAATTGAAACCAAGTGATCTTGGGTACCTTATAAAATCACATTTTTCAAAAAATTTGTCCAGAATCAAGATTTTTCATCGAAAAGTCCGAGGATTTTTGAGTGAATTTTTCAATTTTTCAATCTTGCAAGCGTATATGAATGGACTTTGCTTCAAGAAACTGGAAAAATAGATTTTTGGTGGGCAAAAAAAGTATGACTCAAACTTTCGAATGATGGATTTCCTTGAAGATGATTCATTTTGTTGCGAAATTGGTATTTTTTTGGTTTTTTTCCAAGTCAAAAAGTCATTGAAATCATCTTTTAAAGTTTTTTTGTATAGTGGTTTATCGTTGGAGGAAAGTGAAAATCATTTATGGAAAAAATTTTACGAAAAAAAGTTTCCTTGAACTTACTCTGTTCTTTTTCTTGTTCTCCACTACTTCTTTTTTTTTTGCTTCATTGGAAAGAGAAAACTCGAACATCTGCCAGGTAGGCCACCTGTACGCGCCGCCACTTGAAAGTATTTATGCATGAGCGATGGCTGTCGAAAGACAAAACTACTGTCCGACTCCCTTATGGCGAGTCATTTGGTCAACCTCCTCCTACACCATGTAAGGAGGGTAGAACTTGATCCGAATGATGTTGGAAGGGGGGCAGGGGGAGTTAATGGACTGTACTAGAAGAAGTTGAAAAAAATCTATTTTTGAAATTTTTTTGAGTCAATCCTTTTTCCCGCCATGTAAGGAGGGTAGAACTTGATCCGAATGATGTTGGAATGGGGGGTTAATGGACTGTACTAGGCAATTTTGAGGAAATTTAGTCTCTTTTCTGAAAAAGTCGAGCTTGAAGGTTATACTGTACTTGGAAAAGTAGGAGTTTTTGGATGGGGGGGAGTTCCAGGGAAAGTTTGAAAAAAGGTCGCCCTCTAAGATTTCGGATGAGAATGTTTGACTGTACTAGAAGAAGTTGAAAAAATCCATTCTGAACTTTTTTTTTCGAGTCAATCCTTTTCTAGCCATGTAAGGAGGGTAGAACTTGATCCGAATGATGTTGAGATGGGGGGGGGGGTGTTAATGGATTGTACTAGGAGAATTTTGAGGAAATTTTCGCCTCGTTTTTTTCCTGAAAAATATCGAGTATTGAAGGTTTGACTGTACTGGGAAAAAGTAAGAGTTTTTTTGGGTGGGGGCGAAATTTCAAAGAATTTTTTTGAAAAAAAATTGAGATGGAAGATGGCAGATCAGGTGTGCTGGACTGTACTGGAAAAAAAGTAGGACTTTTTTTGGACTTTTTTTGGCTTTTTCATTGGGTCAACATCTCTCCTCCCCCTTCCGGAAAGAAGGGTAGAACTTGATATGAATAGTGTTGAGATGGGGGAGTTCTAGGGAAAAATTTAAGAGAAACGATGAGATAAGGTTTGTGGGGGCCCAAAAAAACTCGTCGAAAATTATTTTTTTACCCTTAAAACTTCCTGTGGTTTTTTTAAAAGCTATTATTTTTCCCCTAGAACATAATTTTTTTTTGATGAAAATGCTCAAAAACTCAACAAAAAAACGCTCAAAATCTGACCAAAATGGTAAATTTCTGAAAAAAGTTCACGATACGTTTCAAGACAAAGTCTTAATAAAACATTTGGGATTAAAACTCGTTCCCCATCCGTTATCGCTATCATCTGAAAAAATTTTAAAAGCCTTAAGGGCGTGAAATTTTTTTCGAAATTAAATTAGAAGTGGGTAAAAAATCAAAAAATCATGAAAAGTCGATTTTTTCTAATGTAAAAGGAGCCTCACAGGGAAGGTCATTTTTCTTTTTTTTTTTCCTGAAAATTGGTCGGGACACTTCTTGAAGTACCAGAAAAAGATTCTGGAAGTTTCAACCTGCACAACTTTCTAGTTTTTGAGAAATAAGAGCTTAAAGTCCAAAAATAGCCTATTTTCATGAGTTTTGAGGCGTCTTTTCTCAAAAACTAGAAACTTGGGAAAGTTGAAACTTTCAGTATATTCTTTTGGTACATCCAGGAGTGTTCTGGCCAAGTTTCAGAAAAATGCCGACTTTTTTGAAAAGGGTATTTCATAATTATTCTGGCTTTTTCCATAGATTAGAAGGCTATGAAGCTCATTAAAAAAAGAAACGGAACTTTTTTAGCCGTGGAGCGCACTTGAGACTGAATATTCGGCTTTTTTTGAATTGAGAAAAATTTCGAATTTTTTTTCAATGCAAACTTAACATTACGAAAACTTGGAAAAAGTTCAATCTGATCGCTATTTTTGAAAAAAAAGTTTTTGTTGATCTTTTCGTCATGTTTGCCTTATGGTTCATCATGCTGGAAAGTTTGAAGAAGAAAAAAACACTTGATTCACTCAAAAACTCAACTTTTCGGCTTGTTTATTCGATTTTCTGTCCATGTTAATCAAAACGTTTCCCATTCGTCATTTGTCATATTCCGATAATTGCCCATGTAGACGTTAATTCCAATTAGTATCCATCCAGCTTTTTATCACATGGCGAACTTTGAAGAATATACTTTGAACTCCACTTTTTTCCACCTTCTTAATGACCCAAATCTTTCGCTTTTTTAAAGATACGGTAGCATTTTTTTCGCCCTTTTCATCTTGCCGCGTCCCACCGCCCTGGGGCGATGAGCCATGGCGAGTTGAAAAGAACACATTTTCTTTGACGAAATGCCGATTTTTGCGGGATTTTCTCACAATATCCGTGGAGCGCAAATAAAGAGGGACAGGCGGCTTTTTTTGTGACTAGTAGACTTTTTTTTTCTGATTGTCGTAGGTAACCATGGGGTGCCTTTGAACTGAACGAAGGGGGGAGGTTAAGCTAGATAGGGTTTGTTTTTTTCTAAGGGGAGGGGGTTTGCGGAAAAAAAGAGTAGTAGACTTTTTTTCTCCTACTGTCATAGCTCATCGTAGGGCGCCTTTCAACTGGAGAGAGAGGGGGACTTAACTAGATATTTTTATGTTTTTCTCTTGGGGGGTTCAAAAAGCCGTAAATTTTTGAAATTTCAAGATTTCCATTCTTTCATACAGTCCTGTGGCCATTGCAAAGTGCTCTATAAGGCCAGTTTTGCTTTTTTTCACTATTAAACCCCCCGTGAGAATCCCAAATCTCGACCTCAGTATAAAAAAAGAAGAAGTCAACAATAGAAGGACCGACAGAAGGATCCATCTGCAGGATATTGCGGCCTTATTCGGCAATTTGCCCCCGCCACGGAAATCGCAACTTGACGCGAGAGGCGAGATCAAACAGAAACGAGCTCCTTGGCATGAGGGGGGACACTTCTTGGCAAACAGCCAAGCCATCTGCACAACTTGCGCCCTACCGTAAACAGCTGTCCGGCCAGAGCCAAATATGCTAATTTTCTCAGACTTGGCGCTGGCCGATAGTTCAAAGAGCGGAAAGTTGGATTGATTTTTGAGATGTTACCGTATTCTGAGGTGGATACGGTAGTTTGTAGCGCTTTTCCTTGAAGTTCAAAGAGCGGAATGTTGAATCGATTTTTGAGCTGTTACCGTATTTTGAGGTGGATACGGTAGTTTCTGTGAAGGATACGGTAGCTTCTGAGATGAATACGGTAGTTTGTAGGTGAATACGGTAGTTTCCGAGGTGGATACGGTAGTTTCTGAGGTGGAAACGGTAGTTTGTAGGTGTATACGGTAGTTTCTAAGGTGAATACGGTAGTTTCTGAGGTGGACACGGTAGTTTGTAGGTGTATACGGTAGTTTCTAAGGTGAATACGGTAGTTTCTAGGTGGATACGGTAGTTTTTAGCGCTTTTCCTTGAAATTCAAAGAGGTGTCTCTTTTGATAAAGGTCTCGAAACGAAAAGCGGCATTTTTTCGAAATCATAGAGCTTCCCAAAACTTGTAGGATATTTAAAATCCTCCTTGGCGTCTGAAAATGACACGAAAAATGACGTCGCTTGTTTTTGACCCAAATTTAGCTTTTTTCAGAACCTTTTTGGACTTATTCTTTGACCTTTTAGTAGCCTCAATTCGCTAGAAAATAATCTTTCCAAGAACTTGAAGCCTTTTTCTAGAAGGAGAAGCTTAACTGGTTTCCGAGAAAATCCCAGAAAATGACTTTTTTTTGCCCAGAAGTTTCCTCTGAAACTCGATGCGTCTATTAGAGCCCATATTTGGAGGTCAGTGGGACCATAAGGACATTCGCTTGCAAGCAGATGTTTCATTGTATTACTCTGCGGTGGCGGCTGCAAAGTCTCCGCCTTCCCCCCCCATGGGTTTCCACTGGACCCAACAATATTCTCAACTTAATCGACCGAATCATGTCCCCCTTTTTGGGTATTTTAATGGTTGAGATTTTCCTTTTGATCTCCTTTGCTGTGGGATTTTACAGTATGGGGTTCTTTTTTTGCTTAAATTTTTCTCGATGAGATTTGGGGGAGTTTATATGTTTGAGCTTTGCACAACTGAGATTTGAAAGAAAGTTCTGTTTTCCGTCATGTCTCCGCCTTCCAATGAGTTTTTCGCTAACTCCCCCCCCAACAATATTCTCAATTTAATCGACCGAATGATGTCCCCCTTTTTGGGTATTATAATGGTTGAGATTTTCCCATTTTTGATCTCTCTTTTGTTGTAGGGATTTTACAGTATGGGGTTCTTTTTTTGACTGGGGCGGGGGGCTTGGATAGTTCAAAGTTCTAGCCTTGTTTTTTATATTCAAGCCCCACGCTATTTTCGTCATTTTTTTCAAGAATTTTTTTGAATTTCCGTCGAAAATAACATCGAAAAAGAAAGCTTTTTTTATTTTCAAATTCAAGGGATTTTTTTGGACTCTTTTGATTTGATTTTATAGTTATTTTTTTCCAAGTTTCTAGCTTCCTCTAGCTATTTTTTTCCAAGAAAAAAACTATGATCATTCAAATTTTTAGTACTGAAGGTTGCTTTTGTAGTTTTTCGCCATTTCTTTTTGAAATATTTGCGACTTTTCCCCAGTTTCTCACGATTTTTCTAATGTTCTGAAAAATTTTTAGTGGCCACTATAGAGGCTCGCCAAGGGACTACTTGGAGAGAGCACTAAAGTGGCCACTAAACCCACCTCTATAGTGGTCACTATTTTCCGGTTTAGTTGCCACTATAAAGGTTCTCTTTTTAGTGGCCCCTTCAGTAGTTTTTCATCCAGTATTCCTTCCAGTAACTCTGATAATTTAGATTGGACCAGTTAGGTTGATCCATTGACCCCTAAAGTGGCCACTAAAATTTCTAGTGGACTAGTAGTAGCACTTAGACCTCTATAGTAGCCCCTAATTTTTAACCCCTTAAGTGGCCACTCATTTGGCTACTATAGTGGTCACTGAAACGTTAAAACCCTATGGTGGCCACTAAACAATTTTCCCAGTTTGATCTCATACTGATCAGCTAATGTTGCAGCCAAAGATATTGTACGCGTGGTCGGATCCGGCCGGCCGGCGACAAATTAGCCAAAATCGAAGGATTGGAATTGGAATCGTCCGAATTGGCCGCTACAAACTCCAAAGAGGCGATTAACGAGATGACTTGCGGCGCCGTGACTCCAACTCAAGAGGTTCGAAATATAATTCCGTCGGTTTTGTATCATGAATGACCAACCAATTATAAGTGGTTATTTGATATTTTAAGGGGGAGGGGGCAAAGCTCTTGATTTTTGAGATAAAATTTTATCTTTTTTTCAACATTTTTTTCTGGTTCAAATTTTTCATGTTTTTCAGCTCAAAATCAACCATTTTTGGTTCGAACTATATATTTCAGGGGGCAAAAGCTCTTGATTTAGAGATGAATTTTTGAAAATTCGGAACAAAAATCTGTTTTTTTAAGGCTAAATTTTTGAGAATTTGAACCAAAAAGGTGTTGGTTTTTAAGCTCAAAGATGATAGTTTTGAGCTCAAATTTTTCCAAAAATTCGGAACAAAAATCTGTTTTTTTAAGGCTAAATTTTTGAGAATTTTGAACCAAAAAGGTACTTAATTTTTAGATGAAAATTTGAAAATTTGAACCAAAAATTTTTTTCGATTTTTTTGCTGGGATTCTGAAAATTTGAACCAAAAAGGTGTTGGTTTTGAGCTTAAAGATGATAGTTTTGAGCTCAAATTTTTTTGAAAAATTCGGAACAAAAATCTGTTTTTTTAAGGCTAAATTTTTGAGAATTTGAACCGAAAAGGTACTTAATTTTTAGATGAAAATTTTTAAAACTTGAACCAAAAATTTTTTTCGATTTTTGCTGTAATTTCTAAAATTTGAACCAGAAAAGTGTTGATTTTTGAGCTAGAATTCAGAAATTTGTCTGATTTTTTTAGTTGAAAATTTGAAAAATTGAACCCAAAAACTATTGATTTTTTTAGCTGAAAAATATGCAAAATTTGACCCAAAAAAATGTTGATTTTTTGGCTATAATCATGAAAATTCGAACCCAAAAAAATTGTTGATTTTTAGGTTCAAACTTTAAAAATTTTTGAACAAGAAAGGTGCTGATTTTTCAAATAAAAGCTTCAGAATCCTCTTATCCGCTCAAAAAAGACCCCCAATTTTTCAGAAACCCCAATTCGACATGACCAAGTACCTGTTCGCCCACGGAATGCTACCATTGAGCGAACACCTCCGAATCTTGACCTCCCAAGTGCCGTCGGCCTTCTCGACGTCTTCGATTTCCTCGACGTCGCCGCCGACGACGTCGATGGCTTCTGAAGCCCAGCCGTCTCATCTGACGACGGCGACGATCAAAATGGAAGATTCTGAAGACAAGTCGAGCTCGATGATGAAAAGTGTGAGTGAGGGGTACTGTAGAAGCCAATTTTGTTTGGATGAAAGCCAATTTTCACTGGGGCGCCGCTTCCTGAGTGCCGCTCCCTTTAATATATTCGAAATTGCGAATTCAACGTCGGATTTGCATACAAGTTGAAACAAAAAGCACGTGAAAAGTGACATTTTTCGAGACCTCCTTTGTTCGGGGACGATGCGCCTTTAATTGCATTTTACGACTTTTTTTGTATTTACGTAACTAGACTCTATTGAGAGAGATTAATGATAATAATAATTATTATTTATTTCCTTCACAAGATTAAGAGGAGAAAAACCGGGAAAAATTGGCCGTTTTTTTCGTGCCGAGAATCAATTTTTTTGACGAGGTTGATGCGCCTTTTAAACTTTTAAGCAGTTTTAGAGAATAATTTTTAGCTGAATTCAGACCTTTTTTTCCCATAAGATATCATCATTATAGAGTAGTATGAAAAGTTAGCCACTTTTTCGTGTCGGGATTCAATTTTTGACGAGCTTATGCGCCTTTAAACTTTAGGCAGTTTTGAGAGTGATTTTGCTGAATTTAGACCTTTTTCCGATAGAATATTATCATTACAAAGATCCGTGAGATGCCAGCCAATTTTTCCTGTCTCGACTCATTATTTGGCTGAGTCGATGCGCCTTTAAATTTGAAAATTTGAGCAAATTTTCAATATTAAATGTCATATCCATCCATTTCCTTGTGAAAGAGACAAAGAGCCCGTTAAGTTATTTTTGGGTGCTGCGCCTTTAATAAGCATTCAAGTTGCTATGAATAGACTATGCTTTGAGAGTCAAAATCCAGCTCAAAAACAATTTTCCATCCAATTTCAATTGATTTATGATAATCCCAAGTAGTATCATCCCAGAGAAGTGCATGATGCCATTGTTTTGACGCCCCCCGCAAGATAGGTCAATCAAATTGGGAGGCAGGATCGCGTGTGACGTGTCACGTTACCACGTCTTCGTCACATTATTCCCCACTCCTTCTTGAAAAGCTATTGTCCATGAATTATCTAGTCGATTTGGTGACCGTACAGAATTGAGTGGAGAATGGTCAAGAAAAATGGGAGGCTATAAATTGGCGGAAAACATGCTCCATGGATAATAGTTGGAAAAGCTCAAAACTGATAGAAAATATGCTCCATGGCTAATAGTTGAAAAAGGCCAAATATCGGTGGAATATATGCTCCATGGATAATAATTGAAAAAGCCCAAATATTCGTAGAATATGTGCTCCATAGAGAAAACCCGCGAGAATTAGAATTTTCGGCGATTTTTTTCGAGCTTCATTATTTGTGGGCTCTTCGAACCAAGTATCAAGAAAATGACCCAAAAAAAAAATTAAAAACCAAAAAATGTTTTTTCCAGTCACCATTGGACGTCCTGGTACCGATCGGTATGGCGAAAAGCCCAATTTCTGCATCATCGCCTCCGCCGTCTGGATCAGAATCCTCGCCGCCGATGACGCCTTCTGGAGAACTGACAATCGCGACGTCGGCCGATGGAGGTGACCCCTGTAGGCGTCACTCCCAACGGAAGCCTTCCGTCGCCTGGAACCGGCTACTCTTGGAGCATTCGCCGTGGTTCGTGCTTTTCGTTATTTTTGGCATGTGGGAGTGAAGTGAGAAAAAATGGCCGCGGTAAGAAATATCAAGTGCGCTCTGAGGATAAAGCTGAAAAAGATGGAGGAAATAGCCGCGATTGGAGCTTGTGCGCTCTACTGAGAAAGACAAAAGAGCGGAGTTGCCTTTTGCGCCCTAGAATGATTTCAGAGGAACAAACGATTAAATTCTCATTTAGCGGGGCTATTTTTATAAATCGTGAAAAAATAGCTGCGATAGGGGCATCTACGCTCTACGGCGAAAAAATAAGAGCTTTCGCGCCCCAACGATAATTTTATAGTTGCGATTTAGCGCTGGAGCAAAATGATCAAGAGCATCGAGGCTGTTTTTGTAAATTGTGAAAAAATAGCCGCGATGAGAGCATCTGCGCTCTACGGCGAAAACAAAGAGCTTTTGCGCCCCAACGATAATTTCATAGTTGCGATTTAGCGCTGGAGCAAAATGATCAAGAGCATCGAGGCTGTTTTTGTAAATTGTGAAAAAATAGCCGCAGTGAGAGCATCTGCGCCCTGTCGATAATTCATATCAAATGACCGATTTTCGAAAAAAAAATTAGCCGTGGAGCACAAGAGTTCTAGTTTCTCGAGGCTATTTTTTCTGGCTTGATTTTTGATGCTGAAACTTTAAATTAAATAATAGTAACTTCACGAGTATCTATCGTAATTTTATGAGTCTTTTTTTGAATTTAGTCCTACAGTAACCCGAGAAGTTTCCTCGTGGAAACTTGCAATTAAAAAATCGTTGTCCCTATATGTGTTCCTATGCGTTTCCTCTTATAATTGCTAGTTTGGCTTTTCGAAGAAAGTCACCTGGTATATATATATGGATATTATTCCCATCCGGCCAATTTTTCTTCGGACAATTTGACGAAAAAAAAAATATTTCGAAAGCATCGGGGTGGAAGAAAGTTGCGTGTGCCTTTAATTGTACCTTTTGTGGTAAGATCGGCAAAAATCCAACCCATTCTCTCAGTCCGTATGGTAGTTGTCCCCACTATTTTCACTCCTTTTTAATCAAACATATGGAGTTGTCCGAAGTCGAGTCTGGCCCGACGATAATTAAGCGATTCAATTGGAGAGCAGCCCCAAAATCTGCTACTTATTGAATTAGTTCGACTCGGCATAGCTCCCCGGGTTTTGCAGTTTTCAGGGGTCCTTTTTCCGGCTTAAAAGTGATCAGAAAGTGGAAAATTGAGCCATACGCTTGTTATTAAGAAGATTAGCATTGGAGCGCATTTGATTCGTCGCTTCACGGCTATTTTTTCATTTTGATTTTTGAGTGATCGGCTTTTTGCGAAAAGTTCGAGAATCCGGCGCAAAAAAAGATTAGCCTTGGAGCGCACATGTTTGGCCGTTTTGCGGCTAATTTTTCGTATTTAAGTTTGAGGGATCGGCTTTTAAGGAGAAGCTCGAGAATCCGCGGAAAAAAGATTATCCTTAGAGCGCACAAGTTTTGCTCCTTCGCGGCTATTTTTTCCTCTTGAAGTTTGAGCGATCGGCTTTTTGCGAAAAGTTCGAGAATCCGGCGCAAAAAGAGATTAGCCTTGGAGCGCACATGTTTGGCCACTTTGCGGCTATTTTTTCGTATTGAAGTTTGAGGGATCGGCTTTTAAGGAGAAGCTCGAGAATCCGACGCAAAAAAGATTATCCTTAGAGCGCACAAGTTTTGCTCCTTCGCGGCTATTTTTCATTTTGAAGTTTGAGGGATCGGCTTTTTGCGAGAAGTTCGAAAATTCGACGCAAAAAAAAAGATTATCCTTGGAGCGCACATGATCGGTCACTTCGCGGCTATTTTTTCCTTTTGAAATTTGGCGCAGAATTTCATAAGAACTATTTTTTCAGATTGCAGTGAATATACTTTTCTGAGAAAAATTCGATTCTTGCCTGAAAATTTTCTCGGACATTGGTAACGCGAATCGGACGTGTCGGGGCTTTTCTAGGGACCACTTTAGTGGTTTCAGCCCTCTTAAGTGGTCCCTAGATTTGCTCAGAAAAGTCCGTTTCGCAGAACAATTTTTCTGTGATTTTATTTTTCAGATTAGAAAAAAATTGATAAAACTATAAAATTCGACCTTTTTTACCCGTTTGTCTCAAATTTCCATGAATTCAGCTTTCAGAACTTTCAATTTTCCATCAAAGTTCACATTTTTCCATTGACTAACCTTCACCCTTCGTTCACTCGCACTTTTTTAACATCCACTTCAATCACTCGCACAGAAAACTGACTCCAAAAATCCGTCAAATAATGACTAATCGTACTAATTTTTCACGGTTTCCCACTCGCACATATCATTCGAAAAATTATTCCGCTACCATCTACTAATAACACCAATTATCACTCGCACCGATCATAACACATAAAAATTAATTCCAAGAAAGTTGCTCTTAATTAGAAAATTTTGTGTCAACCGGAGAGTCGAATCTCGTGTTCGCAAACACGATTCGGAGTTTATTTTTAGTTTTCCCAGAAAAAAACAAGAGAATGGATCGAATTTGTAGCCACGGCCTATAGGTAAAAGTTAGGGCGAAAAAGTGGAAGACAAAGAACTTTTTTCGCTAATCAACTGACACGGATTCGGGTACATTTCTCATTTCACCGTTGGGTGGTCAGCTTTACGAAACTCTGTTAAAAATTCTCAATTTTGTTAGTTTTTGGGATAGTCCATTCACCGCTGCTTTAGTGAAAAATGAAGGAAAAGTTCGATTTTTCGATTTTTTAAAGATTTCATAGCTTAATTCTTAGCTGTGATCCGTGGGGGTGGTCAGCTTTACGAAAATCCGTTAGAAATTTTAATTTTTGTTAGTTTTTGGGAAAGTCCATTCACCGCTGCCTTAGTGAAAAATGAAGGAAAAATTCGATTTTTCGATTTTTGAGAGATCATTTCATAGCTGTGATCCGTTGGGTGGTAAACTTCACAAAACTCTGTTAGAAATTTTGAATTTTATTAATTTTAAAAAACATTCACCGTTGCTTTAGTGAAAAATGAAGGAAAAATTCGATTTTTCGATTTTTGAAGTTTTCGTGATAATCATAAATGACGTGAAAATTAAAGGCGCATAGGTCCATTTTTCAAGAATATCCTGACACGAAAACTGACCTTTTTGTGTGTTTCTATTGGTCCAGCTGAAAATGAATAGACTTACAAATTTTTTTAAGAAATTTTTCACTAGAGTGAACCCTTGCTTTTTCTCGACAAGGTAGCGGTGAATGAACAGAATTTCATGTCAAATTTAAAAAAAAACACGATTGAAGTGGTCCCTCGAGTGAATAGCATGATATCTTTGATTTTATTTCTCTACTAACTTTAACCATTCTCTGGTTACTGTAATGACGCGCAACTCATTACAGAAGGCAAACTGGCTTGCCCGACACCTGGCTGCGACGGCTCCGGCCACCAAACCGGCCTCTACACGCATCATCGGAGCCTTTCCGGATGCCCCCGACGACCCGACAAGACCGTCATTCAAAGTGAGTTTTTGGCGTCTTCTGGTCGCATGTTGAATGGCTCGAAGCGTTGCGGTCGCGCTGCGGCTAGACTCAGCTACTCCCAGTGCGGCCAAGTACTCGAATACATGAAAAAAAATCATCTAGCCGCATTTGGAATGGCTCAAAGCGTCGCGGTCGCGCTGCGGCTTGGTTAAGCCATTCCCAATGCGACCAAGTTTTCAAATACGTGACTAACTAAATAACTAAAACCATCGGGTCGCATTTGGAATGGCTCGAAGCGTCGCGGTCGCGATGCGGTAAGACTGAGCCATTCCCGGTGCGACCGCAACGCTTTTCCCAGTGCGACTAAGTTCCCGAATATCTGAGATAAAACAACTAAAACCATCTGGCCGCATTTAGAATGGCTCGGAGCGTTGCGGCTCGACTGAGCCATTCCCAGTGCGTCCAAATTTTCGGAAGCAGAAATGTTACATGACCACGGTTTCATATGAAAAGACGCTCTTTAGAAAAAAAATTTCAAAAAATGAGGTTTTTCTGAAGTTGCGTCATTTGGGATTGAACTCGCGACCCTTCGAGTCATAAGCAAGCTCAAAAGCCACTGCGCTATAAATTTCCATACTCACTACATCTGAAGATTTCACGACTTCAGTGTAGTCTCAAAAAAAAGGTACATTTTTTCGAGATCTCTGTCTCGAATACTTGCGCAAACATCCTTTTTTTCATCTTTCGTAGTTGACTCTGGAAAATGGCGCCAATGTATCGAAATTTGAAACCGAGTAGTTTTTGTCGTCGTGTTGCGAGAAATTGTCACGTTTTGTGTTCTGATTTTTGAGGCTCTTTTTTTGAAAAGTATATTTTTGGTCTATGAATTTTTGTAGTAGAGTTTGAAGCTAGGAAGGTCAAATATTCAGTTTGAAGCGTTTTCTTCTTTTTCCGTGAGACTTCTCGTAGGAAACAAAGTCGGAATGGTGGATAATGACCGCTAGAAAGGAGTGGCTCAAAAAAGGCAGCAAAAAGGTAGCAAAAGGGGAGCAAAAAGGTTGCAGAAAGGTAGCAAAATGGCAGCAAAAAGGTAGCAAAAAGGTAAAAAAAAGACAAAACTCCATCCTTTCCGACTTTTCCTATGAGGTTTTCACTATTTTATTAATTTTTTCATAGTCCCATGTTTATTGCACGTTTTCAAAAACTTCGGAACCCAAAATCCAAGTTTCTCAACAATTTTCCTCCCGATAACTTGTGATCCAGAACACTTCCGGAAAAGAGAGAAAACAATCCTGGAACATGCATTTTTGGGGAAGCGAAAAAAGATTGAACGAAGTGAGTTTTCATCGCCTTTTCTCATTGGAAAGCCAGTGATTGAGCATTTTTCTGGTGGAAGCCCATTTTTGCGGCGGCCGCCCGAGTAAATTGGCCCGCCGCCAGTTTGATACATGACCCCCGAGGAACGGTGTTGAGTAATGAACCTTCCTTTCTCAGACTCCTTTCCAGGAAGGGGATTTTTTGGTTTTTTCGAGAATATTTCAATGCAAAACTTGCATTTATTCGAAAGTTTCTGGTCGCACTTGGAATGGCTCAGACGCGTTGCGGTTTTTTTTCTGTAGTTTTTGGGCCCAGGCTCCTTACGAAAATAAAGTTCTGGTAGCAGTGGGAATGGATCTGATGATCCTTGGGATTTTTGAATAATGGAAAACTTTTCTGACTTCTCTGGTTTCCTGAAGATGAACTAAAAAAAACTTTTGGGTCGAGCCGTTCCAAATGCGCCCAAAAATCCAAGTACACCGAATATTTTCCTCATGAAAGTCTGGCTCAAAAATGCGGTTGAGAATCGCCAAAGCGACCGTATAGCGTTGAGCCATTCCAAATGCGACCAAGATTTAAATTTGGTGAGAACCGAAACATATGACAAGCTTTCAAACCGGTTTTTGGAATACCAAGATATTTTGAGCCATTCCAAATGCGGCCAGGATTGAATTATATCAAATTTCTTCTTGACAGCCGTCAAGATAAAGAAGAAAAATTCACAATTCAGCCGCATAACATTAAGATATTCCAAATGCGACCAAGATTAAATTATGTCCACCTCTTCCGTGGTAACAGTCGGAACCAACGACATAAAGAAGAAAAAATCACAAAGCGAGACCGCATAGCCATTCCAAATGCGGTTCTATCCCCCCTCTTTTCTGTACCAGAAAGCACAAGCATGGTAGATCTTTCAGTGCTGGCGCTGCGCCAGGACACGGTCCTCCGCTGTACGACGCCCGGCTGCACCGGGAAGGGACACGTCAACAACAACCGAACGTCTCATAGAAGTCTCTCCGGATGTCCCATCGCCCATCAGGAGAAGCTGGCCCGCAAAGGAATCAAGGTACGTTTTCTTAGCACTAAAGGTGGTGGTATCAGAAGTTGATGAAACTTTGTACAGAGGTACTTTCGGATGTGCTTATTCAGAACGGGGATATTTTAAGTTCTGGTCAAGTTAGGGTACCTCAAAGTTGGTAACCTACCAAAGCTTGAGGAACCTACCAAAGCCCTACCTTCATCTACTATAACCACAATTTTTCGATGGAATCTGAATCAGCTTATCTAACAGTACCTACCTTCATCAAACCCCGAATACTTTTTGAAAATTATCGATTTTTCCTGTAGCATCACCATCTCGATGAAAATGAAGTAATTTGAATTCTCTGCAGGTCACCCCACAACGGCCAAGAAGTCCGACCGGCTCCAGATCGATCTTGGGCGAAGAATCGCCCCTGGACTTGACCCTCCGAGGCCTCAGCCAGATGATCCCGCCCCAGATGGCCGGCATGATGCCTTCCTCGTGAGTTATAGAACATTTTAAAAAGGTGACAACTTGAGGAGTCTCAATGGAAGTCTGAGGTCTAAAAAATTGAATAGTCATAACTTGAAATTAGGAAGCCCCAAAGGGAGCTTGAAGTTTTGTAGTTTCATCTGTTATTGACTTAAGATGCTAGGATAATCTCAAACCTTCTTCTTAGGCTTTTGTATCGCTTTAGGGGCCCAAGTCAAGGTCTCACCCTGATATCAGTGATAATAAATGTACCGGTTCTGATGGCCCACCCGTCTTTGTGATGGCTAGGGGCTCTAAAGCCGTGGTACTACTGAAATCTCTCAAAATCCCTTGGTTGTGCCGCCGCAGGGATCGAACTTGTGACCTTTTGAACCGTAGACCAGTGTACAGCCGGTTGCGCTAAGATCAGTAGACCGGTTCTAGTGGTCCAGCCGTTCTTGGGACGGCTAAGGGTTCTGAAGCCGTGCTACTACCAAAATTTCTGGAACTCCTCGATTGGGACGCAACGGGGATCGAACCTATGATCCTTTGAACCGTAGACCGGCAGACAACCGGCTGCGCTAAGATCAGTAGACCAGTTCTAGTGACCCAACCCTTCTTTTGACGGATGGGGGTTCTAAAACCGTAGTACTACCAAAATGTCTTAAAACCTCTTTTTTGGGTCGCGGGGGATCGAACTCGTGACCCTTTGAACCGTAGACGGGCACACAACCTGTTGAGCTATGACTCGCCTGGGAAAAAAATATTAAAAAAAGAGGATTTTTCCATGATCCTTTTGCAGTTCTGTAGATTTTACACATTTTTTAACTATTTTTCAAAAAACTTCATTCTGAATAGGTTTTTTTCAAACTGTATATAGACTATTTTCTACAGTTTACCCAATATTTTCTATCTGAACCTTTTGGGAAACTCCTAAAAAAAAACCATATCAGAAGCTTAGAAAAAACCCCGATTTCAGTGCCGTGATGGAAGCCCTGATTCAATTCGCCTCTAAGGCCACCGCCGACCAGAAAATCATGGACGAGGAGGTTTTTTCGACAATTTTACAGAGGAAATAATACTTTTTGAATTTCCAGGCTGAAGAAAACGACCAGAGTATGACGGAACCGCAGCCGACCTCCCCGCCGCCGTCGCCGCTCGAAGTCGTCGATAAGCCAGTAGAAGAAGAGCCGAAGCAGCTCGTCCAGCTCCCCCAACCGCCCATGATCCCCGTCTCCCTCTCCGAAAGCCTTCTGAAAGCGGCGATGATGGGCCAGACGGGCCTCCCGACGGCGCCCCCGCAACTCCCGCCCTTCCCGTTCCCCCAGATGCCGCCGCAAATGCAGCCGATGTTGAACCAGCAGATGCTCACCCAGCTCTTCCTGGCTCAGTTCCAAGTTCAGCCCGGATTCTGAACTTTTTGAAATTTCTGTTGTGCCACTTGCCGATTTAGTGAAAATTTGAGGGTGGGAGGTCTTTTGGAAGGTGCCCGGGATTATTATTAGAAAATTTCTTGAAGGTCTCGAATCTTGGGTTTTTTCTAGGTGCAGATATCTAGGTTAGAAAGTCTTCAGATGGATTTGAACTTTAAAAATTGAAATTTTCTTTTGAAATAAACCTCTGAATGAGCAAAGGCTACCTAAAAATCAATAAAAAGGGCCTTTTCCAAAGAAAAACCTCCAAAAAACCTCCCAAAACCTCTCCAATCTATATACATCCAATGAGTTATGGTTTACTCACAGAAAACTGTTTTTTTCTCTTTCCGGCCACCGTAATTGGATTATCCGACCGTCACGCAGATGTTGCCATATTGGGTGGGGTCAGGCCGTGGCTAACTTTATGGCGCAATACCGTCATCCGCTTCTTATTGTTTTTGGGTGAAAGAATGGGTCTTGGCAGGGGGAATGGGATATTTTTGAAGCTTTTTGTAAATAATTTTATTATAAAAAAATTAACTTTAAGCTTTAAACTTGTGATTTATTTTTAAAATATTTGATCTGATTTGAACTTGGAAAATTCCTCGAAAAAAATCAAAAAAACTTGACTTCAAAAAAACACCTGCCCCATCTTCAAATATTTCAGCCCCCCAAGAAAAAAGGAAGAAAGAACATCTGCCCATCCCATTTTTCAGGGCGTCTTATTGCACTCCGCCGTGACTTTCCCTTTCTCGGAGAGTTTGCAAAAAAAAAAGTTTATAGAAGCTACAGTAACCCTACAGTAACCTTACAGTAGGAAAAAGCAAAAAATCATTCAAAATCAAATTTTCATGACTCCAGAAGCTTTAAGAAGCCAGATTGAAAAAATAATAAGATTACAGTATCATCTACAGTAAACCATAGCTCATCGTTCTACAGTATTCACCTACAGTATCCCCCAAATAACCTCTGTTTCTCTTGCTTTTTAGTCGCCTTCTACGTGTGAGCAACTCTTTACATTGTTTTTTTTCCCCAAACCCTAAAGTGGTCCCTTACGCCCTTTTCTGACCAATTGTATCTCACATATCGCCAAAAAGTATGTATTTTGATGACCCGCAGTAATTTGCATTTTTTTTTCTGCTCTTGAAATTTTCGCTTCGATACCCGTGCGCACTTTCAAAGCGTCCGCTCTCTTGATTTATTCGATATCATTATTTGTTTTGCTTTGGAACAGCTTTATCGTTTTTTTTTGTACAATAAGATGTATGGCTTTATCTTTCGACCCTCTCGAATGCATCTCAACTTTTTTTCCCTTGTTTTTCATATATTCACCAAAAATGGTCTCATACGATGATATTATCTGTACTTTTTTGCTTTTTCTCTCCTTTATATTCTTGACACCCAATATTAATCAATAAATATTTAGGATTTTTTTGGTTTTGTTGTTCGGCAAAAGAGAAATGAACCTGAAAGAAGGGGAGACAATGGAAAAGGGAAACGTGAAGGTTTTTTTAGCTTTTTTTGTGTTTTTTTATTGATTCCAAATGTAGAGTGAAGTCTGAAATTTTGGTCATGATTTATCAGATTTAACTTTTTTTGAATAAATCTTGAAAGAACTTCTTTTGAACACAAAATTCGGAAAAATTAGGCTTCCTGAAATAAAAAGAATTGAGTTTGAGGTCAAAGCAGTATCTTGTAGAGCTCTTCGTTGTGAATCTAACGGTATACTGTACAGAACTTTCTACAGTACCGATCATAAAGATACGAACACTCATATTTTTGTCTATAAATTTTTTCAACCAATCTCGATTGCTATGAAAATTTACAGGAATATGTAATATGACCCGAGACACGTTACTAAAAACAAGAAACCTTTCTAACTGAACGAGATTTTAAAACACAGTTAAAAAACGAGATCCGCCGAAAACGCCAAAAAACCAGTTACTCTGAAAAACTTTTTAAGTGCTCCTTTTTTGAGTTTTGAAGCGTGGAAACAGAAAAATACTTTGTTTTGAACCTTTAAGAACACCAGGATTTTTATATCAAAAAATTTTCTCATGGAATTTTTCGAGATTTTCCATGTGCATGGGCTGGAGTGTTTTTTATCCCTTCATAGTCTTCTTAAAAGTTTTGTAAGCTAAAAAAAATATTAGATGTAATAGAAACTGGTAGAACCCACTCAATGGTTTTTCGTGACCAGAGGGACAAGATCTATAAACCCTCAAAAAATGAGCTTACTCGGAGACATTGAAATTTTGACTTTGAGAGCCCCTAACTTTTTTCACAGGCCTCAAGGGCAGTTTTTGAAACCAGATTTGAAATCAGCGTAAAAACTGCATCTAGTGAACCTAGTCTCATTCAGAAGTCCCACTGCGAATGGAGAGCATTCCCTAGTGAAAAAAAGATTTTGAGTTCCCGCGATAAGGGCGTTTTGGAGTAAAGTTGCTCTATGGGCAAAGGCATTTTTCTTTGTTTTTTTCAATTTTTTCCGAACGATGTTCCGCTGTTCCGCTGCGTCTTTCGAATATAGACCACGCTTTCAATTTCTTGTTATTGCTGTTGGAGCACTTGAAAGCAGAGTACATTAATTAGGGAAAAAAAAATTGAAAGCGCGACCAAGGCTCGTAAAGGAGCGGCACAGCGGAACGTCGTTTGGTGAAATTCCAAGTCGCGGGCTACAACTATTCTCAACTTTCTACTCTACAACAATAAAGCTACATTGTTCACTAAGCAAAAAAAATTTCACGAATTAGTGTATAAAAAATCGAAACTTGAAAAATCACGCTTTGTCCTGTATCGCGCTTTGCGGAAGTTACAAGTTTAAAAAATTTAAAAAAAAACTAGAAAAATAAGGTCACATGGTTAATTATTAAGATGATTTTTGTTTCGATCAGAATTATCAACTCTAAGAGACGTCAGGATCGTTTGAAGTCGAATAATAAAATCCGCAATAACTTTCTGAACAACCTAAAAGAATTCGCTATATACTAAAATTAATTGGGATCAATTTTCCAAGCCCATTTTTGTCGAATTGTGCTCAAACATTTTTTTTTAACAACTAGTGACCAGATGTACTATTTGTTCAGCTTTTCCTTTTAGGGCCAAGATCCAGTTGAAGTGAACTGGGAATCAAATGAGATGAGCTGAAAAAGGGATTTTATGAATTAACTCACATAAATGTGATATAAAAGAGCCTTGTGAAAAAAACTCCTTTTCACAAAAAAAAAACAGACCCCCCCCCCCCTCTTCACAAACGACGTCATGAGCCGGTCGATTTTTCTCATCGGAACCATAAAATTCGATTAGTCTGTGAACCGCCCAAAAAGTCTGACACCCACACAAGTCCATTAAAAATATGTAGATCACTTATTTCAAACCCTGACTAATATTCTGGAATCATCTAGAACGTCCTAATTCCGATGAGAACTTTACAGTACCACCAACGGTTGCGAAAGATTGTCCAGAAGGAAAGAAATTCTCATCTTTTTGCTTTGCTTTTTTTCTTTTTCCCAACCTTCAATCAACACTAAATTGGGCTCGGGAACGGAGTTTCGAGTGGTGTGATGGTTCTTTTATTTCTTAAAAACTACCTCCTCTCATCAAAAACATATACAGGGCGCCCCCCGTTTTCCTCCCTAATTTATTCTCATTTTCCGATTTTTTATGGCTCTGTAGATTTTCATTAACATTCTTTTTTTCTAATGCGTCTCATGTTGTTTACTTTGTTTATTGTGAAATTCGCTCTGAACTTTCGAAATTTCCACTGAAATCGAGTCCATAAAATCCTGGTTCAGTACAGACATTTTACTAATTTTGAAACTTTTATTTTGCATCTAATGTTAATTTTAAAAAATTTATAAAACGGATTTTTTTGTTCTGGAAGCCTTCTGACAACATCAGGGGATTATATAAACCACCCAAGTTGAATTTTCTCATCTTCCATTTTTCAACCGTTAACTTGGATCAACATCACTTTATACGGTTAGTACAGCTCATTCACGGCTGGCTTGAGCCATTGAAAAATGGGTCCTGACACGATAATGCACGAGATAGTGCCTGGCTCGTGGAGAGCGCAGACAGGTCACGTCCCATAGCGTCCCAAGCTGGCCGTGAATCAGCTATATCCTTTTTCCTATTTTCTGCATCGGGCAGGGAAATTTTTGGTTCAAGAGCCCAAGTTTGAGTAACTTCCAAGACACCCATTCAAAAAAAAAAACCTTCCAGGACGCCACGAAGCGTTCCTCTTGACGACGTCGAGAAAAGCACACAATCGACGGATAAACACGTCTTCTTGGATGCAAAAAGTCTTCTTTCTCTTCTTCCTCGGCTTCTCGGCCTTCCTGAACAACACCGAAGCAAAGAAGCATTGGAAATGCGAGCTGCACGATTCGAGTGAGGAAGAATCCGGGACGACAGGCCCGCCGAAGACCAGCGTACTCGACTTTCATATTCCTGGAAGTGAGCTTTGAAAAAATAAATCAGCGAGAAAGCGCAAAAAAAGTTTGCGTCGACCGGATTCGAACCATTGATGTCAAATTTGTGAATTCAGTTCTCTAACGCCTGAGCTGAATTTCCCAGAGACCCCAAAGAGCCTTATCTTTGTCAGAGACCAGTAAACAGGTCATTATAGTGTGTTCAAAACTTAAAAACACTCTGAAGGTTCGGAAATGGATTTTTCAAAGTTGGTAACTGCGTCATCTTTTATATTTGAAGATAGGAATATTCAAAGTTTGCGGAGTTTTTTTGACGACTCCACGCTCATTTTTTTTTCCGTACAGTGAAGTGTGTCGTGTGCATGCACTGCGCCGCTCTCGCACACACCGTGTTCAAAGTAATTTTCGCGAAGTTCAAAATCATTTTTGAATCTCCGAAATTCAGTTTTATTTTTCATTCCCTGGCGGTTATTTAGATTTTCGCGGAACTATAAGTCTGCGTAGGTCCCGATTTTGACAAGTCGTAATCTAGTCCTGAAAAGAACTGTTAATCAAATTTCAAGCAGCTTCCAAACTTTTTACCATCATGACTTGTTTATTAAGAAATCAGATCCTCATGTCTTTTTTTTCAGGCCATTGCAATGGGACGCACAACCACACGACGACAAGTAAGAGATTAATCTTGGAAAACTATGAAAAAAATCAAATGATTATTTTCAGTTGCCCCGCCCACTACCAAAGTCTCGCCGAACACCCAGGTGCCCGTAAACAAGTTGTGCCGCTCTAGAGATGACCAACCAGATTCGGGCAATGCGAATGATGCGAATCTGCCCTACTGCGATGAAGAAATTACCGGTTAGTTTGTTGATTTTCCGTTTACCCTCACGCATAAATATCCTGAAAATCCATAGAAAACTCTAAAAACCATTCTAAATGCGACCAAGGCGTCAATAAATTTTGAAGAAAAATCCATTTTTGAAAAATTTGAGTTCTCTTCACACTCTTCTTATCACTCAGATTCTTCATTTATATGTCGGTGAGAGATATGAGGGCGCAGACAGGTCAGACGGTTTCCAAGTCGTACCGGATTTGCTATTACCTTATGAAAACTAAATAAGTAGGGTTCTCGGAATTTTCACAAGATTTTCTCGACCGAAGCTTTTACTATACATGCTCTTATTCATTCGGGAAGAATTTTAATAAACTCAACTTTTGAGCATTATTTGGTCAGAGCTCGTCGAGAAATAAAAATTAAAAAAATAAACTTTCCTTTCGGACATAAATAAGGCGAAACGGACGTGCTCCGGGTATTTCTGGGCATCTCTAGATCTATAGTGACCAATTTAGCAGCGTCAGCACTCTTAAGTGATTCCTAGGAACGTCCAGAGCACGTCCAATGCGCCTCTTCAAACATATGTGAACAATAAAAATTTTTTATCAAAACAGGTTTTGCAGAAAATGTCCCCGTTGGACGAACGCTCCGCGTCAAGGAGTGCCGTCGTGGCGACATCGTTACTCGGAAGCAAGTTCCCGATAGCGAGTGGCTAGCCCACCAGAAGCCCCGGAATGAAACCGAAACTTCTACTCCTAGAAACCCTCGAATTGCCTACGTCAAAGCCGAGGAGCCGGAATTTTTCGATATTGACAAGGAACCTGACAACAATCTGCAGATAAATCCTGGATTTGAGCGGAGTAACGACACGAATGTTCCAGCTCCGATCAGAGCGAAAAGTATGCCGTCGAAACTCCCGCCGAACAACAAGAACCTGAAACCCGTTGAGAAGTTGAAGACAAATGAGGTTGCCGACTTCGAGCTCGAAGAAAGCGATGCTCCACCTGACAATAAAGCAGTTCAAGAGGAAATTTGCGAATACATTGAAATTCCTGTCGAAGAACCGACGACGACCCCTGCTGTGGCGACTACTAACGGCATCATCTTCGTTGATAACGAGCCTCCGCCTCCAGAGTGCGAGATTTGCTTCTTGATTACATTGAAGAACGACGCTCCGAAAGACCTGCTTGAAAACCAAGTTGAATGTCCTCTGCCAGGAGAACCGTCATCAACCGTGAGACCTACTGGAAGGTGCTTCCGACATATACAGTTCCCCGATGGACGCATAGTAACAAAGAAAATGTCCTGCAAGATATGCAGAAAACGACAAAAAGTTACACCTCCTTCTTCAACAACGACAACGTCCAGCTCAAATCCAAGAGACTGTTTTGAACTAGTAACTTTGGCAGATGGAACTCAGAGAGAAGAGAGGCTCCTTGTACAACAACAACTCCTGGATTCGAAACAACTGAAACATCAACGACTCCTCAGTTCTCAACAAATCCTACTACTTCAAGAAGACAAGGCTGTTTTGAAATAGTGACCCTGGCAGAAGGGACTCAAGAAGAAAGAGAAGTTCCTTGTAAAACTACAATTCCTGGATTCGAAACAACGGAAACATCAACAACGATCGAAACTCCCACCAATGAACTTACCACCACCCCGCAGCGTTGCTATGAAGCCGTGACCTGGCCGGACAACTCTGACGGACAAAGAGAGATTCCTTGTCCCACAACAACTCCTGAGCCTCCGACTACCACCACCCCGCAGCGTTGCTATGAAGCCGTGACCTGGCCGGACAACTCTGACGGACAAAGAGAGATTCCTTGTCCCACAACAACTCCTGAGCCTCCAACTACCACCACCCCAGCTCACGAACCATCAGTCATTCCTGGCTTCGACTCAAATTCGACAACTTCAAGAAGACAGACGTGCGTTGAAATCGTCACATTGGCTGATGGAACTCAGGAAGAAAGAGAAGCTCCTTGTACAACTACAACTCCTGGATTTGAGCCAACTCAAACATCAACGGCTCCTCAGTTCGAAACGAACCCAACTACTTCAAAACGGCAGATGTGTGTGGAAATCGTCACATTGGCTGATGGAACTCAGGAGGAAAGAGAAGCTCCGTGTACAACTACGACTCCTGGTTTCGAGCCTACTCAAACATCAACGGCTCCTCAGTTTGAAACGAACCCAACTACTTCGAGACGGCAGATGTGTGTTGAGATCGTCACACTGGCTGATGGAACTCAGGAAGAAAGAGAAGCTCCTTGTACAACTACAACTCCTGGATTTGAGCCAACTCAAACATCAACGGCTCCTCAGTTCGAAACGAACCCAACTACTTCAAAACGGCAGATGTGTGTAGAAATCGTCACATTGGCTGATGGAACTCAGGAGGAAAGAGAAGCTCCGTGTACAACTACGACTCCTGGTTTCGAGCCTACTCAAACATCAACGGCTCCTCAGTTCGAAACGAACCCAACTACTTCGAGACGGCAGATGTGTGTTGAGATCGTCACACTGGCTGATGGAACTCAGGAAGAAAGAGAAGCTCCTTGTACAACTACAACTCCTGGATTTGAGCCAACTCAAACATCAACGGCTCCTCAGTTCGAAACGAACCCAACTACTTCAAAACGGCAGATGTGTGTGGAAATCGTCACATTGGCTGATGGAACTCAGGAGGAAAGAGAAGCTCCTTGTACAACTACGACTCCTGGTTTCGAGCCTACTCAAACATCAACGGCTCCTCAGTTCGAAACGAACCCAACTCCTTCGAGACGGCAGATGTGTGTGGAGATCGTCACATTGGCTGATGGAACTCAGGAAGAAAGAGAAGTTCCTTGTAAAACTACAATTCCTGGATTCGAAACAACGGAAACATCAACAACGATCGAAACTCCCACCAATGAACTTACCACCACCCCGCAGCGTTGCTATGAAGCCGTGACCTGGCCGGACAACTCTGACGGACAAAGAGAGATTCCTTGTCCCACAACAACTCCTGAGCCTCCAACTACCACCACCCCACAGCGTTGCTATGAAGCCGTGACCTGGCCGGACAACTCTGACGGACAAAGAGAGATTCCTTGTCCCACAACAACTCCTGAGCCTCCAACTACCACCACCCCAGCTCACGAACCATCAGTCATTCCTGGCTTCGACTCAAATTCGACAACTTCAAGAAGACAGACGTGCGTTGAAATCGTCACATTGGCTGATGGAACTCAGGAAGAAAGAGAAGCTCTTTGTACAACTACAACTCCTGGATTTGAGCCAACTCAAACATCAACGGCTCCTCAGTTCGAAACGAACCCAACTACTTCAAAACGGCAGATGTGTGTGGAAATCGTCACATTGGCTGATGGAACTCAGGAGGAAAGAGAAGCTCCGTGTACAACTACGACTCCTGGTTTCGAGCCTACTCAAACATCAACGGCTCCTCAGTTTGAAACGAACCCAACTACTTCGAGACGGCAGATGTGTGTTGAGATCGTCACACTGGCTGATGGAACTCAGGAAGAAAGAGAAGCTCCTTGTACAACTACAACTCCTGGATTTGAGCCAACTCAAACATCAACGGCTCCTCAGTTCGAAACGAACCCAACTACTTCAAAACGGCAGATGTGTGTGGAAATCGTCACATTGGCTGATGGAACTCAGGAGGAAAGAGAAGCTCCGTGTACAACTACGACTCCTGGTTTCGAGCCTACTCAAACATCAACGGCTCCTCAGTTCGAAACGAACCCAACTACTTCGAGACGGCAGATGTGTGTGGAGATTGTCACATTGGCTGATGGAACTCAGGAAGAAAGAGAAGCTCCTTGTACAACTACAACTCCTGGATTTGAGCCAACTCAAACATCAATGGCTCCTCAGTTCGAAACAAACCCAACTACTTCGAGACGGCAGATGTGTGTGGAGATTGTCACATTGGCTGATGGAACTCAGGAGGAAAGAGAAGCTCCGTGTACAACTACGACTCCTGGTTTCGAGCCTACTCAAACATCAACGGCTCCTCAGTTCGAAACGAACCCAACTACTTCGAGACGGCAGATGTGTGTTGAGATCGTCACACTGGCTGATGGAACTCAGGAAGAAAGAGAAGCTCCTTGTACAACTACAACTCCTGGATTTGAGCCAACTCAAACATCAATGGCTCCTCAGTTCGAAACAAACCCAACTACTTCGAGACGGCAGATGTGTGTGGAGATTGTCACATTGGCTGATGGAACTCAGGAGGAAAGAGAAGCTCCTTGTACAACTACAACTCCTGGATTTGAGCCAACTCAAACATCAACGGCTCCTCAGTTCGAAACGAACCCAACTACTTCGAGACGGCAGATGTGTGTGGAGATTGTCACATTGGCTGATGGAACTCAGGAAGAAAGAGAAGCTCCTTGTACAACTACAACTCCTGGTTTCGAGCCTACTCAAACATCAACGGCTCCTCAGTTCGAAACGAACCCAACTACTTCGAGACGGCAGATGTGTGTGGAGATTGTCACATTGGCTGATGGAACTCAGGAGGAAAGAGAAGCTCCTTGTACAACTACAACTCCTGGATTTGAGCCAACTCAAACATCAACGGCTCCTCAGTTCGAAACGAACCCAACTACTTCGAGACGGCAGATGTGTGTGGAGATTGTCACATTGGCTGATGGAACTCAGGAAGAAAGAGAAGCTCCTTGTACAACTACAACTCCTGGATTTGAGCCAACTCAAACATCAATGGCTCCTCAGTTCGAAACAAACCCAACTACTTCGAGACGGCAGATGTGTGTGGAGATTGTCACATTGGCTGATGGAACTCAGGAGGAAAGAGAAGCTCCGTGTACAACTACGACTCCTGGTTTCGAGCCTACTCAAACATCAACGGCTCCTCAGTTCGAAACGAACCCAACTACTTCGAGACGGCAGATGTGTGTGGAGATTGTCACATTGGCTGATGGAACTCAGGAAGAAAGAGAAGCTCCTTGTACAACTACAACTCCTGGATTTGAGCCAACTCAAACATCAATGGCTCCTCAGTTCGAAACAAACCCAACTACTTCGAGACGGCAGATGTGTGTGGAGATTGTCACATTGGCTGATGGAACTCAGGAGGAAAGAGAAGCTCCGTGTACAACTACGACTCCTGGTTTCGAGCCTACTCAAACATCAACGGCTCCTCAGTTCGAAACGAACCCAACTACTTCGAGACGGCAGATGTGTGTTGAGATCGTCACACTGGCTGATGGAACTCAGGAAGAAAGAGAAGCTCCTTGTACAACTACAACTCCTGGATTTGAGCCAACTCAAACATCAATGGCTCCTCAGTTCGAAACAAACCCAACTACTTCGAGACGGCAGATGTGTGTGGAGATTGTCACATTGGCTGATGGAACTCAGGAGGAAAGAGAAGCTCCTTGTACAACTACAACTCCTGGATTTGAGCCAACTCAAACATCAACGGCTCCTCAGTTCGAAACGAACCCAACTACTTCGAGACGGCAGATGTGTGTGGAGATTGTCACATTGGCTGATGGAACTCAGGAGGAAAGAGAAGCTCCGTGTACAACTACGACTCCTGGTTTCGAGCCTACTCAAACATCAACGGCTCCTCAGTTCGAAACGAACCCAACTACTTCGAGACGGCAGATGTGTGTGGAGATTGTCACATTGGCTGATGGAACTCAGGAGGAAAGAGAAGCTCCTTGTACAACTACAACTCCTGGATTTGAGCCAACTCAAACATCAACGGCTCCTCAGTTCGAAACGAACCCAACTACTTCGAGACGGCAGATGTGTGTGGAGATTGTCACATTGGCTGATGGAACTCAGGAAGAAAGAGAAGCTCCTTGTACAACTACAACTCCTGGATTTGAGCCAACTCAAACATCAATGGCTCCTCAGTTCGAAACAAACCCAACTACTTCGAGACGGCAGATGTGTGTGGAGATTGTCACATTGGCTGATGGAACTCAGGAGGAAAGAGAAGCTCCGTGTACAACTACGACTCCTGGTTTCGAGCCTACTCAAACATCAACGGCTCCTCAGTTCGAAACGAACCCAACTACTTCGAGACGGCAGATGTGTGTGGAGATTGTCACATTGGCTGATGGAACTCAGGAGGAAAGAGAAGCTCCTTGTACAACTACAACTCCTGGATTTGAGCCAACTCAAACATCAATGGCTCCTCAGTTCGAAACAAACCCAACTACTTCGAGACGGCAGATGTGTGTGGAGATTGTCACATTGGCTGATGGAACTCAGGAGGAAAGAGAAGCTCCGTGTACAACTACGACTCCTGGTTTCGAGCCTACTCAAACATCAACGGCTCCTCAGTTCGAAACGAACCCAACTACTTCGAGACGGCAGATGTGTGTTGAGATCGTCACACTGGCTGATGGAACTCAGGAAGAAAGAGAAGCTCCTTGTACAACTACAACTCCTGGATTTGAGCCAACTCAAACATCAACGGCTCCTCAGTTCGAAACGAACCCAACTACTTCGAGACGGCAGATGTGTGTGGAGATTGTCACATTGGCTGATGGAACTCAGGAGGAAAGAGAAGCTCCGTGTACAACTACGACTCCTGGTTTCGAGCCTACTCAAACATCAACGGCTCCTCAGTTCGAAACGAACCCAACTACTTCGAGACGGCAGATGTGTGTGGAGATTGTCACATTGGCTGATGGAACTCAGGAGGAAAGAGAAGCTCCGTGTACAACTACGACTCCTGGTTTCGAGCCTACTCAAACATCAACGGCTCCTCAGTTCGAAACGAACCCAACTACTTCGAGACGGCAGATGTGTGTGGAGATTGTCACATTGGCTGATGGAACTCAGGAGGAAAGAGAAGCTCCTTGTACAACTACAACTCCTGGATTTGAGCCAACTCAAACATCAATGGCTCCTCAGTTCGAAACAAACCCAACTACTTCGAGACGGCAGATGTGTGTGGAGATTGTCACATTGGCTGATGGAACTCAGGAAGAAAGAGAAGCTCCTTGTACAACTACAACTCCTGGATTTGAGCCAACTCAAACATCAACGGCTCCTCAGTTTGAAACTAACCCAACTACTTCGAGACGGCAGATGTGTGTTGAGATCGTCACACTGGCTGATGGAACTCAGGAAGAAAGAGAAGCTCCTTGTACAACTACAACTCCTGGATTTGAGCCAACTCAAACATCAATGGCTCCTCAGTTCGAAACAAACCCAACTACTTCGAGACGGCAGATGTGTGTGGAGATCGTCACACTGGCTGATGGAACTCAGGAAGAAAGAGAAGCTCCTTGTACAACTACGACTCCTGGTTCCGAGCCTACTCAAACATCAACGGCTCCTCAGTTCGAAACGAACCCAACTACTTCGAGACGGCAGATGTGTGTGGAGATTGTCACATTGGCTGATGGAACTCAGGAGGAAAGAGAAGCTCCTTGTACAACTACGACTCCTGGTTCCGAGCCTACTCAAACATCAACGGCTCCTCAGTTCGAAACGAACCCAACTACTTCGAGACGGCAGATGTGTGTGGAGATTGTCACATTGGCTGATGGAACTCAAGATGAGAGAGAAGCTCCTTGTACAACTACGACTCCTGGTTTCGAGCCTGCTCAAACATCAACGGCTCCTCAGTTTGAAATGAACCCAACTACTTCGAGAAGACAGACCTGTGTAGAAATCGTGACTCTGGCTGATGGAACTCAGGAAGAAAGAGAAGCTCCTTGTACAACAACAACTCCTGGATTTGAGCCAACTCGAACGACAACGGCTCCTCAGTTCGAAACGAACCCAACTACTTCGAGACGGCAGATGTGTGTGGAGATTGTCACATTGGCTGATGGAACTCAGGAGGAAAGAGAAGCTCCTTGTACAACTACGACTCCTGGTTTCGAGCCTACTCAAACATCAACGGCTCCTCAGTTCGAAACGAACCCAACTACTTCGAGACGGCAGATGTGTGTGGAGATTGTCACATTGGCTGATGGAACTCAGGAGGAAAGAGAAGCTCCTTGTACAACTACGACTCCTGGTTTCGAGCCTACTCAAACATCAACGGCTCCTCAGTTCGAAACGAACCCAACTACTTCGAGACGGCAGATGTGTGTGGAGATTGTCACATTGGCTGATGGAACTCAGGAGGAAAGAGAAGCTCCTTGTACAACTACGACTCCTGGTTTCGAGCCTACTCAAACATCAACGGCTCCTCAGTTCGAAACGAACCCAACTACTTCGAGACGGCAGATGTGTGTGGAGATTGTCACATTGGCTGATGGAACTCAGGATGAAAGAGAAGCTCCTTGTACAACTACGACTCCTGGTTTCGAGCCTGCTCAAACATCAACGGCTCCTCAGTTCGAAACGAACCCAACTACTTCGAGACGGCAGATGTGTGTGGAGATTGTCACATTGGCTGATGGAACTCAGGAGGAAAGAGAAGCTCCTTGTACAACTACGACTCCTGGTTTCGAGCCTACTCAAACATCAACGGCTCCTCAGTTCGAAACGAACCCAACTACTTCGAGACGGCAGATGTGTGTGGAGATCGTCACATTGGCTGATGGAACTCAGGAAGAAAGAGAAGCTCCTTGTACAACAACAACTCCTGGATTTGAGCCTACTCAAACATCAACGGCTCCTCAGTTCGAAACGAACCCAACTACTTCGAGACGGCAGATGTGTGTGGAGATCGTCACATTGGCTGATGGAACTCAGGAAGAAAGAGAAGCTCCTTGTACAACTACGACTCCTGGTTTCGAGCCTACTCAAACATCAACGGCTCCTCAGTTCGAAACGAACCCAACTACTTCGAGACGGCAGATGTGTGTGGAGATTGTCACATTGGCTGATGGAACTCAGGAGGAAAGAGAAGCTCCTTGTACAACTACGACTCCTGGTTTCGAGCCTACTCAAACATCAACGGCTCCTCAGTTCGAAACGAACCCAACTACTTCGAGACGGCAGATGTGTGTGGAGATCGTCACATTGGCTGATGGAACTCAGGAAGAAAGAGAAGCTCCTTGTACAACTACGACTCCTGGTTTCGAGCCTACTCAAACATCAACGGCTCCTCAGTTCGAAACGATCCCAACCACTTCGAGACGGCAGATGTGTGTGGAGATCGTCACATTGGCTGATGGAACTCAGGAAGAAAGAGAAGCTCCTTGTACAACTACGACTCCTGGTTTCGAGCCTACTCAAACATCAACGGCTCCTCAGTTCGAAACGAACCCAACTACTTCGAGACGGCAGATGTGTGTGGAGATCGTCACATTGGCTGATGGAACTCAGGAAGAAAGAGAAGCTCCTTGTACAACTACGACTCCTGGTTTCGAGCCTACTCAAACATCAACGGCTCCTCAGTTCGAAACAGATCCCAACTACTTCGAGACGGCAGATGTGTGTGGAGATCGTCACATTGGCTGATGGAACTCAGGAAGAAAGAGAAGCTCCTTGTACAACTACGACTCCTGGTTTCGAGCCTACTCAAACATCAACGGCTCCTCAGTTCGAAACGATCCCAACCACTTCGAGACGGCAGATGTGTGTGGAGATCGTCACATTGGCTGATGGAACTCAGGAAGAAAGAGAAGCTCCTTGTACAACTACGACTCCTGGTTTCGAGCCTACTCAAACATCAACGGCTCCTCAGTTCGAAACGATCCCAACCACTTCGAGACGGCAGATGTGTGTGGAGATCGTCACATTGGCTGATGGAACTCAGGAAGAAAGAGAAGCTCCTTGTACAACTACGACTCCTGGTTTCGAGCCTACTCAAACATCAACGGCTCCTCAGTTCGAAACGAGACCCAACTACTTCGAGACGGCAGATGTGTGTGGAGATCGTCACATTGGCTGATGGAACTCAGGAAGAAAGAGAAGCTCCTTGTACAACTACGACTCCTGGTTTCGAGCCTACTCAAACATCAACGGCTCCTCAGTTCGAAACGATCCCAACCACTTCGAGACGGCAGATGTGTGTGGAGATCGTCACATTGGCTGATGGAACTCAGGAAGAAAGAGAAGCTCCTTGTACAACTACGACTCCTGGTTTCGAGCCTACTCAAACATCAACGGCTCCTCAGTTCGAAACGATCCCAACCACTTCGAGACGGCAGATGTGTGTGGAGATCGTCACATTGGCTGATGGAACTCAGGTAGAAAGAGAAGCTCCTTGTACAACTACGACTCCTGGTTTCGAGCCTACTCAAACATCAACGGCTCCTCAGTTCGAAACGATCCCAACCACTTCGAGACGGCAGATGTGTGTGGAGATCGTCACATTGGCTGATGGAACTCAGGAAGAAAGAGAAGCTCCTTGTACAACTACGACTCCTGGTTTCGAGCCTACTCAAACATCAACGGCTCCTCGATTCGAAACTAACCCAACTACTTCGAGACGGCAGATGTGTGTGGAGATCGTCACATTGGCTGATGGAACTCAGGAAGAAAGAGAAGCTCCTTGTACAACAACAACTCCTGGATTTGAGCCAACTCGAACGACAACGGCTCCTCAGTTCGAAACGAACCCAACCACTTCGAGAAGACAAGGCTGTTTCGAAATCGTGACTTTGGCAGATGGAACGCAGGAGGAACGAGAAGCTCCTTGTACAACTACCGCTTCTGAATCGGAAACTTCTCCAGCAGGTATTAAGAAAATCGAATATATTAATAAAACTAAGATTTTCAGAGTCTTTCCCAACGACCACTTCGCCTTCAGCAAACAGTCAAAAACTGTGCACAGAGAAATTCGTGGACAGTGACGGCTCCGTGAAGGAAAGGCCCGTGGAATGTGAAGATGAAACGAAAAGACCAACTATTCGAGGTATTTCCATGTAGACGAAAAAAAAGGAATGCATTTTTACATTTTAGAAAGGAAGGACTCATACTTACTGAAACAAAAAAAAGTGAAAAATTTGTGGGAAGCGCTGATTAGGAAGCTACTCAGGCTCGGGTACGAGTATCACGCTGATACTATGGTGGCTCATAGACTTGGGTAAGACCTCTAAGAAACAAGAGAGATTATCTGCTAAACGACATAGGCTTCCAAGAAAAAGCTCTTCGAAGAAATAGAGGAAGAGTACTGTACGCGTTTGAACTTTCAACGAGGTGGCCTGGCGCAATGCTTAGAAATCTTTTCGCTTTTTTTAACAACCAAAAACTTTTAAAAAGTCATAAAAGTGATGAAAAAGCCTCTCTCTTGGTTCAAAAACGTCTCAAAAAAAAAAGAAAAAAATTAAACAAGTGAACAAAAGACATTGCAGTACTTGTGATACTTGTGATAGCGCCGTAGCGCAACAGGTTGTGTGCCTGTCTACGGTCCACAGGGTCACAAGTTCGATCCCCGCCTCGGCCCAACTAAGGGGTTAAAGCGCGCCGAGAAACAAGAAACAATACAGATGAAACTTCCAAATCTTGTCGTATTCCGTGATTTTACAAAAAAAAAACGTTGTCTTCGAGAAAAATGCAAAAAGGATCTGACCTTGACAAGAACCGAACGTATTCAGAGAAGTCAACCATGCGACTGGCCCTCTAACCACTGCGCTAGCCCACCTCGGTGAGAGAAGAATGTTCCGACGTGAACAGGACTCTTCCTCGATTTATTCGAGGAGCTTTTTCTCAGAATCCCTCCTGTTTCTGAGAGCTCCTACCTAAGTCGATTAGCCAAAGTACTTTAAACTTGATACGCGTACCCGAGGCCGAGTAGTTTCCTAGTGAGAGGTCTGGTATCAATTGATATGCTCAATTATAATACTAGAAGGAATCTCGAGCTTGGTTACACCTTTCCGATAGGATTCCGATTGAAACTGACCATAGATGATTTCTCCGGTAGCAATTTTGCTCGAACTTTCGAGCCGGGTAATCACTATATGCTCTCGAACATGTGATTTGAAAAACTTACAAAAAAAAACTCTATTAAGATCACAGCTTATCCGTTTAGTTTACGATACACCATCCTTTAAAATGCAACACTCATTGCAATGAACTCAATTTAGGAGGTTTAACGACAACCTCCAGGAGGCAGACATGTGTGGAAATCGTCACACTGGCTGATGGAACGCAGGAGAAGCGAGAAATTCCTTGCACAACTACAGCTCCTGCGACTGGATCAACTCCTCACTTCGCTTCGACTTCGACGACTCCGAGAAGACAGACCTGTGTAGAAATCGTGACTCTGGCCGATGGAACGCAGAAGGAGCGAGAAGTTCCTTGTTCATCTCCAGCTCCTGAACCTTCAGTCATTCCTGGCTTCGAATCAACTTCGACGACTTCGAGAAGACAGACCTGTGTGGAAATCGTGACCCTAGCTGACGGAACAGAAGAAGAACGAGAAGTTCCTTGCACAACTACAGCTCCTCAACCTTCAGTCATTCCTGGCTTCGAATCAACTTCGACGACTTCGAGTAGACAAATGTGTTTGGAAATCGTGACTTTGGCAGATGGAACGCAGGAGGAGCGAGAAGTTCCTTGTACAACTACGACTCCTGGATTTGAGCCAACTCGAACGACAACGGCTCCTCGATTCGAAACTAACCCAACTACTTCGAGAAGACATGGCTGTTTCAAAATAATGACCCTCGCTGATGGAACTCAGGAAGAAAGAGAAGCTCCTTGTACAACTACGACTCCTGGTTTCGAGCCTACTCAAACATCAACGGCTCCTCATTTCGAAACCAACCCAACTACTTCGAGACGGCAGATGTGTGTAGAGATCGTGAGCCTGGCTGACGGAACAGAAGAAGAACGAGAAGTTCCTTGCACAACTACAGCTCCTGAGCCTTCAGTCATTCCGGGCTTCGATTCTACTTCAACGACATCGAGAAGACAGATGTGTGTTGAGATCGTCACACTGGCTGATGGAACTCAGGAAGAGCGAGAAGTTCCTTGTTCAACTCCAGCTCCTGAACCTTCAGTCATTCCTGGCTTCGAATCAACTTCGACGACTTCGAGAAGACAAATGTGTTTGGAAATCGTGACTTTGGCAGATGGAACGCAGGAGGAGCGAGAAGTTCCTTGTACAACTACGACTCCTGGATTTGAGCCAACTCGAACGACAACGGCTCCTCGATTCGAAACTAACCCAACTACTTCGAGAAGACATGGCTGTTTCAAAATAATGACCCTGGCTGATGGAACTCAGGAAGAAAGAGAAGCTCCTTGTACAACTACGACTCCTGGTTTCGAGCCTACTCAAACATCAACGGCTCCTCATTTCGAAACCAACCCAACTACTTCGAGACGGCAGATGTGTGTAGAGATCGTGAGCCTGGCTGACGGAACAGAAGAAGAACGAGAAGTTCCTTGCACAACTACAGCTCCTGAGCCTTCAGTCATTCCGGGCTTCGATTCTACTTCAACGACATCGAGAAGACACATGTGTGTTGAGATCGTCACACTGGCTGATGGAACTCAGGAAGAGCGAGAAGTTCCTTGTTCAACTCCAGCTCCTGAACCTTCAGTCATTCCTGGCTTCGAATCAACTTCGACGACTTCGAGAAGACAAATGTGTTTGGAAATCGTGACTTTGGCAGATGGAACTCAGGAGGAGCGAAAAATTCCTTGTACAACTACAGCTCCTGAGACTGGATCAACTCCTCACTTCGATTCAACTTCGACGACATCGAGAAGACAGACCTGTGTAGAAATCGTGACTCTGGCCGATGGAACAGAAGAAGAACGAGAAGTTCCTTGTTCAACTCCAGCTCCTGAACCTTCAGTCATTCCTGGTTTCGAATCAACTTCGACGACTTCGAGAAGACAGACCTGTGTGGAATTAGTCACATTGGCTGATGGAACTCAGGAGGAGCGAGAAGTCCCTTGTACATCTACAGCTCCTGAACCTTCAGTCATTCCTGGCTTCAATTCTACTTCGACGACTTCGAGAAGGCAGATGTGTGTGGGAATAGTCACATTGGCTGATGGAACTCAAGAAGAACGAGAAGTTCCTTGCACAACTACAGCTCCTGAGCCTTCAGTCATTCCGGGCTTCGATTCTACTTCAACGACATCGAGAAGACAGATGTGTGTTGAGATCGTCACACTGGCTGATGGAACTCAGGAGGAGCGAGAAGTTCCTTGCACAACTACAGCTCCTGAGCCTTCAGTCATTCCAGGCTTCGATTCTACTTCAACGACATCGAGAAGACAAATGTGTGTTGAGATCGTCACACTGGCTGATGGAACTCAGGAGGAGCGAGAAGTTCCTTGCACAACTACAGCTTCTGAACCTTCAGTCATTCCTGGTTTTGAATCAACTTCGACGACTTCGAGAAGACAGACCTGTGTGGAATTAGTCACATTGGCTGATGGAACTCAGGAGGAGCGAGAAGTTCCTTGCACAACTACAGCTCCTGAGCCTTCAGTCATTCCGGGCTTCGATTCTACTTCAACGACTTCGAGAAGGCAGATGTGTGTGGAAATAGTCACATTGGCTGATGGAACTCAGGAGGAGCGAGAAGTTCCTTGCACAACTACAGCTCCTGAGCCTTCAGTCATTCCGGGCTTCAATTCTACTTCAACGACTTCGAGAAGGCAGATGTGTGTGGAAATAGTCACATTGGCTGATGGAACTCAGGAGGAGCGAGAAGTCCCTTGTTCATCTCCAGCTCCTGAACCTTCAGTCATTCCTGGCTTCGACTCAACTTCGACGACTTCGAGAAGACAGATGTGTTTGGAAATCGTGACTTTGGCAGATGGAACTCAGGAGGAGCGAGAAGTCCCTTGTTCATCTCCAGCTCCTGAACCTTCAGTCATTCCGGGCTTCGATTCTACTTCGACAACATCGAGAAGACAGACGTGCGTTGAAATCGTCACACTGGCTGATGGAACTCAGGAAGAGCGAGAAGTCCCTTGTTCAACTCCAGCTCCTGAACCTTCAGTCATTCCTGGCTTCGACTCAACTTCGACGACTTCGAGAAGGCAGATGTGTGTAGAAATCGTGACTCTGGCCGATGGAACTCAAGAAGAGCGAGAAGTTCCTTGTTCATCTCCAGCTCCTGAACCTTCAGTCATTCCGGGCTTCGATTCTACTTCGACAACATCGAGAAGACAGACGTGCGTTGAAATCGTGACTCTGGCCGATGCAACTCAAGAAGAGCGAGAAGTTCCTTGTTCATCTCCAGCTCCTGAACCTTCAGTCATTCCGGGCTTCGATTCTACTTCGACGACTTCGAGAAGGCAGATGTGTGTGGAAATAGTCACATTGGCTGATGGAACTCAGGAAGAGCGAGAAGTTGCTTGTTCATCTCCAGCTCCTGAACCTTCAGTCATTCCTGGCTTCGACTCAACTTCGACGACTTCGAGAAGGCAGATGTGTGTGGAGATCGTGAGCCTGGCTGAGGGAACAGAAGAAGAACGAGAAGTTCCCTGCACAACCACATCTCCGGGAACTGGCCTTTCTCCTGACTTGGCCTCAACTTCGACGACTTCGAGAAGACAGACCTGTGTAGAAATCGTGACCCTGGCCGATGGAACTCAAGAAGAGCGAGAAGTCCCTTGTTTATCTCCAGCTCCTGAACCTTCTCTCATTCCTGGCTTCGATTCAACTTCGACGACTTCGAGAAGACAGACCTGTGTAGAAATCGTGACCCTGGCCGATGGAACTCAAGAAGAGCGAGAAGTCCCTTGTTCATCTCCAGCTCCTGAACCTTCAGTCGTTCCTGGCTTCGACTCAACTTCGACGACTTCGAGAAGGCAGATGTGTGTAGAAATCGTGACCCTGGCCGATGGAACTCAAGAAGAGCGAGAAGTTCCTTGTTCATCTCCAGCTCCTGAACCTTCAGTCATTCCGGGCTTCGATTCTACTTCGACAACATCGAGAAGACAGACGTGCGTTGAAATCGTGACTCTGGCCGATGGAACTCAAGAAGAGCGAGAAGTTCCTTGTTCATCTCCAGCTCCTGAACCTTCAGTCATTCCGGGCTTCGATTCTACTTCGACGACTTCGAGAAGGCAGATGTGTGTGGAAATAGTCACATTGGCTGATGGAACTCAGGAAGAGCGAGAAGTTGCTTGTTCATCTCCAGCTCCTGAACCTTCTCTCATTCCTGGCTTCGACTCAACTTCGACGTCTTCGAGAAGGCAGATGTGTGTAGAAATCGTGACTCTGGCCGATGGAACTCAAGAAGAGCGAGAAGTTCCTTGTTCATCTCCAGCTCCTGAACCTTCAGTCCTTCCGGGCTTCGATTCTACTTCGACGACTTCGAGAAGGCAGATGTGTGTGGAAATAGTCACATTGGCTGATGGAACTCAGGAAGAGCGAGAAGTTGCTTGTTCATCTCCAGCTCCTGAACCTTCAGTCATTCCTGGCTTCGACTCAACTTCGACGACTTCGAGAAGGCAGATGTGTGTGGAGATCGTGAGCCTGGCTGAGGGAACAGAAGAAGAACGAGAAGTTCCCTGCACAACCACGTCTCCGGGAACTGGCCTTTCTCCTGACTTGGCCTCAACCTCGACGACTTCAAGAAGACAAACGTGCGTTGAAATCGTGACTTTGGCAGATGGAACTCAGGAAGAGCGAGAAGTTGCTTGTTCATCTCCAGCTCCTGAACCTTCTCTCATTCCTGGCTTCGACTCAACTTCGACGACTTCGAGAAGGCAGATGTGTGTAGAAATCGTGACTCTGGCCGATGGAACTCAAGAAGAGCGAGAAGTTCCTTGTTCATCTCCAGCTCCTGAACCTTCAGTCATTCCGGACTTCGATTCTACTTCGACAACATCGAGAAGACAGACGTGCGTTGAAATCGTGACTCTGGCCGATGGAACTCAAGAAGAGCGAGAAGTTCCTTGTTCATCTCCAGCTCCTGAACCTTCAGTCCTTCCGGACTTCGATTCTACTTCGACAACATCGAGAAGACAGACGTGCGTTGAAATCGTGACTTTGGCAGATGGAACTCAGGAAGAGCGAGAAGTTGCTTGTTCATCTCCAGCTCCTGAACCTTCTCTCATTCCTGGCTTCGACTCAACTTCGACGACTTCGAGAAGGCAGATGTGTGTAGAAATCGTGACTCTGGCCGATGGAACTCAAGAAGAGCGAGAAGTTCCTTGTTCATCTCCAGCTCCTGAACCTTCAGTCATTCCGGACTTCGATTCTACTTCGACAACATCGAGAAGACAGACGTGCGTTGAAATCGTGACTCTGGCCGATGGAACTCAAGAAGAGCGAGAAGTTGCTTGTTCATCTCCAGCTCCTGAACCTTCAGTCATTCCTGGCTTCGACTCAACTTCGACGACTTCGAGAAGGCAGATGTGTGTGGAGATCGTGAGCCTGGCTGAGGGAACAGAAGAAGAACGAGAAGTTCCCTGCACAACCACGTCTCCGGGAACTGGCCTTTCTCCTGACTTGGCCTCAACCTCGACGACTTCAAGAAGACAAACGTGCGTTGAAATCGTGACTTTGGCAGATGGAACTCAGGAAGAGCGAGAAGTTGCTTGTTCATCTCCAGCTCCTGAGACTGGATCAACTCCTCACTTCGATTCAACTTCGACGACTTCGAGAAGACAGACCTGTGTAGAAATCGTGACCCTGGCCGATGGAACTCAAGAAGAGCGAGAAGTCCCTTGTTCATCTCCAGCTCCTGAACCTTCAGTCATTCCTGGCTTCGACTCAACTTCGACCACTTCGAGAAGGCAGATGTGTGTGGAAATCGTGAGCCTGGCTGACGGAACAGAAGAAGAGCAAGAAGTCCCTTGTACAACTACAGCTCCTGAGACTGGAAGACCATCAGGAGTTAGCTCTAGAAGACAGGCCTGCCTAGAATTCGTCACGTTTTCTGACGGCACTCAGCAGAAACGTGAGGTTCCTTGTCCAACGACAACGCCGTCTCCTGCGGGTCTGATCTTTAGAAATCATCCCAATGGAAGAAATTTTTCAGAGTCGTCATTTACGACATCCGCTTCGCCTGTAGCGAACGATCAAAAGGAGTGCTCTGAGAAGTTTGTGGACAGCGACGGCTCCGTGAAAGAAAGACCGGTGAAATGTGACGAATTGGCAAAAAAGCCGAAGTGCGTCGAAATCGTCAAGCTTTCTGACGGCACTGAAGAAGAACGGCAAGTTGATTGCTCGCCTGCCACTCCAGGTAGATTTTGAATCTGAAACTTATGAAAGATTATCATTTTGCAGCGGTGAAATGTCGTCCTCGTCCGAGATGGGCCTATCTGAAAAGTCACATCGCGCGTCAAGAGGCCAAGTTGTTGGAGGACACCGGTCCGGGTCATCACAATCTGCCCTACTGCGATGAAGTTCAAACAAGTTGGTTTTGCTCGAAAAAAAAATCTTCTACTGTTCTTATAATTTGAAAGAACTCAAACAACTTTGAGGTACACAAGATGTTATGTATCAATAATTATGACGCACTCAATCAGCCTGTGAAGTCTACGTTACGTTTTCTGTCAACAAAATTCATTAGTTTACTCATCTCAAAAATATGTCTTTTTATCTAGCATATAAGGACGATTCTTACGCAAAATCCAGCTAGCCGGTACCTTAAAAAAAACGTTACAGCACCCGTGCCCCTTCCACCGACATCCCAAGAGCAATGGAATGAAGCAGAAACTGTCGAAGGGTTCTCAACGATCGTACCAACCACGGCTGTCCGAAAAGACGGCAGTGCTGAAATCAAGATCGTCGAGCAGTTGACCACGCCAAAAGTTCCTGAACCATCACCCTACTTCCATGAAGCTTCTGAAGACGGCGACCAGGTCCGTCTGGACAGCTCCTCATCAGAAGATGAAGAAGAGCAGCCTGGCGAAGTCATCGTCGTTCACACTTACAAAAAGAAACTGAAGCGGCGTTACACGTCTGCTGAACCGGATGCTGATGAAACGAGGGTCAGGAGCAAGTGCAAGGATGACGAGATTATAACAAGGAACTTTACAAACTCCACCAATGTTACAAGAGTGATCAACAGACAATTTTGGCGTCAGCTTGAAAAACCGCTCGAGCCCAGAAGAAACGCAAGTTTTGTCATTGGCAGTAGCAAGCAGTTGAACGTCAACGTTGCTCCAACGAACATCGAGAAAGATAAGGAAACGGTAGCGATTAAAGTGGGTCCCGGGAAGAAGTTAGCAGCTTCTGCTGATGGCGCCACGAGCGAGTCGGAGAATTATTCCACTCAAGTCAACGTCACGACGAGCAATGCGTCACGGCTTCGAATCCAGGCTGGAAGAAGTAGAGAAGAAGGTGAGGCTCAAGACGTCGAAGTTGACGTCAAAACAGCCGCTCGGAAACTTCCAACCAAGGAAGAAGCTTCGATTGAAAAATCCCAAGAAAGCTTCAGCGGAAAGGTCAAAGTCCAGGCCAATTCCTTGAAACTACCGGGCCGCAGTAACGAAGGTGGATTCGAGACCGAAGACTTGGCCACCACTGTGACGGTCAAAACTGGGAAGAAAATGCTGATAAAGGGATTCAGCCAGCTGCCTTCAACTTTCACAAGTCAAGCTCCCAAGTATACGGATGTAACTGTGAGCAACCCGGTGAAGGCCTGGCTCAACGAAGATAGGAGCAAATCTCAAGGCGAGGGCGTCGGAACAGAGGAAATCAGCCTCAACGTCTCTGAGACCACCAAGAAGATACTCCTGCCGAAGGAGACGTCACCTGCTCCAGATGCCGACGTCAGCTTCACCAAGTCAATCGAGAACGAAGACTCGTCCAAGCAGCAACTTCCGAAGCTGGAGAAGATCCTGCAGGGTCCCGGCCAGCGGTTATTTCCTGGGAGCGCCCGGGAAGACGATGTCGACTTCCCAACAGCCGACGATCTCCACGACTCCGCCTCCCTGTTCCACCAAGGCAACGCTCGTCATGAAGACGTCCAACGGCGTGCCCAGGAGTCTCGTTCTGAAGCTTCTCAATCTGTGTCGCGATTCGAAGCGAGTTCGCGTTCGCGTCGAGAGATCTACCACGGAGAAGCCGTACGCCGAAGTGACCTACCCGGAAGTCCTGAACGGCACGGCCTTCGTCAAACTCTTCCTGACCGCCTCCGTCTACGATCAGTTGAAACTCAAGAGGAAGCCGGAAATGCCGCCGCCGACCAACAAGGAGCTGCAGGACCACTGGCGCAGCGTTCTCAAGGTAAGACATATAATTTTGCATTATCTAGTTCCAAAGTATAGCTGATTCACGGCTGGCTTGACCTATCGAAAAAAGGGTGGTGACACGATAACAAAGGAGATAGTTTCTTGTTGGTGGAGAGCGCAGACACGCCACGCCCCTCAGAGTCCAAAGTTGGTCGTGAATCGGCTATATCTTCAAATATACAACTTTAACTTACAAAAACGATTACTTTATAGGCAAACAATCAACACAAAAACAAAAACTCGCCTAACCCAATTGCGCAGAAATGAACTGTGAAGGTGACCTGCACATCTTAATAATGCGCGGCAATTCAAAATGGTGTAGATTTACGGGGACACTAACAATGAAAAAAAAAACAAAGAAAATAAGAAAACTCAGGGTTTCTATCTTTGTTCATCCAAGCTGAATATTTTAGGTTATCCGGGTGAAAAAGCCCTGATTGATCGAAATATCCAACCCTCAAGCGACACCAAACATCTTAACAACCGTAAGTTTAAAATTTGCTCCTTACAAAAAAATAACTTTTTCAGCGCAGCAGGTCGCAAGAGCTAAGCGCTACGCCATCAACCAAATCTGGTAATTTTTGAATTTTTTTTCAAAATCAAAACTTCAAATATTATCAGAAGCGGCGGACGACCACTACTCGCGGGTTGCAAACTTCTGGGAGAGCCTTTTTTGAGAGATAACCTTGTCATCAATAAATCTATTTGTGAAAATATGTTTCGAAGTTATATCCTACATTGAAAATAAATATATTGTTTTTAAAAAACTTCAATGGGGAGAGGAAGACAAAGAATAATGGAAACGACCGCAACGCATTGAGCCATTCCAAATGCGGCCAATCCCTGTAAAAGTGTGTTTTGACTCATTTCTGATAGAGTAGTAACAATGAGAAAATTTCTGGGTCAGAACACAAAAATATGAAAGTCTGACGATAGTTCATATTTCAGACCGCAGCGCGACCGCAACGCATTGAGCCATTCCAAATGTTGTGAAAATGTGTTTGTCTTCAGTTTTTTGATGGAGTAAGACCAATTAACAAGTTTTTGTCCCAAAAATTATCCATTACATCGGTTCTTTGAATTGCACCCGACCTAAAACGACTTGAGCGCGATGACGAATCAACTCACATTTTTGTACGCGAACAAGTTTTCAGGTACAGTTTTGCACGCAGATTCCGAATCTGGACAGTAAAGTTGCCAAAAAAAATTTCTTAAACATTTCATCGACGGTTTTTGAGAACAGGTTCGGAATCAGAGCGAAATTTTACGTATATTGAACTAAACTTGGAGCTTTGAGCTAGAAGGCTCCTTTGTGAGGACCTTAAAGACCTTCTTTTTGGGGCATTTTGAAGCTCGATCTTTTTTTTTTCATTCGTAAACCCTCTGAAAAGATTTTTTTATTTTAGTTTTTATGGAGTTCGGACGTTTTTTTTTCATTAAATAGCCCTCTAGAAGGATTTCTTGGGTGATTTTGATGATTTTCTTCTTTTTGTTCCCTCTTTTTTCGCGGAAAAAGTAGTGGGAAGGTGTAGCCCATCAATTAGATAGATGTGATGGGGGGTTTTTGAGGAGTCTCTCTGGCCGGCCGCCTGTGATGAATCGCCGAATCGCGACTGCTTCGATCTATCAAAACCCGGGCCAGAGTTCCGTTTCATTTTCAACGAGCGAACGGGCTGCTCTCGCCCTTCTTTTCCCCATTAGCAGTCACATTTTGTTTCGCACATTGTTTCCCCGGATCAAGTTACACAAATGGCTCCATGACACGTTTTTTCTTAATATTTTTCTTATGTTTGTGCGTGAATTTAGTTATTCAGTTTCAAAATAACCACGAAATGACACTCTAGTTTGTTGGGATCAAGTTCCTGATCTTTTCTCGAGCCTTCGAAGGTTTCGATTCGAAAGAAATTTAAGAAGAGAATGGGAAGGAGTCATTCATGTATCAAAATTTTCAGCGCTAAATGAAACTATTTATCTCTTTTCATCTTTAAATCACTAAAAGACTACTTGAAGTTTACTGAATTCAGTTAGAATATCGAAAACCTACTGGGAAAAAATAAAACATTACGGTGGGTGTAATATCCGCAGACACCGTGTACGCATGATCGACGCGCATTTTTTTATTTTTAAATTTTTCAAAAAAATTATTTTTTTCTAATCTTTTTTTCATTATTTTTCTGCCTTTTTTTCAAAAAGTCGAAATGAAGGTGAAGCTCATTTTACTTATGATGTATGGATGAAGTGGAAAAAAAGAATAAAATCCTTTTTTTAAAATATGTTTTGCCTCTAACCTCTTTACTTTTTTAAAAGATTTTCTACACATTCGGATATTTTTTTCAGAGCATTAGTATTATCTTTTTCTCTTGTCATAACACACTATTACTTTTGGAATATAAAAAGAGATTCTCATTTGTTAAAGTTCATTTTTTTAGGCATTTTTTTCAAATTTCGGTTAAATTCTTTTTGTAATTTTTTTGATTCTAATGATAATTAGGGACAATATTGCTCAATTTTACTCATGTTTTTTGTAATTTTCCTCTCTTTTTCACATCACCTTTTTTTAAAAAAATATTTGTAACAATTCAGGTAATTCCGGCAAATGACAAAATCTCGAATTTTTTTCTCGGTCAGAGTCGACTTTTTCTTGGACATTTCAAGGAATTTCAACCATTGAAACAATTTTTTGAGTATAAGGTGAGTTTTCCTTAATTCGCAAAAAAAAAACTGCCCCTTGAATATTTGAATCATGCCTTTTTTTCACTTTTTGATCTCATTGTTGACCAAATTTCCAGGAAAAAAACTCGTTTTCCATCAAAAAATTTTGGCCAATAACAATCAAAATATCCCATTTGACATGCCGCTTTGAACACTGTGAGGCAAACAAATTCCATTACTGTTCCGCGATTTTTTTTTCTTGTAAAGTTGGGTAGAACTTTTGGCGGGAAGCTCAAAGTAAATAGATGAAAATGTCCCTCGACACGGTTTCCTTCATTTTTTGCAGATTTTCAAGTTTAAATTTAGGTTTGTGCTCACAATCCTGTTTATTTATTTTTTGGACTTATGAGTTTTTAGACCTTTTAGGGTCCCCTTGAGCCTCCGTCATGGGAAAATTGTTCCTAAACGGGTGGCAACGGTTTCCGTTTTATTGCCTTTTTCCGTCCTTTCATCGGCCTTTATCGACCCTTTTTGGACCCTTTTTTAAAACACAAAATTTTTTTTAATTGAGAATAACCTTTACCAGTGACTGTGTATGAACAAAAATGTGTTACAGTAATAAAATCGAAAATCATCAATGGCCGAGACTCTCAGCACCCTTTTTGGACCCTTTTCGGACCCATTTTGCGCCCTTTTCTCACCCTTTTTACGGCTTTTCAGCCCACCAAGAAAGAAGGGCTCAATAAAGGCCGCAAAACGGAACCTTTTTAGCGGCCATTTTGCACCCGTTTTCCGCACTTCCGACTTTGGCACCTTTCCGAGAACCTATTACTTAGAATCTTTATGTTTTCAGGAATTTTTTGTGGGTCTTTTCAAAAATTTCTAAGATGTGACATTTTTCATTTTCAGACCTTTTTAGATCTCATAAGCTTCCAGTCTAAATTCCAATAAAGAAAACCCTAAAATGTCCACTTTATACTTACTGAGAAGGTTCAAGAATCTTCAAGTTTACATTCCTCGTCAGACATTATAGTCCTTTTTAGTGTATTCAGAATTTTCTTGTGTTTTTCGCAGTTTTTGAAAGATATTTGTTTAAGATGATACCTGTTTCAGAGAGAGAGGGGGGATAATAAAAAAAATCGATTTTTGTGGTTTTTTATTTTTTCAGAAGTTAAAAAAGTTTGAAAAGCTCCAGGACTTGGCTTTTCCGAAGAACAAGCCCCATTTTTTTCATGAAAAAAATTATAGTTTTTCACTTGAAATATTAGCGGTTTTTACACCTTTTCTCCAATTTTACGAGCTCAAACAGTCTGAAAAAAGGGGGATCATGAGCCTGGAGGCTGTGGAGGCGAGAACAAGACAAATGGGTGGCCTCAGGTCCCACAACTGCTCCCTTTTTATCTCCACCTCACATGCTTTGTTAGATTGTTTTGGATGATCCCCTTTTTTTCGATTTTTGAAAATATCCCAGCTTTTTCTTGATTTCTAAGCTTCATTTCTTCGAATCGCTCCTACTCATGAAATCCCTGTGAATCTTAGAACCTTTCTACGGCTTTTTTTGACTTTTTTTATAATCTTCAGACCACGAAATAATTTCAAAAAGGTGCTACAAAATCAGTTAATTTCTTCTTATAAACTTTTTCAAAATCTTAAAAAACCTATTTTTAAACATTTCAAAGCTTTATCTTGACTTCTAAGCTTAATTTTTTTAAGAAAACTGGAAAAAAATCGTTCAAAATACACTGAATTAACTACTTTTTTTGGACTTTGAAGAAAATTTCCGTTTTTATCTTTTATTTTTCGACTTTTCTTTCATTGAAAAACTTCACAAGGTAACATAAAATCAGCACATTTTCAAAAAATACCGTTATAAGCTTCTCTTAAGCTCAAAAAATTATTGAGAAAGGTCTGAAATTTCAATGGAAAAAAATATTTTTCAGGTTTCTAGTCGTATTTTTGAAGGTATCAAGCTTTAAAAAAATGCCAAAACGAGTCGAAAAAAAGAACTTTTTATATCTTTTTCACGTTATTTTCTCCTATATCAATTTCAAAAAACGTTCAAAAATATGGCGATTTTCACTCCCTTATGAAAAATACTCTTAACACGGAATATTTCCGATCCTACGACGTTTTTTAAACGAAAAATTAGACATTAAATAATAAAAAAATTCAGTTTAATAGACTGAAATCAGCCTGATGAAGCTATCACACACAAATCAATGAAGAAATGGGATCCAATTAATTTCCTCGAGGTGCCGATTTCCTCCCTTGTCTCATTGTTGGTTTAAACAAGAGAAACTGCTCGATTTCATATTTTTTCACAGAAAAAGTTTTTTTGGAAATTTATGACGATTTTTATGTGGGAAAAGAGGGATTTTTATTACATTTGTCGTTTTCGAAACCGAAAAAAACAGGAAAAATTTCGGTTTTTTTGGTTATTTCAGCACATTTTTTTGAGTGGGAGAAGCTTGATCAAACCTTTATTCGTATAGTTTTTTTCACCTTTGTTTTCAATAAATCACCAGATTTTTGAAGTTAAATATTCAAAAACGGCCATCACGTCGTGAGGAGATTTTTTTAAAAAAATTTTTTTAGGCCTTTTTTTATTGGATTCAAAATCATACTGGGTCATTTCGAAACCGAAATTAAGGAAAATTTCGGTTTTTCCGGTCATTTCAATACATTTTTTTGAGTTTGAGAAGCAAATTTCAAGTTTGTTCGGAAAAATTTTTTTAACCCTTTACCTGTGATATTTTCAATAAATCATCAGATTGTGAAGTTTATAAGTTTATAAAGGCCTTTTTATTGAATTTTAATTCATACGGGTCGTTTCGAAACCGAAAAAACAGGAGAATTTTCGTTTTTTCGCTCATTTCCATACAATTTTTGAGTTTGAGAAGCTCAATCGAAGCTTTTTTCGTATAGTTTTTCACCTTTGTTTTCAATAAATCATCAGATTTTTGGAGTTAAAAAAACGCTCGAATAGTATCACTTCCGTGTTAGTTGTGGGAAATTTAAAAAAAAGGCGTTTGGAACTTTTTATGACAATTTTTATGCGGAAAAAACGAAATTTTCACTGATTTCTCAATTTTCCAGCTCTCATGACTCATTCCAAGTGTTCGAAAAAGACTATTTGAAGACTATTTGAGAAACGGAAGATATTTGAAATTTTTTTATGACCCATTTTTTTGCGAAAAAAATAGAGAAAAATAATTTTTTTCGGAGTTTTTTTCTTGTCCATTTCTTAAAATAAAAATGAGAAATCCTTATAATTTTATTATTTTTTTACACAGTAACAACCTTTTCAAAAATTGAAAAAGCGAAAGCGAACATTTTTTTGTTATTAGGGTTGATCCTCGGAACTGTCACAATGGATTTGAATACGCTTGGAATGCCCAAAAATTGTCGATTTTTTTCGGCCCCCGGAAACTCTGTTATTTCTTTTTGTCACTCGATCTCGTTTTTATGGATTTTTATTCTTCCTCGTCTGGGTTTTTTTCTTTTTTTAAAAAGGGATTTTCAATATTTCTGATGATAAAGGAAATTATATTGTGAAGAAAATTCAGTTTGAAACGATTTTTTTGTAAGTAATTAGACTCTGAACTTTCAAAATTTTTATGATTTTTTTCGGTTAGTTTTTCAAAAAAAGATAAAAATTTTGAAAAAATGATGACTTTTCACGGACTTTCCAATGATAAAAGGGACGGATTTCATGTATGACTTTTATGAATATTTTCGAACAAGCTTTTTGGTTCAATTTGTTAACAAGAAAAATGACGCAAGCTCCATTTTTTCAAGTAGAATGTGATCTTTGGATCGATACTTTGCAAAAAAAGATAGAAAAAAACACAGGAATTTACCTATACCAAAAAAACAGTGAAAGTATAAATTTACCTTTTTTTAACTTTATTTCGTTTTTTTGCGTTATTCATTTTTTTCATTAGAACTGCTTTTTTTGCAGAAAATACCTCAAAACGGCTCACTTTATTGTCTTCCAATCGTAAGTGGAACTCGGAGGAAGCTCAATTTCTCTTCAAGGTAAACTTTTTAAAATGTTTAATAAATTAAAGATTTTTTTGATACACTAAGTTATAGTTGTTTCATTTTTTTCGAATAAAAAAAGATAGGATAGACTCAAAAAGTTTTTTGGGGGTCTGTATGATGAGAAGTATAAGAAAGTCGCCTTTTAGCTTGTATTTTCTCAAAACTTCTTGGGGAATTACAAACCGCAAAGAAAAATGGCAAGACCCCTATAGGGACCACTTTCGGAAGCTTTAGGACCATTATAGTAAGTAAAGTGACCCCTATAGGAGAACCTCCAAGGGCCTTCAGGCTGCCCCTATAAGGAACATTCTGGAGTTTCCAAGTTTTCGGCCTATTTCGTTGTTAAACGTAACAAGTTTCCAGAAGAAGTTCTGAGAAAATTTTTATTGGCCACTAAAGGGTTTCGAAGTTTTAGGGGCCACTATAGTAGTCATATTAGTGGCCACTTGAGGGGTTAAAAATTAATGGCCACTGTAGAGGTCTAAGTGCTAATACTAGAACACTTAGTGGCCACTTTAGGGGTCAATGGATCAACATAACTGGTCCAATCTGTTTGTTTTAAAATTATCAGAGTTACTGGAAGGAATACTGGATGAAAAACTACTGAAGTGGCCACTAAATAGAGAACTTCTATGGTGGCCACTAAAACGTAAAATAGTGGCCACTATAGAGGTGGGTTTAGTGGCCGCTTTAGTGTCCTCTCCAAGTAGTCTTTGGCAAGCCTCTATAGTGGCCACTAAAAGTTTTCCCAGTTCAAAAAAAACAACATACAAAAAGCGTCATATCAATAAGATTTTTGAATTTCGGAGAAAAAGTTGAAAAGAAGCAAGAATAAACAAACATGGCGATTACCGATTGTTATGGTTTAACTGACGAAACACACAAAAGAACAGGACGAATAAACAACCAACGAAATCGATTCGAAAATTTCTCTCAAAAAAAGAAAAAATCGGATAATTTCTCTTGAAACTGTCCCTGTGTGTACATTTGCTGCTGGTCCTGTCGTTATCAGTACGAATTTTAGCGCTTTATAATCAGACTATACACTATTTTCTGTTGCTATTTTTTTGTTTATTTTTTTCGCTCTGAATTCTTAAAAAAATACCGAAAAAGTGGATTCATTCAATGGCCAAACAGTTGCGTCGCTTCATCGTCGATGGGGTAATTTTTTGATTTTTTGATTTTTTGGATTTTTTTATTCTATGATTCAATAGATTTACTAAGAAGATATGAACCTTTTCATCTTATATGAATGAGAAATTTTAACTTTCTCAATTTTTTTTCGAGTTTTGGACAGTAAATTCCAGCTTCTGGTCATCATTTTTGTGAAAAATTATGTAACTGACGTTTTTTAAAGTTTACTTATTATGCCAGATTTTTTTCGGGTAACTGTAAGCTTTGAAAAAAATCAAACTCGACTTGGGGTTATTTTTTGAACACTTTAGGCCCAAAAAAAGAAATTTCAATGAAGTTTTGGCCACTTAAATTTAATTTTTTGCTCTTTTTTTTACGTGATTATCGATTTTTCAAGAAAAACAATGTATATAACAAGAACTGTAGATCCTCAGAATTTTCATTTCGAGTCAAAATTCCCAATCTGAAGTATGTATCTGTTTTTCATATTCCCAAAAGCTTTCCTGAAGATCTTTTTCGAAAACGAAACATTGCAAAGCAAACAGAAGAATTGTTGATGTTAGTGCAAGAAAGACAATCGCCTGACATTTTTGTTAACGAGAAGCTTTCGCGCTCTTGAAATCGTTATTAAAAAGTCCATTGGTTCCGATTTATTTTTCGATTTCATACTGGTCGAAGAGTCGAGAAAAACGGCGTAAAATCCGTCTCGATTCGTTAGTTTTCAATGGAAATATGGACGGTTTTTGTTGGATTGGGAAAAAATATGTTATGGGGAGTAAAACCTGAATTTGAACTGGGTCCTCGTAGGAGTGAAAAAGAAAAGATTTTCAGGGTGATTTTTGAACTTTTTATCAATTTTAAAAAATTTCTCAAGTTTTAATGGTTTTGTAATGAAGCACAGGTCACTGGCGGTGATCTGAACGTTTTTATAAATTTCTAGAAAACATAGTTACTTTAATTTTGGAATCACTGTAGTTTATTGACTAGGTTGATGTTCATTTTTTGAGGGCCATGGTTTCAAAATAATTTTGAAACTACTTTTGATTTTTTCCTTCTGAACAAAATTCTCCTGAAGAGGTTTTTTGCGCTTTATTGAGATCTCAAAAATAGGTAAATATTTCTGGCTCCGCCTCTTCTCAAGGTTACGGTAGATGCAAGCTTAGCTTCTTCCGGAATCTATGATTATGCCTAAAAACCTTCTCACAGAAAGTCGTAATCAAGAAGTTTTTTGAAATCCGTAAACTTCTTCTTTCGGAGTTTCTACGCCAACTATATCATTAAGTTTTAATTTTTACGCAGCTAAACCTTCAGAAAGCGTTTTTAGTATATTTTTTTATAAAGTTTTTTTGATCACCTTTCTATGGAGGTTCTGAAAAACCTTTTGCCTGGCCCAATTTGATCTTGAATGTTCAAGGCTTTCATTGAACTTTTTCTAATGATTTTTTTCAAACACATCAGGCGAAAAAAATTCAAGAGTAAACTCTATGAATGGAAAGTTTTTACAAGTTTAGTTTATAAGGAAGATTCTCTAATGATTCATAGAGTAATTGAAGATTTTTTTCACGAAACTGTCGTTGATCAAGTAGATCATCACGTCTTTTTGTGATAGTAGTTATCGATATTGGGTTGTCCGATGATTAGCTACTTCTCCATGTAGGAACTGTTCGGATGTCCATGGCTCTGATTAGAACTCAGGCAAGAGCGGAAATGAAAGTCGACCTTTTCGGGAAGTAGAAATGGGAAGATCTTTAGGAAAAAAATTTTAGCGTTGAAATGACTTCCAGAAGAAAATACCGTAAACTTAAGGTTAGATTTAGAGACTTAAAATTTCACTTTGCGGCTGGGATTTTCTTTCAAATTGGCCAGAACACTTCTTGATGTACCAGAAGAAGATTCTGAATGTCTTAACCTTTAAAACTCTCTACTTTTCGAGAAAAGACGCTCAAAATTCATCAAAATGAGCTATTTTTGGGCTTTGGACCTTCATTTCTAGTGCAGATCGAGGCTTCCAGGATCTTCATCTGGTGCGTCAAGAGCCAATTTTTAGGAAATTCCCAACCACAAAGTGATATGACCTCCCCTGTTAAGGAGAAATATAGGGGATCCAAAACTTAGCGCAGTTCAACGAATATTTTCAAACGGACTGACTAGGGAACGTTTTTTTACCCCCTTGTTGAAATTTTGCTAAAACTTTGCTGAAGTGTATAGGACCCCCTGATTCCAGAACAGAAAGAAAATTTCTCGCAATAGATCTCGTTTTCGAGTTAGGACACTTCAAAAGCCCGAAATAGCGCTTTTTTGGCTTAATTTGCGTATTTTGCGGACTTTGAAGCTCCATGAACGGAAACAAGACCTATTGCGAGAAATTTTTTTCTTGATCTGCAATCAGAAGGTCCTAAAGTACACTTCAGCAAAGTTTCAGCAAAAGTTCAAATTTCAACAAAGGGGGGGAGGGGGGTGGCGGGGGTATAAAACGTTCCCTGGTGAGACCAGTAGAAACCCTTCTAGCGCTGGTCACTTTTTCAGCCGGGCCGCGTCGGAAAGGTCGACGCAGCCGCAGCACGTGAGCCGCAGCCTCTCGCAGGTTGGAGCCGAGCCGCGACTTCGGCCGCCGCGACTTCGGCCGCCGCGGAGCTGCCGTCGGCTCGACAAGACCACGCCCACTCGACCACCGCCGCCACTCCACGCGACGCCATTTCCGACGGCTCAACGACGACTACCGCCGACATGGGCAGCCACCTTGATGACGTCAACCGCGACGCCTTGGTTCGTCCCCAGAAGGCGTGGAACATCATCTTCGAAATGTTCAGGTCGAGAAACAGCCGGCCTTCGAGACGAGAGTCTTCGCCAAAAGATGGGCCATTCTGGTCATCTTCATCCTCCTGTCGGCTTCCAATGGAGCTCAGTGGATCGAATATTCCATAATCGCCAATATCATCGCACAGTTCTACGATGTCTCGTGGGTTTTTCTTGGTTTTTGGGGTCCGTGGGGCTTCAAAATGGGTTTTAGAGCAACAGTTGGGCATTTTTCAGTGCTTCTATTTTTCCTTGTGAATTTTGATGTAATGAACTTTCATATAAAGTTATCGTTTTGATACCTTTTCTGGATAAGTCGAGTTTTTTAGAGCTTTTAAAAGTTTCATAACGTCTTGTTTATAGTAAGTTTTGACAGAAGCGCTTCGATTCGATTCTTGATTTCAAAAAGTAAAGAAATTTGAAGAAAATAGGACAGGTTTTCAGTTTTTGAATCAGAATTTAGACTGATAAAAGGCTGGGAAAAAATTGTTTATTTTGTTTTTTAGGCTAAGGACTTGTAACTTTTGTCAATTTTCAATTCATTTTTCGATCGAAAAGATCCTCATTATCATTGGCTTCATTTGTTGGCTTCACAATAAGTTCAAAATTTGAATTTTAGAGCTTTAATTGTTGTAAAGTTTTCACATTTCAAAATTTTCTCGATTTTTCCTTTTTTCTCACAGTAATGAACATGAAAAAAGTTGTGTAATCCGTAGTTTTTGATTTATTTTTTTTTAATTATCCACCCTTTTTTGTTTTCTATGAAACATGAAAACGTCTGGAATTCGTAAACTTCATAATTTAAAGTCTCTTGGCTTGTTTTTTTAAAGCAAAAAAATGTTTCAAAATGATTCAAAAAAAGTTTTTTTTTTTCAACTTACTAACTTTTTTGGGCTCTCTAGGCTCTATTTCAACACTTTGAAATGAATCGAGTTCAAAATGAAAAGGAATTTTGAATGATTTTCTCTGTTTCCCGATCTTTTGGCTGAGTCACATCTTCCAGATTCTCGGCCGTCGACTGGACGAGCATGATCTACATGCTCACCTACATCTTCTTCTTCATCCCAGCCGCGTAAGTCGGAAAAATCGGATAATTTTCGCCTATCGAGCTTGGCAAAAAACGCGAAAAAGACACGGTCGAACATTTGTCGCCGACCGAGCGGATAAGTGCCCTTGGCGCTCTTCTCTGTTTATTTGAAAAGGAGCAGAAAAAAAAGAAACTTGCGCGAGGTTGTTGGGATTCGCGGTCGAGGATCGGTTCTGATATTATGATGTGGGATTTTGGCTAGAAGTCACGGAATATGGTTAGAGGCGTTGCGGCTGCGGAGCGGTTTCCTGAAGGATTAGGAAAAATAAGGGTTAGGGGCTCGAAAGTTTCGAAAAAGGCTGGTTAATGGGATCTGTGCAGTGGGCTTTGAGCCATTCCGAATGCGACCAAGGTTGCGATAGAATGGCTCTAAGCGAGTTGAACTGCGCCCGACTTTAAACGACTTTCGAGCTGGGCCATCTGAAAGAAGTTGAGTGAGTCTATACGCTTTGAGCCATTCCAAGTGCGACCAACTTCTTCCAAAATTACCGGCTTTTAAATAAATCAAACCCCTATTTGAAGGAGCGAATGTTGAAATTATTCATGTAACATTAAGAGGATGAAATTATGTGATTACAATGAGATGGGGAAAGAGTAATACGGAATTATATTAAAATAAATCATTTAAGTATCGCGCAGCCGTTTCGGGTCTATATAGTTTCAATAAAAGCCCTCGAAGCGCAGAATACGCGAGGTGAACTGCGCCCGACTTGAAGCGACTTTCGAGCTCCGACATCTGAAAGAATTATAGTGAGATGCTTATTTTTAAGTTGTCTAGACTCCACTGGCTAACCTCAAAAACCCAGTTGTCTTGGAATGGCTCAAAGGTTTATAAGCTTTGAGCCATTCCAAGTGCGACCAGAGTTAAACTGCGCCCGACCTTAAGCGACTTTCAAGCTAGGACACCTGAAAGAAGAATAATGTGCTAATTTCGCTTTCTAGACTCCATTTGCTCTCCTCAATAACCCAATGGTCGTATTTGGAATGGCTTAAAGGTTTTTACGCTTTGAAACATTCCAAGTGCGACCAAGGTACTTGGAAACTACTATAATGGCTTGAAGTTGAACTGCCCCTGACTTGAAACGACTTTGGAGAGTTTGAAAAAAGTACAGTGTCCGACCGCGACGCATCCCAACGCTTTGAGCCATTCCAAAATGCGACCACGGAGTGTTCAGTGAGAGCCAATGGAGTGAATTTATCGGTTGCTAAATAAAAGTTGATCATTTTTGCTTTTACAAAAAGTAGATTCAATGAAAGCTTAATAATACTTGAACCTGAGCGAAAGTCGTTTTGGGTCGGGTGCTGCTTTTCGCCCTGACCGTGGCCTCACAAGGGAAGGAGCAATAAGTACACATAAAGTTCACGAAAAGTTCATTCATATCAATCTTCCCACTTTTCAAAGATTTGCTAATGTGACGAAGTATGAACTAGTTTTTTTCTCAAGTAGTTAAGGGTCAGATTAAAGTTCAAACAGCTGCGAGACATGTGAGGTCAGCGACGACGAGGCGTCGGTAAACAGTCTGGAAGCATTTGCTTCCGCGCGCTAACAAGCTTTTTTTTTTTCGAATTTATCGTTTTCCCCAACTCCAGTGTTGTATAGCATACAACCCCGGGGAGGATGCTTGCTTTGAGCAAATTTCGACTTTTCTCAGAGTTTTTTTTTCAAGTTGAAAGGGGCTGAAAATGAGACGGGAAACGATAGTTTTGTCACGCGAAGAGGTTGCCCCCGACCCGAAACGACTTGCGCGTGCTGCTATTGGAAGGTTTGAGGCCCTATTCCTCCATGTTACTGACTCGAACCGCAACGCGACCGCGACGCTTTGAGCCATTCCAAACGCGACAACAAAGCCCCAAATCGATACGGTTTTCATCGAAAAAAAATATTTTTTTAAAAATGAGAGTTCCAATTTCCATATTTATGAGTTTGTTTAGGGACATTAAAGGTACTTTGGAAGTTCATGATTTCCAAACAAATCTGAAAAAAACTTTTTTTGTATAAATTCGTTCAACCAGCGCTGATGGTACAAAAAAACCATTAAGTTTACTCTCAAAACTCCCTTAAATTTCTTAAATCTCCGACCAAAAGTTCAGAACAGCTTTTTCCCGAAAAAAATTGGGTTTAGAAGACTAAAAAAATGGAATAGATGTCTTGTTGTCAAGCGGAACTAATAAAATAAAAAAATTTTATTACATTTTTTTATTTTTTTGAGTTGAGATGTTACTGAGATTTTTTTCCGAAATTCAAAATAGGAGCGAAAAATTTTTGAAAAAATCTGCTTTTTCGAAATTTCCTTCGTTTAGGAAATGATTGCGACGCGCAAATCTTTTTGATTTTTAGAGTTTTTTTATTTTTTTGATGATGTCAAAACGGAAAAAAACATCGAATAGAAGGACATTAATGAAGTTGGCGAAACGTAGGATTCCCTGGATACTTTCTTCATTCTTAACTAATCGGAAGAAATGACCGGAATACATTTCAGACATTTTAAAAAGATTAAAAAGGACTCTAGAAAGATACAATTCTCGTTGCTTTTAAAGGATCTTACAACAATAGAGTTTTTATTTCGTGAAAACGATTTTTAAAATGAGAAAAAATCGAATAGAACAACATGAATGGGTTTTTTTTTTGCTTTTTTGCGAAACGTAGGATATTTTTTTATTCCTAACTGAAAGATCGACTTTCCCTAATGAGTTCAAGGACCGAAGATTGACTTACTAGGAAACTACAGTGACCACTCTGGAGTTCCTAAGACAGTTTGATCAGAAAGAACGATGCGAAAAACCTAGGAACGCCAGAGTGATCCCTAAAGGGGTCACAAAGAAAGAAGTGGCCCCCATAGGGACCGAAAGTGGTTCCTGTAGGGTATGAGGTCCTTATAAGGGCTTGTCTGCTGGCGCGAATTTTGAAATTTCTCGAAAATCTATTGAATATCTGAATTTTCAAAACGACGCTCCTCGTTACGGCTATGCGCTGGCGCGAAGTTTGAACTTTCTTGAAAAATTAATGATCGTCTAATTTTTTTCAAACGACGCTCCTCTTTACGTCTGTATGTTGGCGAGAAATTTGGATTTTCTCGAAAAAAAAAATTATAAAGAATCAGTTTTTAAACGACGTTCCTCTTTACGGTTGTGCGATGGCGCGAATTTCGAAGTTTCTCGAAAAATTATTGAATATCTGAATTTTCAAAACGACGCTCCTCGTTACGGCTGTGCGCTGGCGCGAAGTTTGAACTTTCTTAAAAATGAATGAAAAACGGAATTTTTCAAACAACGCTCCTTTTTACGCCTGTCTGATGGCGCGAGTTTTGATTTTCTCTGAAAATTTATAAATATCTGAATTTTTCAAACAACGCTCCTTTTTACGCCTGTCTGATGGCGCGAGTTTTGTTTTTCCTCTGAAAATTTATAAATATCTGAATTTTTCAAACAACGCTCCTTTTTACGCCTGTCTGATGGCGCGAGTTTTTGTTTTTCCTCTGAAAATTTATAAATATCTGAATTTTTTTCAAACGACATTCCTCTTAACGGCTATGCGCTGACGCAAAGTTTGAAGTTTCTTAAAAAAATGAACAAATTACTGAATTTTCAAAACGACGTTCCTCTTTACGGTTGTGCGCTGGCGCGAAGTTTAAACTTATCGATTAAAAAAATTTTCAGTGGTTTGAATATATTTCAATTCAGATGGCTTCTGGATCGTTGGGGACTCCGGGTTTCAATATTGCTTGGAGCCGCCGGAAATTGTTTTGGAGCTTGGATAAAGTTACTTTCAACGCATCCTGGTATAGAAAAAAATGATCAATCCTTAAAAGGAAAATTTTCAGATGGTTTTTGGATCACCTTCCTTGGACAGACGATCGTCGGCGCCTCGCAAATGTTCACTTTAGGTTTTTTTTTTTTAACTTGAAAATTCTGACTTCTCTGCGCTCTCTTCTCTCTCGGGGATGCAGATGAGATAGAAGAGGGCGCAGACAGGGCAGATTGTTTTGAATGACGTTGAAAATTGTTAGGAATCCCGCCAAGGCTGGCCGCCGTCTGGTTTGGACCCGATGAAGTTTCGCGGGCCTGTGCAGCTGGAGTTTTCGGGAATCAGGTACAGTTAATTTTGCCTTGCAGTGGTTTGGTGCTTAGCGGTATTTGTGAATTGCGCCCGACCAGAAACGGCTTGCGCCTTGTCGCGGGAAAAATCATATAGAAGGCGGCTTTAACCGCAACGCAGAGCCGCGACGCTTTGAGCCATTCCAAGTGCGGTTACAGAACTCACACCTAGGTCAATTTAGGTCAAATAAAATGTAAAGTACGATGGGAAATTTGAAATAAATGTTAGGAAGGGTTTTCCGCTCAACTTGTTGATTTTGTTCAAAAAACTCAGGTTCTCATTAATTTTTTTTTTCTTCGGTTCATTCAGTATGGTCTTGATTTGTTTGGGAAATGTTTTCTGAAGGATTTTTTGGGAATTTTGAAGCATTCTACACTAAATAAGTATCTTAATCAAAGTACGAAAAATTCAAACTGCATAAGGTTCTTCCTTTTTTGGAAAATGACCTTCTTCAGCTTTATTTAGGCTTTTTCCGTTTTTCTTTCCAGATTGAAAGAATTTGGTTTACTACCATACGTAGGCGAAAAAAGAAATCGATAAGTCCGGGAATGAATCACGAAATTTTAAAAAGTAGGGAATAAACTTCAATTTTCAACCTCAGGGAGGTATTTATGAGGAAATAATTAGAAATATTTTTTTGTTTAGTTTCGATGAAATAAATATTTTTGAACGTTAGGAAGGTAGTACTGACTCCATTTTGAGAATATATAGAAAAAGGCCTTTAAAAAATTTTTGCCCATTTTTTTTTTGGTTTTTTTTCTTCTCCCTGAATATAGTCTTTTCAGATTTTAAATGTCAAGTGCAATGACGTCATTCAAAAACACGCTCTCTGATTGGTTTATCGCACTATTAGGGGCGGAGCTTGAGCGACGACTTGACAGTCAAAATCTGAACAGACTATAATGGTTCATCGACTTATTTATTTTGTTGTTTTAGTCTAGGATGTAACCGACTAGGCGGTGAACAAGAACTTTAAAAGCTATAACGAACAGCCGCCTTTGGCGACTTAGAAGTCCAAAGGTGTAGTTGATCAAGTTGAAAGCATGGCCTTACGGTCCTCCGCCACGTTCTTCTGCGCGTAGTCCGTTCAGTTGCGCATTGACGAGCTCAGAATGTAGCTGATGCTTAGCTGGAGCACGGAGACTGGGCTCTAGGGAGCCTCAGAAGGAGAGCGACCACTTCCAGTGAAGATCTTACACAGAATCAATTTCATTTTCAGCTCGGAATAGCTGTCGGCTTCGTCCTGCCGCCCTTGTTGGTCTCAAACGGAACCAGCGATGAGATCGCCTACGACTTGAACACGATGTTCTTGTCGTCGGCGGTTTTGAACTCGATCATCTTGGCCTTGGCTATTTGCTGTAAGCTTTAACAGCTGTCTCTGTATTTCTCAAAATCAACAGGACGAGAAAAAAAATTTATTTTTTAATTTCAATGAAATTTCAACCAGTGTTATCATATGACGTCAGGATCGATTTTTTTTGAGCCATTTCCTTTTACTGTAGCCGGGTTACGGTAGGCAAGTTGTAATTTGAGTATCTAAGAATTGACGAGTTTTCTATAGGCAAGTTGTATATCAATCGATAGTTAAAAAGAAATTTTTAGGATTTTTTTCAGTTTATCTTGGGTTACTGTAGAACTTTTTATGTGTTGAAAAAAGAGTTAAAAAAACAGTTTTTTTAGAACAAAAAAATTAAGAAGCCTAGAAACAATTTTTCGAGAAATATTGCAGTTTTTTTGAACTTTTTGATTAATTTTATCAGAAAAAAAAGCCTTTGATTATCATTTTTTTGGTCAACTTTCAAGCTTTATTCGGGAAAAATTTTGACCATTTTGCTCTAAAAAAATTCATAAAACTGTTCTAAAAATCTCTCATTATCAAATAATTAGTAGTTTTGACGCGGAAAGAAGCTTTTTTTTATGCTTAAATCGAAAAAAAAAAGCGGAATTTATCGCTTCTTTGACGGCTTTTAGTATCTATTGTCGTTATTAAAACTCTCAAAAGCTAGACTTATCCTATTTTCATTCAGTTTTCACGGCCCGACCGCCTCTCCCCCCAAGCTTGGCCCAACTGACCGCCCAAGAAGAAAAAGCCTTCGACAATAATTTCTGGTCGACCCTGAGGAAGCTGATGACCAACAAGGACTTTATCCTTCTCTTCATCACTTATGGTACACGTTTTTCTCAATTTTCCGTCAGAAATCGAAAGAAATCTGATGAATGGCCATTTTTGTTGGGGAAATGCGCTCGGGGGAGAAATTTCGTTGAAAAAAAAAGTTTTGAAGCGCTAAAACCTCGTTTTGAAATTTAATGCAATCACTGCCAAAGTCGAAAGTGCGGAAAAAGGGTGCAAAAAGGAAGTGACTGCAAAATGGCCGCTAAAAGGGTCCCTTTTCACGGCCTTTATTGAGCCTGTCATTCTTGCACTGCCAAAGTCGGAAGTGCGGAAAACGGGTGCAAAAAGGGAGTGACTGCAAAATGGCCGCTAAAAGGGTCCCTTTTTACGGCCTTTATTGAGCCTTTCATTTTTGGTGGGTTAAAAAGGGTCATAAAAGGGCGAAAAAAGGGAGAGGCCGCGAAAAGGGTGAAGAAAGAGTGGGGGTTCAAAAAGGTTCTGAAAGTCTCTGTTATTGATGATTTCCGATGTTATTACTGTAGCTTATTTCGGTTCATACGCAGTCACTTGTAAAGATTATTCTCAATTTAAAAAAAATTGTATTTCTCAAAAGGGTCCAAAAAGGGTGGATGAAGGCCGGTGAAAGGACGCAAAAAGGCAGTAAAAAGGAAACCTTTGCCACCCGTTTAGGAACAATTAATGGAAACAGACGGATCCGTAACGGACGCTCAAAGGGCCCGTGAAGGGTCCTTCCGACTTTGCCTATGATCATGAGTTAGAAAAGATAAATCCAACACAAGTTTACTGTTTATGGAATTTCAATTCTATTTTAGTATGCCTTTCAATTTATTAAAAATCCCTGTTATTCAAGATATGTTTCGCCGTCCGGAAATACTTTTTTCAAGGTGTCAAAAATCGGTTTTTCACATTCGAGCAAATTCGGAAAGGTAGATAATGGCCGCTGAAAGGGAGAGGCTTGAAAAGACAGCAAAAAGGCTGCAAAAAGGCCGCAAAATGGCGGCTGAAAGGCTGCAAAAAGGGCGCAAAAAGGCACCAAAAAGGTTGTAAAAAGGCCGCAAAAAGGCAGCAAAAAGGCGGCAAAAAGAGTCCCTTTATCGAGCCTCCCATTTTTTCGGGATTTTAACGGCTCAAGAAATGGCGCAAAAGGGCAGCAAGGAAAATTTCTATGAAGCTTTTTTCCGCTCTTTCCGACTTTGCCTATGGAAAAGCTTTTCTAATTTTTTCATGTTTTTTTTTCAAATTTCCCAGTCCATAGTTGCACTTGGAATGACTCTTACAAGCTTCAAAAATGTGCCCGACTTGAAACTACTTGCGCTTTGTTGCATTAGAAATCATCAGAGGCTTCATGAAGTGGTCAGACATTTCAAATGTCAGAACATTGATCCAAGTAGAAGCGTATGAAGTTCATCACCTTTTTCGAGGAATTTTGAAAGATTAGAATCATATATTTGCAAGTGCAGTATTCAGAAAAGCAGGGATGGTTGGCTCAAAAAATTTAAGTTCACTAACGAGAAAAATTGATTTTTAAGCTTGAGAGCAAGTCTTTGCGGGTGTTAAAAGCCTTAAAACTGGCCAGAAAAATTCTCTGAAGAAGATCCTGAAGTCTCAGACTTGTAACACTTTTTATTTATTGAGAAAGGACACCTCTAAGTCAAAGAAAATGAGCCATTTTGGCGCTTTGAGTCGTTATTTTGAGAAAACTAAGAACTTTGGCAGGTTCAGACTTTTAGAGTCTTTTCCTGGTACATCAAGGAGTATTCTGGCCGAATTTATGTGATTCGCAAAGTAAAATAACATTTAGAGATGAAAAGAAGCTTTGGGATAGCCTTGGAATGGTCGATGGTGGAAATGATCGCTAAAAGGGAGAGGCTCAGAAAAGGGCGTAGAAAGGTAGCAAAAAGGCAGCAGAAAGACTGCAAAAAGGCTGCTAAAAGGCAGCAAAAAGGCAGCAAAAAGGCAGCAAAAAGGCGGCAAAAAGAGTTCCTTTATCGAGCCTCCCATTTTTCGGGGAATTTAAAGGCTCAAGAAAAGGTAGAAAAAAGGAGAGGCAGCAAAAATGGTGCATAGAAGCCGATGAAATGGCGCGAAAAGGTAGCAAAAAAGGAGCCTTCGTCACCCTAAAATGAACCTTTTTGGAGCCTTTTTTTCACTTTGTACATGTTCTCAGATGCTCATTTATCTCTAGTTTTGCCTCTGATTGAAACCAGAAGCAATACATCGAAATTCCTCCTTCTGTTGAGCCCCGAGAGTGTCACTTGTCACTCCAAGGTATCAACAAATGGCGTCGAAAACATCGATCATTTGTGTAACAAATGATTGGCTTTTTTTATTCCTGACGGCTCTCATTTGCCTCGGCCCGAGAAGATTGTGATAAATTCGCGCCATCAGCATCTGCCGCAAATTTGTGAACAAGGGGGAGGACAAAACATGTGTTTTTGAGGTTTTTATTGAGTTTTCGAATGAAGGGGACTTCATTGAGGATATTAGTTGGGAAAGTGGTTGTTGAGGAATTTTGGAGTTTCGAAGTTATGGCATTTGGAAATGGCATATTTCGGAACATCAGCTGGAAAATTCAGATCATGGTTGATTTTTTTTTGGAAAGGATAGTTTTTAGAACATCAGCTTGGAATTTCGATTCGGGATCGATTTTTAAACGGTTTCAGACAGAATTTTCAACTTGAGCAAGCTTTAAAATGTATGATTTTCGTAAAATCGTTAAAAAAAAAGAGGACCAACCAATCGTAAAAGGGATTTCCAATACAAAAAGCTTATAATTAAAAAAATTTTTTTATTTTTTTAACTTTTTTTAAAGAGAAAATGAAGAAAAAAACTCAATTTTTTTCGTTACATTTCTAAGAAATCGGTATGAACTTAGGAACTGCAGAGTGGTCCCTATAGGGGCAGCCTTATGGGCTCTTGGAGGGTCCCCTCTAGGGGCCACTTTGCCAACCCTATAGGGGCCACTAAACCTTGCGAAAGTGGTCCCTATAGGGGTCACGTTAGTCGATAACTCTTATGAACTCTAAGCGAAGAAGCATTTCCATGGGAAAAACTGAATAAATAAGCGTTTTTTGAAAGAAATTGAGAACCCTATAGGGTATACTTGAGCTTCAGGGGCTAAGGGGTCAGACCCTAAATCCCTTTAGGGACCACCTTAATTTGACCCCTATAAGGACCACTTTCTCGGCGTCTATAGTGGCTTTTCCCCCCTTACCTCTGTAGGGACCACTCTGGAATTTTTAAGGATAGCTCAAAAATTTTAAGGCAAAGAAAATAATCAAAAATTCATTTTTTAAAGCTCTTTTCAATGTTTTTTTTTTTGCTTTTTCAGCTTTTTAGTGAGATTTTTCCATTTGAAGGCATCAACACCGGCGTTTTCTACGCCATTTCGACGCTTTTGTCCCAGATGGTCCTCAGTGTTTATCCGGAGGTACCTGATTAACTATAGAACCGGAAAATGCTCGTTTTTTCAAGGAAACTGTGGCCGTCGGCCAAGTCGGCCTCTTAATCGTCGTGGCCGGAATGCTTGGCTCCGTCGTTGGCGGAATTTGTCTCGACAAGTTCAAGAAATTCAAGTTCGTTTTGGTGGTTTGTAAAAGACAGTTATTCCATAAAGTTTGAGCTTTTAAAAGAAAAAAGGTACCGATTTTATTCAAATTTCACATCAGGGAAGGTAGATTCTAACCATTCTTGAACGGAAAAAGAAAGAAAAAAAAAATCCTACGAAAATATTTTTTTTGAAGTAAGCTCAAAATTTATTACTATCAACACTTTTTTTACCTGAAAAAAAGAATGTTCAGAAAATTTTTTTTGAGTTTTATCGAAATTTTTTTCAGTTATTTTTAGCCGTTTTTCCGTTCATTTTCAAGCCATTAACTTTTTAAAAAAACGTCTAGGACAAAAAAATACTCAAAAATTAGGGATTTCACGTTAATCGAGATTTTTTTCTTAAAAAAATGAAATTTAAATGTTTTTTTAAGGAATTTTTTTCGCGATTTGAAAGTGAATTTTATGCTCTTTTGCGTTATTCTTGTTTTTTTATTGAGAAAACTATCTTAATTATTTTATTATTAGTTATAAAAAAATTAGCTTGTTTTTTTATGTGAAGAAGTGTCAAAAGAAAATATTTTTTTCAACCAAAAAAACAAGGACTTTTTGAAGTTTATAGAATCTTTTTTTGGTAATTTCAGTCGTTTTTAGTTCATTTTCAAGCCATGGGATTGGAAAAAAATCGGACTTTTAATTATTGGAAAAAAAGATTCATTCAAAAAAATAAGGGATTTTGTGTCAATCGAGCTCACGATTTCTTGAAAATTAAAGTTTAAAATGTGATTTTTTTTTTTGCGATATTTGCGATTTTAAAGTGACTTTTTAAAAATTAACACTGAAAAAACCATTTTTTGGGATTTTTCGAGATGTAAAAGTGAAATTTCTGTTCAATTCATCTGGGAAAATTTTTAATGGCCACTTGAGGGGTTAAAAGTTAGTGGCCACTATAGAGGTCTAGGTGCTACTGCTAGACCACTGAAAATTATAATGGCCACTTTAGGGTTTTGAAGTTTTGGTGGCCACTATAGTAGGCAGTAGTGACCACCTAAGGGCTTGAAAATTAGTGGCCACTATAGAGCTCTGAGTGCTACTACTAGACCACTTAGTGGCCACTTTAGGGGTCAATGGATCAACATAACTGGTCCAATCTGTTTGTTTTGAAATTATCAGAGTTACTGGAAGGAATACTGGATGAAAACTTCTGAAGTGGCCACTAAAACGGGAAATAGCGGCCACTATAAAGGTGGGTTTAGTGACCAATTTAGTGTCCTCTCTAAGTAGTCCTTGGCGAGCCTCCATAGTGGCCACTAAAAATTTTCCCAGGTTAGCAGTTTTTCGAAAAATTATCCCCTTTGGTTCTATTTTCATGTATAAATAATTAGTGACTTCAAATAGAATACAGAAAAAAATGCCCAGTTTTCAGGTTGACAACAATTTTGGTCTACCTTTTCTCCTTCGTCGGCATGATTTCCTTCACGTTCACCATTGATCTCAACTCCATGGCCCTCGTTTTCATCAATGCGTTTCTACTTGGGTTAATATTCATCTCATTTTGCTACAGAAAATAGAAAAATTAAGCGATTTCAAACAGAAAAACGGATTAAAAACAAGGTTTACTGGGTTGAAAATGAATAAAAATGAAAATTTGAACTTTTTGCACCGTGTTTTGACACGAACTTGAGCGGTCCCTATAGGGCTCAGGAGAAACACAGCCGAGGCAAAAAAAAAAGTGGTCTCTATAGGGGTCTTCCAATTTCATTCAAAAACGCTTATTTATTCAGTTTTTTCCATGGAAATGATTCTTCCCATAGAGATTTTCATGTCCTCTATAGGGAACACTTTGCAAGCTTTAGTGGCTCCTATAGTGGTTGGTAAAGTGTTCCCTAGAGGGGACCCTCCAAGGGCCGCTAAGGTTGCCCCTATAGGGACCACTCTGAAGTTCTCAAGAACGCTCTAGAATTTTATTTTCTTCTTTCCAATCGATTTTTAAAAAATTTTGAAAATCCGCTGATTTTTAAAAATAATCAGGCAGAAATGATCATTTTTTACGTGTCAGTATTATTTTTGAAAGACTAGATTTTTTTGATTTTCATGAATTTATTTCTTATCTAAACTAATAATCAGTTTTTGTGTTAAAAAAAAGGCAAAAGAGCGATACAGTGTTTTCATTATTAAAGGAGCATCGATTGGGAAAAAAATGGTCTCGAGAGGAATTTTTTTCTCCCACAAGGTGCTTTTGAAGGTTAACAATATACAGATAGTATACAGCTTTCTGAACAATTCGCACCAGGCTTTGACAAGCTCCGCCCATTCTCAGGCTTACTGTAGAATAGATACCGTAAAAAGCCAAATTTTTTCCTGATAAGTTGAACTTACTTACTTACTTAGTTACTTAGATGGTCCATCTTCGCTTTCGACCTTTTATTGCCTTTTATTGATCGAAGCGTGGACCACACGTTTTCCAGGAGATCTTATGCAATCGGTCATCCAGTGTTGTCGTCCTGGTTGACTGGTATTCTTGCGAAAAAGTTCCATCCGTGGTGTTGAACGTGTTATAGCATAATTGTGGTCTTATTATCCTTTTTGCCTTGCCAGGGCTAAAAAAGACCGCCCATTCTGTTAGCAGAAGCAAGCCGAATTGCGTGACCGGTGTACCGTTAGCCGCCATAAATGGCGTTGCCTCCCCATCACCGCGTAGAGGTGGTACTTGAAGGGGATAAGTTGAAATGGAGAAAAAATGTCAATTTGTGCAATTCTTGTGTTGAAAATTACTCTGGAAAAGTATTTTTCATGTAGAAAAAGTTGGATGAAAGTAGAAAGATGACGATTTTTTGAAATTCTTGTGTTTTTGGAGGTACCTCGGACCAAACTTGAGACTTTTTTTTGTCCAGCTCAACCGAATTTTTATTCAAATGAAAGCTATTGTATTGAGAAAAATCCTCAACTACACTTTAGAAGAACAAATTGGTCAGGCTTTTTTTTCTGAATCCCAGAAAGTATTTAATTTTAATGACCTTCCTGACTACACTGTTCCTGAAGCACGTGGCTTTGGCAACACCTCGAAATTCCCGAAATTGTTTCCGGTAACTCATTGTGAATGAGAAAGTGGCGGCTTTTGTTGGGAAATCGGCGTAGGTGTGCCCTATTTGTCAACAATTTGTTCTTTGTTTGAAGCTCACGATTTTCAGGATTTTCTAGGGGGTGATTAAAGAAAAATTTGAAAGTGACTAGGGATCCTGAAAGATTTTTAGTGAAGTTAGAGAGCTTGAAATTGATAAATTCCAAAAAATTTGATATCAAATTAAAATTTGGAAGGAAAGTCGGAGATTTTTAATCGTTAGGATAATCGAGTGATAATTTTCAAGGGAATTGAAGATCCTGAAGGTTTTTAGTGTATTTGGACAGCTTGAAATTGATAAAATCAAAAAAAAAACTCTTATAAAATTGAAATTTGCGAGTAAAACCGTGCATTTCAAATCTTTACGATAACCCTTTTTTTCTTTGTTTCATTCAAAGTTCTGATAATATTCTAGAAAATTGAAGTTCCTGTAAGATTTATAGTGAAGTTGGAGCACTTGAAGTTGATTAAAAACAAAATTTCGGTGGGAAATCCTTCCAATAATTAATCGAATAAAGTTATGGCTTTTTCATAAAAAAATTTTCTTTGTTTGAAGCTGAGAATTTTGAAAATTTAATTCCATGGGATGATTTAGAGGTAATATTTAAGGAAAAATAAAGATTCTGAAATTTTTCGTAGTGAAGTTACATTGATTGATCCAAAAGAAAAAGATTAAAAATCAAAATTTCAGCAGAAAATTGCGGATTTTTGAAAAAAATCTGGTGAATAAGAAGAATTTATGGACAAGAAAGTTACTACAGATTCTTCATGACGGGATACCTACCGATTGGATTCGAATTTGCCGCCGAAATCACCTATCCGGCTGCGGAAGGCACCACCAGTGGGCTTCTCAATGCCAGTGCTCAGGTAAAAAGACGCTTTATTTTTAAATTAAGGGAAAAGGGACAGTAAAATGAGAAAGAAACTGAATCGAGTTTATTTAGAATTTGTGAGAATCAAAGTTTATTGAAGCTTGCAATTTGGCCTTTTTTGGACTCTTAGTTTTTTAGGGAGTTCAGCGATAGATCTGTCGCAAAAGAACTGAAAATAGCTCTTCGTCTCTCACCCGATTTATAGACACCTCAAAGTTTCTAGGCAGTGGAAAACGGGCTTTTTGCGATCTTTGATGTGTTGAAACTGAACTAAAAGTCAAAAAGGGTTTAGAAAATCAACTGAATGCTTTCCTTGGATCAAGAAACCTTCCTGGATGATCAAAACCTGAAAATTTTCCTCTTTTCTTGGATCTGTATTCTCTAGGGTACATTTCAGGATAGTTTAGGCAGTTTTTTGGAGCTTTTGACACGTTGAAACTCAACTAGAAGTCAGAATCCTTGTAACTTTTCTTTTTTTCGGATCTGGGTGGTCTATGTTTGAACCTTTTCCTTTTTTCTTGGATCTAGATGATCAAAATTCGAACATTATCTTTTTTTCTTGGATCTAGGTAATCAAAATTTGAAAATATTCTTTTTTTTCTGAACCTGAATGCTCTAAATTTGAACCTTTTCCTCTTTTCTTGAGTCTGGATGATGAACAAAATCTGGTGATATTCCTGCTTTTTTTGGACTTGAAAGATCTAAATTTGGAAGTTTTGGAGATCTGGAGGCTCCAAAATACGTTTTCGGCTTGTTGAATCAGTTTTTCTCAGCCCCTTCCTTTTCATTTTGGCTCTGAAAATATGAGAAAAAAAATTCAGATATTCGGAATTCTGCTGACGTCGCTGATGGGCTACGTGATGCACACGTTCAGCACGTTGACCTGCAATTTGATAATGAGCATCATTCTCATCATCGGCACCGTTCTTACAGGTTTTTCTAGGGTTCTGAAGAAGTTTTGAGAGATTTTTCCAGGGTTCATCACCGAGGATCTCAAGCGCCAGAAGGCGCACGCCGTTCAAGCGAATATGCCTGTCAGTTTTCGACGGAAACATTTTTCTCTTAAGGAAATAAGTTCACCCAATAAAAATAGGTGATCAACAGAAAATCAATGCTTAAAATTAGAGATTTTCACGCTTCTGTTCAAAATCTTTTAAAGGACTTTGGAATCCCAGAATGGTCCCTATAGGGTTTAGGAGGAAAATGACCGCTATAGGGATCGGAAAACTAGACCCCAAGGCGTAATATCAAGGTGTTCCCTATAGGGATTTAGGGTCTGACTGCTTAGCCTTTAAAGCCTGAGTGGACCCTATAGAGGTAGGGAAAAAACAGCCCGTGCAGGGGCCGAAAAAGTGGTCCCCATAGGGGTTTAGGGCGAAAATAAACCCTGTAGGGCCCGGGAAAGTAGTCCCCATAAAGGTATAATCAAGGTGGTCCCTGTAGGGGTTTAGAGTCTCACCCCCTAGTCCCTAAAGCTCAAGTGGACCCTAGAGGGGTCTCTCAATTTCTTAAAAAAACGCTTCTTTATTCGGTTTTCCCATGGAAATGCTTCTTCGCTCAGAGTTCATAAGAATTATCAACTTTTCCTCTATAGGGGCCACTTTTGCAAGCCTTAGTGGCCCCTGTAGGGGTTGGTAAAGTCGTCTCTAGAGGGGAACCTTCAAGGGCCCTTAATGTTGCCCTTACAGTGACCACTATGAATTTTCTAAGCATGTAATTAGTAAAACAAGAAAATCCAATTCAGCTGTAAAAAAGCGGTCCAATTAGGCTTTTATATCTTAAGTGGCCCCTAGAAGGGTCGTTCAGATTCATTCAAAAACGCTTATTTATTCAGTTTTTCCCCAAGTTCCAACAAGCAATAGGTAAATTTAGAAGAAAATCCAATTTAAATCTTTTTTTCCAGATATCAGCGACACAACTCACAAGTTGCAGTGTACCAGAATAATCCACTCATTTTTGCATAATTATTTTGTCATTTCCCCCCTGTTTTCAGGTTTTTCTCCTTGTTTTAAAAGCGAAATGCATTTCCACACTTTTTGTCATTGATTGGCCGGTTTTCTGGCCAAATTTTGCGTTGTTGGGACTGGAAAATTGGGGAAACTAGAGATCAACGGAGAACTGAAGAGACGTCAGAGAAATAGAGAAATTATCGCATGTCTGGCGTCTCTTTGAAATGCTCCTTTTTTGACTCGTTAGAGATAACTTTCTGATGAAGAGACGCCAGAGAAAAAAGAAAGTCTTTTTTCTCTGGCGTCTCTTCAAGCCGACGCTTGTCTCTCGCATATCTTTTTTCAAAAGCGATAGATCAACTAAGGCTTGGAGAGACGCTAGAAAAGCAGGAAATCTCTTTTTCTCTGGCCTCTCTTCAAGCCGCTGTTGATCTCTCGCTTCTTTTTTTTTTGAAAGTGATAGATCAACTAAGGCTTAGAGAGACGCTAGGGAAGCAGAAAAACCTCTTTTTCTCTGGCCTCTCTTCAAGCCGCTGTTGATCTCTCGTTTCTCATATCTTTTTTTAAAAGCGATAGATCAACTAAGGCTTAGAGAGACGCTAGAGAAGCAGCAAACCTCTTTTTCTCTGGCCTCTCTTCAAGCCGCTGTTGATCTCTCGTTTCTCATATCTTTTTTTAAAAGCGATAGATCAACTAAGGCTTAGAGAGACGCTAGAGAAGCAGCAAACCTTTTTTCTCTGGCCTCTCTTCAAGCCACTGTTGATCTCTCGTTTCTCATATTTTTTTTTAAAAGCGATAGATCAACTAAGGCTTAGAGAGACGCTAGAGAAGCAGAAAACCTCTTTTTCTCTGGCCTCTCTTCAAGCCGCTGTTGATCTCTCGTTTCTCATATCTTTTTTTAAAAGCGATAGATCAACTAAGGCTTAGAGAGACGCTAGAGAAGCAGCAAACCTTTTTTCTCTGGCCTCTCTTCAAGCCACTGTTGATCTCTCGTTTCTCATATTTTTTTTGAAATTGATAGATCAACTAAGGCTTAGAGAGACGCTAGAGAAGCTGGGAACCTCTTTTTCTCTGGCCTCTCTTCGAGCCACTGTTGATCTCTCGCTTCTTTTTTTTTTGAAAGTGATAGATCAACTAAGGCTTAGAGAGACGCTAGGGAAGCAGAAAACCTCGTTTTCTCTGGCCTCTCTTCAAGCCGCTGTTGATCTCTCGTTTCTCATATTTTTTTTGAAATTGATAGATCAACTAAGGCTTAGAGAGACGCTAGAGAAGCTGGGAACCTCTTTTTCTCTGGCCTCTCTTCGAGCCGCTGTTGATCTCTCGTTTCTCATATTTTTTTTGAAAGTGATAGATCAACTAAGGCTTAGAGAGACGCTAGGGAAGCAGAAAACCTCTTTTTCTCTGGCCTCTCTTCAAGCCGCTGTTGATCTCTCGTTTCTCATATTTTTTTTGAAATTGATAGATCAACTAAGGTTTAGAGAGACGCTAGAGAAGCTCAGAACCTCTTTTTCTCTGGCCTCTCTTCAAGCCACTGTTGATCTCTCGCTTCTGAAACTTTTCTCCGATTTTTTCAGCTCCAACATCATCTTTTTTGTACCTAGTACCCGAAATTGTATTTATTTTGCCCCTCGACTTTTTCATTCGAAAAAGTTTCTGAGCTTGTGTGTTTCTCGAGTTGAAATGAAGAGATTTTTTCTTTTTTGAATTATTCGGTATTTTCCTATCTGTTTCTATCCTTTTTGGGTAATTTGAATCGGAATCGAGACGGAAAGGAGAGCTCCAGCGGCACAGGGACAGCAAAATTGAAGTGAGGATTTCTTTAATATTTATTTTTATTTAGAATAGAGAAAAAAAATAGCAGCGCGTTTTTTTGAAGTGATTTTGAGCTTGAAAAAAATGAAATTTAAGGTCCCTAAATGGAAGTAAATCAAAGCTTGATTTTTCAACCGGAATTTTTAAAACTCAAATTTCTGGAAAATACGTTTTTATCTGAAAATTCGTCGTTTTATCCCTCTAAATCTTTTTGCAAAAAAATAACACAAAAATCTCCAAAGCTTCCCCTGATTCCCACAACTACACGTTGAAAACTCGTTTTTTAACGATTACGGATTAAAATACGTTACCGAGAAGGTTATTATTCCAAAATGGGTTTTAATACACAATGCTTATTCTTTTTTTATAAAGCGAAACCAACTTTTCGTCAAATTTGAAACTTTCTTTTTGGCTCCGAATGATTTTTCAATATATTTCTGAAAGCTCTAGCCAAGGTTTTGTCCATTATTTTTTTGAAATCAAACTTCGAAACTTCCACAAAACTTGTTTCATAAATATTTTTTTGAAAGGGTCGAGTTTTTTTGTTCAAAGAATATTTATAAGCAGATAGAATAATAGATATTTTTTTACACGAAAAAAAGGAAATTTAAAATTTTTTTGTGTGCGAATTTTTCGAGATCTTTGAAAAGTTTCTTTAATTTCAGAAATATTATTTGAAAAAAATTGTTCGTTTCTTCGCGAATAAGACTTAAGTTTGATATATTCCTTTCCAAAATCACTCTTTTTAAAATCATTTCTGAGCTGTTTCTGCCCCTTTTCTCAACAGAAAAAAGTTATCTAGTTCATGAGGTTTTTTGAGAACTTCTCAGAAAGATTTCCTTATTTTTAGTACAATAATATGAACCATCAAGAAAAGTAACACCGGCTTAATTTCGGTAAATTCTTTCCCGAATAGAATTAAAAATATGAGAAGGCTTTCTGAGCCATCTCTATTTTTTCTTCAACAAAAAAGAGATTTGGAGAGCTGGGAAAATTTTCAGTGCCCACTATAATAGTCAAATTAGTGGCCACTTGAGGGGTTAAAAATTAATGGCCACTATAGAGGTCTAAGTGCTACTACTAGACCTCAAAAAGTGGCCACTTTAGGGGTCAATGGATCAACATAACTGGTCCAATCTGTTTGTTTGAAAATTATCAGAGTTACTGGAAGGAATACTGGATGAAAATCTACTTAAGTGGCCACTAAAACGGAAGAAAGTGGCCACTATAGGAGTGGGATGAGTGGCCACTTTAGTGTCCTCTCTAAGAAGTCCTTGGCCACTGAAAATTGTCCCAGAGCTGCTCGGAAGTCTTCGTTCATTATTAGCATATTCACTAGAGAAATTTTATCTTTCCCGAATTTTCATATTTTCTTTTCCAAGAGCTTTGAAAGGACATGAAGGATTATAGTCTGTTCAGGCTTTGAATTTCGAGTGCAATGACGTCATTCAAAAACACTCTGTGGATGGCTCGCTCTCTGATTGGTTTATCGCACCATTAGGGGCGGAGCTTGATCGACGATCTGAACAGATTATATTTCTGACCCATTCCTGCTTTTTTTTTCATCAGAAAATGTCACGTGAATTGAACATTTTTGTTCAGTTTTTGAAACTTCCTTCAAGAAATGTTGCCTTTAAGGAAAGTCACACCGGCTTAAATTCGATATATTTCTCTCTAAAACGGGTAGGAAGGATCAATTTCTATGGGAGATATAGAAATATATACAGATATATATATCTGTGTCGTTAATCTGAGCGCATTCGTTTGTCCTTTTCAACGGACGCCCTCTCCGCCGCAAATCGTCCCTTTATATCGCCCCGGCCACTCCCTTCCTTTCTCCATGTCGTTCCGCATCCCCCCAAATATTCATAAATATCCTTATAAGTCCCTTTTTCTGAGTTCCAGGAGGGTTTTAAAGGCATAGGGGCAGTAAAAAACGGTGTTTCAGTTCAAAGCAGTATTTTGTAGAGCTTTTCATTACAAATCGAACGGTGAACTTGGAAACGTACAGAAGTTCCTAGTTTTGGAGAAAAAGTAATTCCGAGGAAAGTTTGAGTTCCCGCAAAAAGGGCACTTTGCAGTAAAGTTGCTCTATGGACAACAGACTTCGCCATTTGTCGGACTTTCGCTTTTTTCTTCGTTTCTTTCAATTTTCAATTTTTTTCTGTTGTCACCAAAGTTCTTTTCGTCACAAAAGCTTTCTATTCATGTATAATTTGCAAACTTTGATCGCAAAAATGCTTTTCTGGTGAAAAATGATGATTTTACACAGATTTCGATTAGGATAGCGATTTTTTGTGTTTTCTTTATTGTCGGTGTGTGTTTTTCGTTTGACTAAATGATTTTTTCAGAAAAAAAAACCCTCAATTTGAAGCAGATATCCGGTTATTTCTCACAAAATGCGAGTCTAATGAGACGTCCGCAAAATCCCGTGCAAGGCTACTGTAAACAGTTGTCTACATACCGATCCAAAGCATCTTTCAAAATAAAAGGCGGGAAAGTAAAATCGCGTTTTTCTTCTAAAGTTGTCACATCTGTAATTTTTTTGAGTAAACCGTTCGATTCGCAAAGAAAAACTATACAAGATACTGCTTTCACCTGAAACGCCGTTTTTTACTGCCCCTATGCCTTTAACTTGAAAACTGGGGTGTTTTCTCCTTCCCCTTTGGGATTTTTACCAATCAAAAAAGGGGATTTCTCAATAATTGCAATCATAAATACCCTTATAGGACCATTTTTCTGGGTTTTTTCGGAGTTTTACTGTGACTTCGGTACTTACACAGTAGAGTTCACCAAACCGATCATTCAACCATTTCAATTGATCAATCTATTGACATGTCACTGTTCAACCAAATTTCAACATGTCATTTTTTGAGAGATCGTTTATTAGATCAGTTTTTGATCTCTTAAATTAATGATCAATCATTGGATTTTAACGTTTTGATATATCGATATTTCGACCAATATTTTCAATACAACATTTCGATCAATCATTTTTTTGACCAACATTTTGAGCATAAAATTTTGATCGATCGAAATTCCGAGCGATCGATTTTCAAAACAGATAGCTCACACGGGGCAAGTTTTCGGAGTACTAGTAAAAAGGTGAAAATATTTAATTTTTTTCCGACAAATCAAAGTTTTGCATTTTTCTTGAACTTATTTGTTATAGTCTATGTGGCAT